TTATTGTGTAGAAGAATCGTTAGAGACTGCTTTAGTTCATGCATAAAAACTAAGCTGAAGCATCTCTCTCCATACCCAGGAGGTCTTCAACAATGTCTTTTATATAATTAAGAGATCGAATTTTACCTTAACCAACTCCTCTATAATTTACTCTGCAGTAGCATTATCTTGGCTGGAATTTGGAAACGTCTACGCCTACATTCTATGCCGGGCCCATGTGTGTGTGACCCATGCAGATGATTTGTTAAAGTAAAGTATCTGAATATTTCATACAATCAGATACAGGGATTCTCGAACTATATTTCTAATTGGGCGATGAAAAGAGCACTCGCCATTAACCCTAAGAAGGCAGAGGTTGCTTCTTCATTTACAAGAAGACACAAATTGTTTGAATAACCTTCTACCTCAATTCCAAGGTTTCGATTGAGGATAAGGAAGAAGGAGAGCTAAAATGATGCGGCTCTTGTCGATATTAAGGGAGAGCTGAGGTAATAACCTCGTTATAGTAACTATTGGCTCTGCTGCCAAAGAATCGGTTGCGAAAACGACGAAAGGCTTAGAGTCTGAATATTCAAGTATGACATATAGCATATAGATAACTGCATCTTTTAATTGGCTTCCAATTAACTCTTCGACAATTTTATTACTTCTGGGGTTGATTGAGCTGAGTCGTGCACTTGGAAGTGTGTGGCAGGGACCTTCTCTATGAATGGATTAAAACTAGAAGGGATGACTGGCGAGAATTTTTTTTACCGGGAACTCATAATCAGCTCAGGTTTGCTGACCAGCGTAACAGTTTTCAAGCGGAAGTGTCGGCTGACGTTGTCCCCATAGGGTTTCGTAGAAAATGGTGGCTTTACAAACATAATTGTATCATCTGCATATTTTTTATACGATTCACAAAGCCGACCACGCCTTGAGCCTTTAGTTTTTAGTAAATTGTCTTTAAACGTAATCTCCGCCTCCCGCTTTTTAATTCACAGATCAAATGGGGTCCCGATATGGCAGATGGTGAAATTAATTTTTATTCCGTCTCTACCGATGGTCGCGTCTTCAACTGGGTACTCATGCAAAATGACTTTATGATTACAACAATAACAACATTATTTCTAACCAATGGCATCGTGGAGGGACCCGATGGCACTGAAGTGCATTTACGCAGTTGTGGCTCCTGCATGAAATTCCATCCATCCAATCCGGAAATCTATCTCATTGGCACCGAAGAGGGTCTCATCTACAAGTGCAGCATCGCCTATAGTTCGAAATATTTAATGACCTACAATGCACATCATCTCACCGTCTATCGCATCGATTTCAATCGTTTCAATTCGAATATTTTCATATCGTGCAGTGGCGATTGGCGCGTCAAAGTGTGGGAGGATATGCGACCGGAGCCGTTGTTCATCTTCGATTTGGGCTCATCGGTGGGCGATGTTAAATGGGCACCTTTCTCGAGCACCGTCTTTGCTGCCTGCACGAATGAGGGTAAAGTGTTCGTTTTCGATTTGAATGTGAATAAATATAAGCCGATTTGTGTGCAAGCTGTGGTGCCGAAGCGTAAGAACAAACTGACGCGTCTCGCATTCAATGAGAATTTGCCTTTCATAATTGTCGGCGATGATAAGTGAGTGTTTGGGGTGGGGAGAAAAGTGTAATGGATAAAGGAAATTTGTTTTTGTATATTTCTCATTGCGCCTTTCTATTATTTGCAGGAGTACCGTTACTTCCTTGAAATTATCACCCAATCTGCGTTTGATGGTGAAACCGCCGAAAAAGCAGCAGTACCTCGATCAAAATACGCTGCAGGTGCAGAAGCTGGATAAATTGCTCTCACTGGTGCGTGAGTTGCCCAACGATATGGTTATTCTCGAAGCGCCCACCACGACGAAGAGTTGAAGTGACATCGGAGCTGTATATGTGTTGTAATTTTTATTTGTATTTTTTTTTTTTGTAAATTAATAATTATTATACTACCTGCGTAGAAAATAAATAAATAAATATTGTTGTTGTTTTTTTTTTGAGTAATCAAATAGTTTATTTGTAATGAAATAGTTTGTGTTCGTGTAAATTTTAAAGTATTTTGGAGGTGAGCGTTACAGTTTTACACCAAAAATGTTTATTTTAATTCGATTTTATTTTATTTTGAGCTATTTCAGCTACTTATGTATGTATGTAAGTACGTTAAGAATTAATATACATTCGCGAATATATGTATTAATATTTTCTTTTTAATTTTGAATTGTTGCTATTGTAAATCCTTTATTAATAATATTTATATGAATTAATTTCTAACAATGTACATACATACATATACATATGTGTGTATATATATATATATATGTAGGTTCGCATGAGTGAAATTGTGGTCTATGCACTATATGTATGTATGTTTTATTAACTACTTTTAGCGCTTTATATTTTACAACAAAATATACAATAGTTTACACTAAAAATAATTTCACTTACAACTTATTAATAGTAGAAAATCAACAGTTTTATATAAGCATATTCATTAGTTGATGATTACAAATGTTTATAAGTTTATAAATAGTTATTGCAAAAACAAAATCCTTGAAGCCGTAGCGCGGAGTACGAGTTTACATGCAGTACAGTTATCACATATTATTGTTTAAGGGACTTTATGCAGCTATGAATGCATAGACATATTTTTATTTATGCATTTCAATATGCTACTAGCATCTAATTAATATACATTTAGCGGTAATTCAATTTGCAGTTTGAAAGAAATTTAAATGTTTCTGATTTGCACGAGAGATTTAACAATTTACAGTGAGAGTTTATTAATTTTTCAGAAAAAAAAATAAAGTAAAATAATATATAATAAAACAAAATGAAACGAAATAAAATAAAGTCAATGTAAATAAGATTAAAATAAAAAAAAATTAAATAAAATAAAATAAAATTAAATAAAATAAAATAAAATAAAATAAAATAAAATAAAATAAAATAAAATAAAATAAAATAAAATAAAATAAAAAAAATAAAATTGCATGAATGAAATAAAATAAAGCAAAAAATTATAACACCAAATTAAATTAAATGAAATTTAATAAAAAAAATTTAACAAAAAAAAATATAAATTAAAATAAAAATTAGAAAAAAAAATTAGAAATTAGTTGAACCTAAATAAAATGCAAAAAATTAAAATGAAATGGGTATCGAAAAAATAACAAATGGATAAAGTAACACAAAGAGAAATAATTCAAAAAATAAAATAAATTATAAAAAAATATTAACTAATTAAATGAAATTCAACAATAATAATATAGACAATTAAAAAAATTAAAAAGTAAAATAAATAAAAAAATTTAATTAGATTGAATCGAATAAAATTAAATGAAAGAATTTTAAAATGCAATATAAATAAAAAGGAAATAAAACTAACTTAATTTAAAATATAATAAATAAATTAAAAAAACGTAAAGCAACAAAAACTATTTTAAAATATAATAAATTGAAATAATAAAATATTAAAACTTTATTTCAAGTAAAAAAATTAACTAAAATATTATAAAAGTAAATAAAATAAAAAACCTAGAATAAAATAGGCTAAACAAAAGTAACAGTAAATAAAATGAAGAAAGAAAAATAAATAAAAAACATTAAATTTAAAAAATGAAATGAAATAAAATTAAATAAAATATAACAAAGTAAAATAAAATAAATTGCATAAAATAAAGTATGATTTGAAATAAAACGAAACCAATGAAATTAAATAACATAAATGTTGCTATGGCTACTCAGCTAAATTATAATTTTATATTGTAATATAAGCTTTTCATATAAATAAATAAAATATATAAAAATAAAAATAAAATAATAAAAAATAAAATAAACTATATAAAAATAAGATAATAAAATCAAGTCAAATAAATTAAAGTAAAATAAAATTCAATTTAAATAATATAAATTTAATAAAGTTAAACAAAATACAAGAAAATACAATAAAACAAAGTTTATTAAAATAGTATAAAGAATTAAAAATGCTAACTACATACATATATAATATATTTTTCAAACGAAATAATGTACACGTACATGTGATCTAGGCCTAGTAAAAGGTAATCCATTATTTTTGCAATAGATGACTTTCGTGATCTTTAGATGTCATTAGAAAGATTATATTTTTTATTAAAAAAGATATGCTGATCAATTAAGTCAATACGGTATGAGCGCAAAAGAGTCAAAAATGAACACCATCAACACAATTTTTAGGTCACTTACAGCAACATCAAACGAAAACGACGATCAGGAAGGCTAGGAATAATCCACTGTGTGCTGATCGCGTACGGTCAAACTTTTAATTCGAATCTGTACTGTCACCAAGTGGATCCAGAAGCGCCCAGCCAATGGGGACAAGAGTTTCTATGAGAGAGAGGTCGTTACCTTCAAAAAGGCAAACAGTTAATAAAAAAAAAACGATGTGTATTTGATATAAAGCCTTCGAATCAATGCAAAAATAATGGATAACATATTACTTGACCTAATATTTTTGGGTGACTTTTCGAATATTTCCCATAAGTTATCTTACAAAAATTGTTAAAAAAAAGTGACGAGGTTTATGCATTTTATTCACTTAAATTTAAATGTAATAGAAGCAGTGATGAAGTATTATATAATACAAAATATGTCTTCATTTACATATGTATGTAAGGAACGTTTGATAGGGATTTTTCGACAGCATTCTAGTAATCGTTCAACAATGTTCCTTTTAAGCTACTAATATTGGTATTTAAAAATAATATTATTTTTCTGTTATTTTTATCATTGAAATACTTAACAGCGTTTAGCTGATGATCTGAGTTCTCGAAATTCGTTTATTAACTTGGTTTGTTTTATCTTTTTTAACTATGTATTGTGTATTGTAGTTGTTGCAATTCAAACTATTAAATATTTATTCAGCTGTTAAGCTTTTTTGTTTGCTGGGAAATAAATTCTTTGTTAATTTCTTGTTTGACTTTTCCTTGCACCAAAAAAAGAGCAAAAATATAAACAACTTATGTTTGTATGTTTGCTTCTGTACATTTCTAATGAAGTTATTAATGTTTTTATTAATTTTTATATGAAATATTCTTAATGCAGTCTACTATATGTAGCAAATTTCCTACTTAGCATGGTATAAATTTCTAATTTGGCCTGTATTTTTTGAATGTGTGAGTGTGTTTTAATATGTAGGTGTTCATCGAATTTTAACATTTTTACATGTTTTTGTTACTAGGGATACATAAACATACATTTGTACCCATATACTATATATATATACAATTCCATTAACTAAATTTCTGGCTATTTGTAAACTGTCCTTCCTTTTCTTTTGTTCACTGTTAAACTCCGAGCTTTATTTGCAGGGAATTAACCATTTCTGTTAAGCCAATACATACATACATATTTATATGTATATTTCATAGCATCTTAGTACCTTAATCAATATATTTGATTGATTTTTGTATATATTTAAATACTTTGCACAGCGAATAAGTTTAATGTTAAATCCCTATTTAATTTACTAACTTCTCATTCAGATCTAACCTCACTTTCAGCTTTTCGAAAATAATATCACATTATTTCGATCCCACTGAGTTTGTTCCTTTTGGTTTTGCGATTCTTCATTGCGCGGAAAATTCTTAGTTTTTTTATTCCTTTTTTGAATTGTATTTAAAAAGCTCCTTTGCTTTCTTAATAGCATTTAAACTATCGAATTACACATTTTTGAAATCCAAAAACTCTCGCACATTATTCGGACACATCACATTTTTACCCAAAAAGAGTACCGTGGACATTGGATGCAGATAGTCTGCGGAAAATTCTTTTGCTTTCCAACCGAAAAATCCGCTTGGTCTCACCTCATTACCGTTAATTTCGAATGGTAACAAATTTACGCCAATTTGATTGATTTTCGAAAATTGCACTTTAAAATAATGACCATCAGTCGCTTTAATCCAATAGAAGCCTTCATTATCGACATATGGTTTATTTTGAGATTTCTTCATTGCATTCGAACGCTCCAAATCGTTTACATTGAAACTAATATCAATTTCATAAGCATCCGGATGTAAACGATTCGTTTCTATTGCCGTTCTCAATGCCTGATTATCCAACCAATAACGTATGCCGACATTTTCGAATTCTTCGAGTACATGATTGAAGGTCGATTTCAATTTGTCAAGGCAACAGGGTGGCGTATGTTTGTCCAAGTAAATGTAGAAGGGCCGATTATTGTAGACAGTGCCGACACAAGATTTGGTCGTGCGTTCACAACCGATTAAATCGATTTCTGTTACCAACGGTAGACTGAAATTCGACGACGAGAATTGTGTATCGAGTACGAGATTGTGATGCGAACTACTGCCGCCGGTGCCATCTTTCGTATCACTCTTCGTGATAACTTTATGCGAGCGTCGTATGATGCGTTTAATTTGTAGTTTTTTATATAATTCTCTAAACTGGCGACGACGGATCTCGGTGCGACGTTGCTTTGTATGATACGAAGCGAAGAGTCGACGACCATCTTGAAATGCTTGGGGAAAAACAGTTTTCTGTGCACAATATAAGGTGGAAGTTAAGCATTAGAGATGTTAGATAATTATAATTAGGGATGTGCGATTCATCAATTAATGACCATTGAAAATTTGACCAGTTAATTAGGCAATCCATAAAAAATTATTAAAAAAAATTATTTGAAAATAATTATAACATTTAAATATTTGTAAAATTGTCACAAATCAAATTTATATTAGCCAAAACTAGCACACCTACCAAGTTTGGTTTGGTTTGGTTAGATTATTGTCCTCTAATGTTAAATTTTGAGTCAAGTGGAGAGTGGAAAGTAATAAGTCATACATATATAGGCTTTGCCCTGTGCGACTGACGAATCAACCTACAGTCTACATCACTGGTCTGGAATTGGCACGTATGCATCCTATGAGAAGTGATTTTCCGAGAAGTGGACCTGGGACCGATCTATTCGAAAAAATCGAACTTATTTGATTTATATGAAATATGATAAACCGGTAGGTCTTTACCCAAATTGACAATGAAAATAGTTTTTCTTCCGGTAAGTGGACTCTGAACCGATCTATTCGAAAAAAATATTATTTTTCATTTGATTTACATAACATTTTTTTCAACGGTAGCTTTGGGACCAAATTAATATGTCGAATACTTTTTTTCCGGGAAGTGGAGCTGGGGTCGATATATTCGAAAAAGAGGTAGCTTATGACCTAAATTAACCTTGGGAACACTTTTTCTTTCAGGAAGTATTCATGGAAACCACTCGACGGTCTGAAAAACTTTTTTTTCGTTGCCGATCTCTCCGAAAGGATCACGTTTATGGTTCGTTTTGCTTAAAATTTGAAGCACCGAGAGCTCTTCACTTGTGCTGATATGTATAAGGCTCCGGCGCCCATATTTAATTTATGCTCATACTAGGCCACGAGAATTAAAAGCATAGATTTTCCGGTTTTCGGCCTCCTAGGTATTTTCAATTCAAGGCTTTATGATTATCATTGGAGCGTTTATAAAGCTTCTACTCCAATTTGTGTTTTGCGTATTGATGTTTTCCCAACAAATGGAGAGATCTACAATTTAAACTACGCCGCCTCCGCGTGGCCGATGGTATTTTATGAGGAGCCTTTCTTTTATGCCGGAAATATGCACGCAGTGCTTGACATTCCCTGTCCAGAACGACCGCAATTCGAGAATTTAATTTTCTATAATTTTGCGTATTTATCAAACCAGGACTCGAACCCCGTTCCACAGAAGGCAATGCTAACCATTTCGTATTATCCAAACCTTTCGTTATATGAAATATGGACGTGAGCTCCGTCCGAGTATGTACCTAAAACAGCCGAGTATAAAAATAACTGAAACTTTTAAAAATGAAACGCAACATTCAAAATACGTTAATTGATTAAAAACGCACATCGCCAACTGGATTGTCACACTCACCGAAATGCCAGCCAACTTCGCTTGTATGTAAAACATTTCGGGAAATGGCGAGGCAAAAGGATCTGGCAGCTCCTTGAGTACGCCCACATCTACGAGTATGGCATGTTTTTGTATATACTGTTTGTGAAGAGAAAAGAAAAAATCTGTTAAATCAATTTTCTTAAGCCGGTCTTTCGCTACTCACCAAATCACACTTGTCGCTACTATTAGCCGCCACATATTGTATCGTCCAATTGGGTAGATCTAAATTGATTTGTGTACAACTACTAAACGATTTCATATTACCAGCGAATGGCACTATTATCAGACGTTTGACCGTCTCCTCTGGTCCCACAGGTGGCAACAAAGCACGTGCCTCCTGCATGTGTTTGACGTCCGCCGCTTTAAGTGGCACTCTTGCGGCAATGCCAGCACCCAATGGCACTGCTGAATTAATTTCACGTAAAATTTTCTGTAGCAAATTCTTGCTCGTCAAACGCACACTATCCGGCAGGAATAGCACATATTTGGTATGTATCGCTGCGAGCGCATTCAATTGTTCTGGCGTTTTTTGTACATCGAAACCGAGATTGAGAAAACGTACCGTATTCTCCTCGCCACTGGTGGCGGTTATGTTACGCTCATATAAGACTGGTGGATAGGGTGCACCCTCGAGCAGCACTAAGATGGATAAGTTCGGTACAATGTCGAGCAGATTGTCAATGGATGCTTTGAGATCATTTTCGAAATTATAAAAGCTACGAAATACCACCGTTATGGATTTACGTATATGCTTGTTGGCATTCTTTAGCTTATCACGCGGTGATTTACCGCCGACACCGCCGCGCCCAGATGTGGCGCCGCCTGTCAGCTCATTATCAGCTGATGCTGTGCGGTCACCGCCATCGTTGGGCATCAGTGTTGATGTGAGACTCTTCCAAATGGTCGATTTCCATGAATAGTAGAATAATATTAAATTAGCAATGACTACAAGGCCCACAATGAGCTTGGCATGTCGTATGCGCATCACTTTCATTTTCCAAACGGTGGGTATATTACGTTTTAAAGCAGTTAAGTTGCGTATGCGAGTGTGTGTGTGTGAGTGTGTGCGAAATTGGCAAAAAAAAATTGTACTCCTTTATGCCACACACCCACCGCAGAGCGAGGTCAAAATTTACTTAGTTATTTATTTATGTTTTTTTTTTCCTATACAGTGAAGTCCTGCTTGGGCTCGAGCAGGGAATTTATGAGAGTTGCAAAGCACATGATTTCACTAAATGATACACTACTATATATATTTATATACATTCAAGTATTTGGTTACAAAGTGTAATAAAACATTCACTAACTACAAAAAAAAAATTAATCTTTTTGAAACTTTTCACTAGCAGGTATTTTTCTCTAGCTCTAAAGGTAAACTACTCGTACATCATCAACACATCACTTAGGCAGCAATTGCTTCCCTCATTTTATATCTACACATTTCAACATACTTTCTACAATAATATTATATATTTTTTTTTTCACTTAATATTATTTTTTGCACAAAAAACTTACTCGCACTACATATTTTCATGGATTTCATTTGACAGGAAACACACTTGATGCAAGGATAATAGTCGTTGACAGTTCCTTGGTATACCAATGTGCGCATGAAATGTTTTATTTATTGTTATAAACAAAAGACAAAGCAAAGAGAAGCACACGAAAATACTGTGTGAACGCGAAATGCGAAGAAAAACAATATTTTAAGCACATTGTGAGTAGCTTTAAGCTCCAAGCTTAGAATTTCGGCAGGATAAGGAAACATAAGCTGATGGTGGTTGATTTCTCATAGTCATACGCTTACTCCAGTAATAGACTTGTGTGTGTGTGTGTGCGTGTGTGTGTAGGCATGCCCAGCGGTAAATGCGACGACTTCGTGCACGGCTGAACTGTAGTAAAAAATATGCTACGCGGAGATAATAAATAAATAAATGTGTTCTAATTAACATTGTGATGTCCTATGGCTATGGAGAAATACCTCATCCCTGCATAATGTCCGAGTAATCCATGAATTACTCACAGGAAATTAGTTTTAAAATTATTCCACGTAGAAAATGTATGAATGGCGTACAGTGGGTAAAATAATGGAGTATATACGAAATATTACAATGCTCGAGCGTCATGCGAGCTCTGTTTCGATTGCTCTAGAGCTAATTATTGCGCAAAAAAGAGTTTAGAAGCATTTGAAAAAGGCAGAGTATACAAAAAAGCTCGATAGTTGCCCGATAGTTATGTTAACGTGTGAACGAGAAAAACTTCATGGACCAAATTTCCATCTCATCATGGTCGAAGGCCAGTGAGCTGGCACAAACGATCTTGGTAGTGTGTTTGGTGCGAGAGGCAGGAAATCATCCTCTATGAGCTGCTATCCTACGATCAGAAACTCTGAAGGAAGCAATCGCCCAGCTGTGGCGAAAAAACCAGAGAACTTGGTTGCGAGGTTCCTTAGCATTTACCTTATAGCGCAAAGCTCGCATAAAGAGAAATTGGCTTCAAGAGAGGCCTGCGAAAATCGATTTCCTAATTTTTTTACCCATAAAGACATGGTTACGAGAAGCATAATCACATTACCTTCAAATTGGCAAGAAGCTCTTGAGGGAAACGGTGTATATATATATATATCCATATATATATATATAATTGGCGCTTTGTAACCGCTGAAGCAATTTGCCACCGAGCTCCTCATTCAATTTGTGGTTTTGCGTCTTGATATTTTTCCAACAAATGTAGGGACCTATACATCAAAATTACCGCAATGAACCCGAAGTTATGCATGATTGACTGTAACACTATCAGCACCATGATACAAAAAAAGGTTGTTTCACTCATTACAAAATTGATAGAAATAGATTTTTTGATATTATATCTTATTTTCACGATTTTCATTATATCTTCAAGATACAGATTTTAAAGAGCTGTAGGAAAGTTAAAAAAAAGCACATAAAATTCGGAAAAATGTATGAAATCTTTATTTGAATCGATAGTACGGCTCATATAATTTAATGCTTGAAGATTATTTTTATGGCGAATATTGACTGTGATTGCGCCTCAAATGGTCCATTCGCTTTGTCCACTTTTGGCATACCCTCTCCAACATTTCGGCCGGTATCTCACAAAAAAATGCTCCAATATTGTCTAAAGGCGTTAAATCGCACTATCAAGCCGGCCAATTTACCGGTCCCGAACATGAAATAAAATGTTCACCGCACTCAAATCTCAATAGGACCATTCTTACGCTTGCTATGTGGCATGTGGCACCATCTTGTTGAAACCACATGTCATGCAATTTGGGCAAAAAATAAGAGTTTGATATCCTCTCACGGTAGCGCTCACCATTCGCAGTTACGTTACGATACGCATCATCATTGAAGAATTTTGGTCCAATGCTGCCACCAGTCCATAAACCGCACCGAGCTGTGACTTTTTCTCGACGCATTGGTAGCTCTTTCAAACACGGAAGCAACGCACGATGAACTCTCTTAACAGAGCACGCATTTTCAATAATCTGCAAGCGTGGTTCGTTTGTCAGACGATTCATGGTTAAATTATAGACCAAACTGAAGATGTTTGACAGTGATACAAAACGCGAAACGTGCGTCAGCTGTTTAAACCAGTGTTGCCAAAAAGACAACAGCTAAAAAATCACCCTTATTGCTACTTTAAAAATATTTCACATATTTTTGCTTATAAAAAAAGGCTTTGCATTGGGAAAATAATTTTATTTCCTTTAAATTTCAGAAAATACAATACAAAGCCTGTGAGTTTCTTGTGAGTAAGTTAATTTTTCATTATTTTTTTTATTTACATTTTAATTATCTTGTAATACATTACTTTAATTGTAGAAGGTTGAAAATTAATTTTTTTAAAACTATAATTGGCAGCACAAAAATAAAACAAAAGTCAAAGTCCAATAGTTCTCGCGACAGTCGGGTCTTTATACCGGAACGACTCGCATTTTTATCCGGCCAAGGACTGTCACTCCCGCAACATTCCCCAAAAAGTACTTTGGGGAATAATTTTGCGGTTACAACAACAACACAAAAGTAAAAAAAAAATTGTTTTCAGATGGTTAATATTTTTGAAAATAATTTTGTGTGAAATTACCTAGTTTTTTGTATCATGATCAGGACCATCAACCCTATTCACATTTTCAGCCACCTGTCTTGCGTTTTCGCCCTTATCGAAGAAAAACTATGAAATATAGCGTATTTTCTCTTCGCTAGTGTCAATCTTTGATCCACGTTAAAACGAAACTGAATTAAACAATCACAAAACGGTTAGAAAAACTGATTTAGTACGAAATGACATCTTTCTAACGACATTTAGCGGAACCCGATCGGACTTATACAACGCGAGATACAGATAATCTATTGGAAAAATATGGATTTATTTTTACTACACCTAATATATACATAGATACATACATATATACTTACTAAGTTTGGGGCAAAAAAAAAAAACAGAGTTTTAGTGGCATGTAAGACATTAACCGAACATTTATTGACACGCTTAGATAGTCTGATTTAAGTCAGGATACATGAATTCAATTAATATTATGCTTAATAAAGTTTACAATAATTGATGCAATGTTATTAGTTTAATACTTATCTTTTTGACATGAAAATAATTTTACTAACATAATCATGTATTCATCTAAAAGTATTTTGTTTTTGTTTTTCATTCACAGCACATTCACATTACATTCATATAAGCACATTTAAATAAAAATGAGACAATAATTTGTCTTAAAAGTGCCGAAAATTGATAATTTAATTAATTTTTTTTTTGTTTTAATTCACGGGCGAGAAATTGAACGATAATGGTAAGCAAATTTAATGACAGATCGCGCTCAAATTCAAAGTCAAAGAAGAGGACAATGGTTTGGCACCAGTGACAAAAACTAATGGATAGACTCACTTAAGTACAAATAATAATTTTTTTCTTAAAAATACTCTGCAATAATATTTTGAAAAAAATTTAATGTAGTTATTATAATTATTCTTAGCATTAGCGCCGATTTGTATGCGAGAAGCAGATGAAAAAGCTACAAACATGTCAGAACATTGCCCTTAGGACGATGTTAGAAAATCTCCTGATATAACCAGAGCATCACTGGAACAGTGAAGAATATATGGTACGAGTTAAGGAACACATAGTTATGATGTGCAAGCAATATTTGCTGAGATTGTGCTGTCGGATGCACGCAAACAGACATTTTCTTGAGAGTAAACCTCCACATCAGGAAGGTAGTACAAGACTATGTAGATACCATTCACTATGCATGCACCATAGACTACAAATGAATCGGAATGGCAACACCTTTATGAACTATTTGGTGGAAACGACGTTCTCGGAATCCAAGCACCACATATGGGAGCCAAAAGCTAGATATTGTAGTCGACTTAATTGCTACTTAACCAGACTTGACTCGATATAAGCAAAGTATGTTCTGAACGCAAAGAGACCCGCCCCACACGAAACGAATTTTTACCTGCCTCTTAAAATCTATCTATCCAAGTCCTTCGAAACGGCTTGTTTCCTGGATCTCTCGTTAAATACCTTGATGTTTTATACTGGTATCTCCAGCTCCTAAGTAATGAATATAAAGTACGAGTATGAAAAAAAAAATTTTATAAAAGCGGTTCGACTATAATTTCGCTGAGTTTTATACTCTTGAAAATTTCTCTGAAATATACGACTTTTCAAAGTTTCAAATACTTCATAGTTTAGAAATTTATTCGACTATTCACACAGCAAACCAGTCTACTCAAAATAAACAAACAGCCTTCATTTGCTTCAAAATCGAATGATATTTGATACAATGCAATCGTGCAATCCAACTTTTCACGCTAAAAGATAACAGTATTTTTATGAAATTGGTCGAAAAAAATAGTTCTAAGCAGAAAATAAACGTTAAGCTCTATTATCCAGCTGGTAAATTCTTTTACGGTCGCAATAGCCGAGTGGTTAGTATTGTATTCTAACATTCGAGTTCTATTCCCGGTCTGACCAAACATCCAAAATTAAATAAAAATTAATTTTATACCTTTCTTGAAGATGAAGTGGTATATGGACTTCGGTGCGAAGTATGTATGTACCAGAATGAGAAGTGTTGATTTAGATATCTGTCCACCTGTCCATCTGCCCATCTGTTTGTATGCACCAAACTAGATACACAGATTAAGTGATTATTTTTCGGAACCGACCAGATCGAACTTTATAATATATATACATTGCTCATATGTATGTAAATATATACGACCGTTTTTCAGATTTGAGATTTTGCGTTATAAATCCATCAAAGAAGCACCTAGGAGCAAGCTATTTGATATTTTACTGGTAATGAAAATTAACGAAATCGGACGACTGTGACTGCGATTCGTTTAGATATAAGGCTTTGTTCAAAACTTCGTCAAAAAGGATGTAAGGGCATGGAGTTCGGTATTCTACACATCTATATACGAGTATATATATATAAACATTGTCATTGAAAATCGTCGAAATCGTCGAAATCGGAGGACCATATCATATAGCCCCCATAGAGCTGATTTCTTCAGATAAAAGGTTTTGCCAGCTCTTCTTCCTTGTTCTAATTGCGGTCGCACCGCGCCGGGGAATTTCAATGACATGAAATAAAGGTAAGCTGTTTTTCCTATAGTCGTACGAGTATATATTTTCATTTCGCAATTATTTCGTTGTTGTGCCATTGCACGATTAAGTTTAAACGCGCGATCCACGCACCATTGCATACATTTCCCGGACTAAGTGAATACCCCTATAGAACTTTTGAGCAGTCTCGTTTTTCATATGAGAGATCTTGTTTTTTAATATTTTCATTCAAATATACATACATACATACACACAAATATTATAGTTAACACTTAATACATAGAAATACATACATACATATATATTTATGTTCACACTATATGATAATATAAAATTTTAGGTACATATAGACTTGTACTAGAATGACTGAATATGTTATTGGCGGAGAATACGGTGTACATATATACAAGTACAAGTACATACAATACAGTAAGCAATAAATTCTTCTACATCTAACATATATGTATGTATATAAAATTAAATAAATACTATAATATTTGGGTAGTAAGAACTCCCTTTGTACAGGTAACAATTGAGCGTAGCTTAACTATCAGAAACCATGCCATCCTGCTCTAAGCCCTCAGCAGTGGAGAGCTATTTCCCAATCGCTGGAAATAGTATCGGAAATGGTACCTCACCATTATTTGTCTTTTGTGGTGTAGGTGGTCGTGGATCTGGTTCGGTGCAACCCAAAAGCCAATATGTTGTAACTGTACCTTTGCCTTTCAATTCCACTTCACCGCGTAGTTCCATTTCAAATGTGCCAAATTTATCGAAAATTATTTTAGCCGCTGATGAAACGTGTATTTTAAGTGCTGTGAGGTGGAGAGACAGAGAGAAAAGATGGTTTTCGATATTACAATATTGTTGCGAATCGCTCGGTAGATTTTAATAAAGTCTAAGATGTCTATCTCTTAGACCTGTTGATCCTTTGTGATGCCTAAGGGGATTCCTTAAAAAAATACTTTTCACCTACTTTGATGTTCGAATCATTTGGTTTGTTTTATAAAAACACAAGATTATTGATACTTGCTGAATCAATATCTTTAAGGCAAGCAAAGTAGAAATTACATAGGAAGCAGGGTAGTGGAAGAAGTAGTACTCTAGTGAGTCGCCTTGTTTATGTCCCTGCAGCAGCGCCAAAAGTCGATCCTTCTATAATGACTCCCCGTTAAACAGTGTCTGATTATTATACCGTGCTTTATGCTCGTGTAGCTTCTGTTTGATAAGAGTTCTTCCTCTGGACCTATACGGGAAACTACAAGCGGGCTGCAATGCAATCAGACTGAATACTGCTCAACCTCGGAAGAATTGCAGTATAGGACATACCAGCATATTATCTCTAGCAGATGTGCTAAAGGAGCTAGACTACACCTCCTCCTGCTTGTGCTTCGAAAATCGTTTCTCCACGAGAATCCCCAACAGCTGCGTGTGAGAAACTACCAACGCCCCCAACCAGGGAGCCATAGCCATCTTCACAGATGGCCCGAAGCTTGATGGGAATTCATTCTCTCATGCTTTCATTAAATATGAGCATGAGACTACTAGACCACTGTAGCGTTTTCCAGGCAGAACTCTTTGCTATCATGGTTGCATAAATCTATGGCAGCAGGACAATCGGTCACAATAAACTCCGACAGTCAAGCTACACTCAAATCTCACCAATGTAATGGTACCACGTCAAAAGTGTCCATAAAATGTGGGAACTTTCTCAACAAACTCCCTACTACATACAGCACTATCGGTGTATGGGTACCAGGGTACAGGAACATCCGAGGAAACTACATGGCGGACGATCTGGCAAGGGTAAGAACCCTTCTACCCACGATTACACATAATGCTGGTGTCCACGGCAAAGCACATGCTTTAACTGACTTTTACCAGCGAAGCTGACTCAAGATGGCTAAACGAGATCACCTGTAACGTGACCAAATGGCTATGGCCGAAGCTGAACACGAAAAAAAAACAAACATCTTATCCTTTTAGACCGGTTCTCCATTAGCATAACGACGGCCATAATAACTGGACACTGTTTAATGGGGCTTCACGTGAAAGGAATGGGATGTCATTCTAATGATCTCTGCCGCAGCTGCAGGGATGAAGATGCCACCGTTCAGCCTTGACATCAGCGCGATACAAATTTCTTAGGAAACTTTTCTTCGATTGTCTTCCTTCAGCGAATACTGGAAATCTCGTTGCCTTTATAAAGCACACGAAATGGTTCGATTACCTGAGAAAGTGAAGACAGGAGCCTCAGCGGTATCACAATGGGCCTATTACCCTAAGTGTGCTGGCAACAGCAGCCGCATCAACTCAACACAAGAGTAGAGAATTAGTTCTTTTTTCAGCGATCAAAGGCTAGATTGATCAGGTACATATATAGGAGGGGCATGCCCACATTGGCGACGCCAATATACGAGTGGTTAGCATTGCGTACTGTCATTCTGAAGGCCAGGGCTTGACTTTCAGCAACGAATGTCAGACTCTCCAAGAGTATTTCTGTCATGAAATGTGAGCTCCTCACAAAAATTCATCGGCCATTCAGAGGAGACTTAGAATAAACTGTAGGTCCCTCCATTTGTGGAAAAACATCAAAAGACGCATACCACAGGTTGAAGGAGAAACATAGCCAAATAACAGTTTATTTGTAAGCAGGATCGAGGACTGTACCACTTCCTGCTAGCTCATCAACATCGCAGTTTCCAGGAATGCCTCTAAGTCCGGGGACCCAAACTATAGACGTTTCCCATGCAGTCGAGTGCGGCTTCCCTTTTCGCGGTTCGCTTAGCCTGAAAGGCGCTACTGTGGTCGGGAAGTCTCTTGATCATGTCGATTGAAAGTGGGTTTCGAATGATTTCTGGGTTGAGTGAGGTAATAACAGTGTTGTAAAATAAATATGGAGAAAAACCAGCTTCAATAAACCAATCTCTCGTCGTTTTCATGGTTGGGCGCAAAATATCAGCTATAATCGCGTACGCGTTGCCAACGGCAATAAAAAAGAGGAGTGCAAATACCACAGTTAGAGTCAAATTTTACTTACGCAATCCTCCAGACTCCATACGCGAAGCTGTATTAACTGTATCACCAAAGAGACAATAATGTGGCATCTTCTGACCCACAACGCCGGCACAAACTGGTCCCGCGTGTATGCCAATACGTATTTTCAACTGATAATCCGGCTTATGACGTATGGTAAATGATTTAACGGCATCCAAAATGGCAAGGGACATTAAGCCAATCTCACGTGCATGATCATCATTACGTTCGGGCAGACCGGAAACTACCATATAAGCATCACCAATTGTCTCAACCTTACAAAGCAGATGAAGGCATTAGATAACACAAGAGGTTCAGAGTATTTATTATTACCTTATAAACATCATAGAAACCAATAATGCGATCAAAAGTACTGTAGAGATCATTTAAGAATGCAACCACCTCCATTGGGCCACTCTCAGCGCAAAGCGCGGTGAAACCCACAATATCGCTAAAATATATAGTGACACATTCAAATTGTTCCGGTTGTACCATTTCGCCAGCAAGTAGTTGCGTTGCCACCGGACGTGGTAGTACTTGATAGAGTAGCTCTTCGGTGCGTCGCTTTTCCATGCTCAACTGTTCCGTCTTCTCCTCAACTAAACTCTCCAAATTGTTAGCATACTGTTCCATGCGTCTTAGTAAATCGTCCATAAGATTTTCGCAAAAACCTCTAAAATTTTCGGTAGCGATTTGTACAACAATATCGTAAAATATACACAAAACCTTAAATGCTTACTTCATAATCAAACGCACTGTTGACCTGATGGTAGCAAAGGCCGGTCTATCTTCGGGATTATCAGCCCAACACTTCTCCATTAAGTCAAGCACATCGGGTGGACAATCACGTTGCACAACAAATGGACGAAACGGCGGTGATTCATGAGCCTCCACACGATTTAATATATTTTGTACATCCATAAATTGGCGTATCATTTCATAGGGACCACCGCGCACCACGATCTCTTCCAATATAATTGCAAAGGAGTAAACATCACCCTTCTGTGTGGCCGGATTGCCGGGTAGAACGGTTAAGGGTAACAACTCTGGCGCGATCCAAAGAAATTCTGAAAAGATTTTTACCTTGAAATATTTAGACTTAAAAACTTACAACTCGGCTTACTATTAAAATAATTTTGATCTTTTACAAATTCCGATGGTGTGGTCAACGAGCGTAAGCCGAAGTCTGAAATTTTCAATACGAATCTGCCATCGATGAGACAATTACATGAGCGCAATTTCCCATGCACTTGCACATCACTATTATGCAAATAAGCCATGCCCTTGACAATGTCATGTATGAGTGACATACGAAAATTCCAATCCAATTGTATAGCCTCATTTTCGAGCACATCCTTCAAGCTGCCTTTCGGACAATATTCGGTGAGTATGAGCACTGTGGGACGTGGCAAATCTATACATGCACCAACAAAACGTACGGTATTCTCATGACTAACATCCCGGGCCTGTTTGATTTCCCACAAAAGCGTTGGTGTGATATCGACCTTTTTGCGATGTATCTTCTTAATAGCAACACGTTCACCCTTGAAGATGCCAATTGTGGTGAAGACCTGTGTGAGTGGTAGCGATGTGCAGCTGGCGATGGAAGCGCGCCCGGAGTGTATATCATATTGTTGGAGCGAGAAGTTCTGTGGTGAGAACATACAAGTACTCGGACGTGTGCATATTGTAAAATTGTATTTATTAAAAAATAAAGTCACCTCCACATTGAGTTTCTGCAGACCAACTTTGCTGCCATGCAAACGTCCTACCTCAAGTAGCACCTCGTCGGGCCGTACACGCCATGACATATTATTTAATTCATTATTTAATTTCATTTGCCTAAAATAAATAATTGTTTTTTTTAATCATTCTAAGGCTGCTTTCTTCGCAAAACTTACTTGCACATTAGATAAACCACTAAAAAGGAGAATCCAAAGAAAATCGCAAATGCAAATGTTCCGTACATTATCATTAACTCTGAGCGGAGAAAAATTGGTGAATTAAAATCATTTTAGTTATAAATTTTTAGTGAGTTAAAGGCCTATTTGTTAGTACGAATTTATCATTTATTTTTGTATACGATGTGTGTTCAAAAAATATCGCGAATTTTGTGTTTTTTTTCACAAATTATTTACTTATTCATAAATATATATTTTGTCCCCTTCAAAGTAATCCCCATGAGATATTATACACTAGTGTCAACGGTTTTTCCAATCTTCGAAGCACTTCAAAAAATCATTTTTTTTTTTATCTTGTTCAGCTCCTCCTTCGATGCCGTCTTTATCTCGTCAATCGTAGCGTAATGTCGTCCCTTCATGGGCCTCTTCAGTTAAGGGAACAAGAAAAAGTCACAGGGGGCCAGATCTGGGGAATACGGTGGCTGCGGCATCATTAGTGTGTTGTTTTTGGCCAAAAAGTCGCGCACAATCAACGATGTGTGAGCAGGAGCATTATCGTGGTGAAAATCCAATTTTTGTTCTTCCACAAATCCGGGCGTTTCTGACGGATTGCTTCGCGCAATTTGCGCATAACTTGCAGGTAATATCCCCTATTGACCGTTCTACCCTGTGACAATACCATTTCCTCCGCTTCATTAATTTTTTCGTCTGCTCGGGCGTCCGGCACGCTCTTCGCCGTTCACATCTTCTCGGCCTTCTGAGAATATTTTGTACCACCGATAAACGTTACTTCGGTCCAAGGTAGCTATAGTCAATATTCGGAATGCTTCCGCGCACTTAATTTCGTTTTTCGCACAAAATTTGATTTAGGTTCTTTGATCCATTTTTTTGAGTAGGTAAAAATCGAAGACCATCCAAAACACGTGCCTGCAAAGCAGTCGTGAACATTCAAAACGGCCAAGCTTGTCGGCATAAGTGACAGACATGAGTACCAACATAACGCCACAAAAAAATCGAAATTCGATTATACGTAACCCGCGAAAATTCAAAATTCGCGATACTTTTTGAACACACCGTATATTAGTCCACATTTCAAAAATGATTAAATTTTTATTGCTATACTCTTCAGCTTAATCTCAATTCTAATCGACTAAATAAATTCTGTTATATTTATCCCAAACAGTGTTAATAATTCACCAAGTCTCGGTAAATCACATATGTAAATTATTAAAATTTAATTTAAAAGAACAAGTAGAAATTAAAAAATTAACTTATATAATTAATTGGTTTTTCAGTACAAGGTGCTTTCCAAAGTAAACTGGACTCTTTGAATCTAGCGACCTCTACTTGTCGACTAGTGCGTTAAAGTCTGCTATCGACTTTATCGACTTCCAGCAAATATTCATGACATTTCATCTATGTCTATGTTCAGTATGTTTTTGACATCGGTGCGAAAATGAGCTGACGACCAAACATTGCTCAGAATTCAACATTCGAAGGACATCATTAAAGAGGCAAAAACAGACCCAAACTTCCTTTAAATGATTATGACTGCTGACGAAAAGTGGTGTTTTCAATATGATTCAGAAACGAAACGCCAGAGTGCTGAATGGAAGACGCCGGACGAGCCGAACCCCAAAAAATCGCGCCTGGAGAAGTTAAAAGTGAAGACAATGCTGATTTATTTTATGATTCCAAGGGTATTGTCCACAAAGAATTCGTTCCATCCGGCCAAAATGTTAATGCGGTATTTTACCTTGGAGTTTTGAAGCGTTTGGTGCGCCGTATTCGACGTGTTCGGCCCGAACATCGTGAAGATGGAAGTTGGCATTTGTTGCACAATAACGCGCCGTCTCATCGATCGACGCTTGTGGCCGCTTATTTGATCGAAAATCAAATTTTATAACTTCCCGGAGATAAGTCAAACGCACTATTCGAATCTATGCTTATTCGTAATCAGGTTGAACATGTAAGAATAGCTTCTAACACACAGCATTATAAGTATTTTGGAAAAATAGAATTTGGATCCAGGTGTCATTTAACCAAATCGTATCATGAATTTTTGTATTTTATACCTTTCATACACATTATTTTGATCCGAAGTATGCAGTACTAGAAGGCGAACAGATAGATTCATCCTAATTTATAGCAATGCCCGTCTATCTGTCTGTTTGTACGCAAACTGCTACCTTAGTTTGATTTCTCAGATTTGAAATATTGAGTCTAAAATGTGTCGAAAAATTATCTCTTTTTTTTAGGAAAAGTAGAGCAAAATGCACTGGAGCCTCTTTTTGATTACTTAATATTAGCGATACAGCCATGGCACTCAAGACCAATTAATGATCAATCATTTCGTGTATCAATCGTAGGTCTTCGTCAATTTTGGAGCTACAGAGACGTCATCAGTGGAAGATATTTTTCGACCTTCTAGGGGTTCGTCCTCTACGGAAAAATGCGCAGTCTGCAATCTTCGAAACCACTTAAAAATAGTCTTCAAAGACGGTGCAATCGTGACTCGTGCAATTTTTCATTCACTCAATATTTGTATTGGCTGTAAATCATGCCGGCACCCTGAAGAGAATCACATGGTGAATTACTAAAATTTTAAATAGAGATTAATAAATTGCAAAGGATTTGGTATTTTTAGATTTAACAAAAACCAATTGAAAGTCACTCTCCTATAGAACCTTTGTTAATCCCCTCGTATTTTTGCTAAACTAATCAAAAAGCCACCTATGTAACGCTAAATATGACTTTTTTTCGAATAGAAATTTGGTGTAGAATCCATTGGAGTTACGCTTAGGTGTTGTGTGGTCACAAAAATGGTGCTACCTAATGCTACTTCAATATTATGGTCTGCAAACAGTTCTAGAGTTAGAGTACCAACAAAGTAAAGTATCCGGAGAGGAAGGGGGGTTTGGATTTTCATAGCAGGACAGAACTCTGTCTCCCACATTTTTGATACTATCATGAAGTTTTTCCAAAAGCTTTGGAACTGCTAAATGCCCGATACGAGTACAGGCAAGTTCTAATTTTTTGTTTTCCTTAAATTTATTTATATTAAAAATTATTGAAAAAAGAAACTCACCATTTCCATGACATTCTGGTGCATTACCTAAAAAGCCACAACGTGGCACATCCGGCGGTGGACCTTCATGACCACCGGGCCAATGAATTTTTTTGCCAGCTACCGCTGAATACTCACTTAAAAAGTATAAAAGTTGTAATTAAGTAGGTAAAATAAGAAAAATTTCTCACAGCTAATTCAACCACTTACCGATGTAGACCATAATAGTGTGCGACAACTTCAAATTTACCATTAATCGGATCCAAATCCGATATCGAATAATCAGCATCACGATCACCATTATCATCGATCCGCACATGCCCGGTTATACCATGGAAAGTGCGATTCCACATACGACGAGTTATAGCCACGCCATCGCGAATATCACCGCCTTCGGTGAGAGTTTCATTAAACGCCATGCCGAGTAAATAGACGCCATCGTAAAAGGCGCCAATGAAGAAATTAACCTACACAAATTGAAAATGGCGATAGGAAGAGAGACAAAGATAAAGCGAGATAAGTATAAAAAATAAAATAATTTTCTATAACATAATACACACTTCCTCGCCATCGCTGAAAGAATAATTATATGCTTTAGCCATGACGCGCACTTGATCAGCAAAACCCTGATATTCCGGATTGGTGGGTTGCAACAATGAAACACGAAGTAAAGCCTCATAAGCCTTGCGTGCATGACTATCCAAAGCATCGCCCATTTCCCAATCGTGATCGCCCCAATAAGAACTCTGCAGTAGTTGGGATTATAAAAAATAAAAGATATTTTTGATTTAAGAGATTTCAAGAAAAAGCTGATAAGCAATACCTGAAATATTTCCACATCGAGAAACACCCAATCGCCGTTCGTCATGCCCAACGTGTAAGCGGCGAGCATAAATTTGCGCACCAACATGCCGCGCAGTGATAAAATTACAACTACAATAATTGGAAAGAATATAGTTAAAGTGCAGAAACAAGAATAAATAAAAAAAAATTTATATTTATCACCCAACTTGACCATAAATCCCTGAAATCTTTTCTTTGGCCTCCACTTTGGTCACTTATGGTATAAATGATTTTGTTTTTTCATAGAAATAAATCTTTTTCTAACTTTTACTAAAGATTGTTTTCTTTAGACACGTGTCTTTCAAGAAGAAACAAGACGTTATGGCCAAGAAGCTAAGTCTTTTATAAAGACACGGGTTTGCCAATATAGCTTAAATAGATTTCGGAAAAGTGACCAACGCGGCCTTTCTCGAATAAATTCCAGCCGGAAAGGTCTAATTTTCGACCAGTTTTTGCTGTAATTTTTGTCAGCAATTGTCTCGAGCTTATCAGCACATAAGAACGACTTCACATAACCTCATAAAAATAGTCCAGCGGTGTTGAAGGCCCACGAGACGTGATAATGCGCTCACCAAAAGCTTCCTTCAATGAATTGGTTTTTTTGTTGACTGTATGGCATGTATCGTCGTCTTGTTGGAACCCAAGATCGGTCGCATTAACTGCCCCCAACTCAGGCTCGAAAAAGCCTGTAAGCATCACGCCACAGCGTTCCCCCATTGACTGTTTCATTATGACTGACTTGATTTTTGAAGAAATGTGGACCAAAGACTTTCTCTGGCTATAGACCACACTAAGAAGTGACCTTTTGAGGCTGTAACCGCTTCTCTGCAATGGCATCACTCCAACAACCAAAAGTGAGCTTCATCGCTGGACAAAATTTTCTTGTGAAAATCGGTATCGGTGGCCATCTCGTTTTGGGCTCATTCACCGAACGCGTTGGATTTTATAAGCGAGCGAACTAAGAACTTAACATAAAATCTCCCATACAGTGGATATACACAACTCTAATTGTAGCGCGCAATGGCGTATAGACTCAAGCGATTCTTCTTCGACACTCTGCTCTACAGCAGCAATGGCATGTTCGAATGCACCGCGTCTCTGGGAAAGCGCATTATCCACTAGAGTAAACGTGGTTGCTCGAATTCGCAACTCTGCTGGGCGATTACGTTGGTCAAATATCAAACGCAGTAAGCGATGCGTCGTTCATCATGAAATGGCAAGCCAAACTAAATATAAATAAAATAACAGTTGTCGAAAAGGCCAATTTCGAAAACTGTATTGCTTCATTGAAACCCCCACATCTAAAAGCAAACACCATTTTTTACTTACCTCTCGCATACATACTGGCATCTTTCAGATAATTCTCATACGGTTCTTGTTCATTACCGTTCAGCTCACGTACAAAACTAAGTAGACCCTCTTGTCGTAGACCATACTCCAAATTCTTGCCAACGGTGAGAGAGAAAAGGTCCGACCGGTCGATGATCAATGCCACATGTTTCCATTTAAATTGTCGAAAGATGCTGGCAAAAACCAATTTGAGACGACACTGGCAATAGGACATGCGTGTCAATGTGGGATATTTACTTTTATCCTTAAACATGCCCTGCAAATTGAGATATGAAGACAATTGATGTTATATTATATATTATAAACTATTTAATAAGCAACACGCACACATCGTGAGGCGGATCTCCCACTTTTCTGTCCGTTCAATACGTTCCAACTCACAGAATAAAAATAGAATATTAGACGTCGGTGTAATCAGAAAACTTTTCATATGAAAGTACAATATATAGTATATGCGCGTGCCATTTGAGAGACAGAATAAGAGAGAGAGTTTCCGAAATGTGTGAGTATGTAATGTTCGTTAGCTCTACTTTACGCCGCGATGACAAAGAGAAGATTTCAAAACTGGAACATAGCCATCTGAGAGCCAAAGATATGATCTGGTGAGCCATGTATAAAGTAAACTAAGCTTAAAGAAGGTAAAATATCTCTCTAAAGAAACGGTCCACCACACGGCTTTGATTGAATTTGAAAAGCATTCGCTTGCCTACAGAACAGCAAAGCACAAGTCTGCGTCAGCACATCCCAACACGTATAAGATCTGATCTAATATGAAAGATCACACCTCAGCATCAATCTACCGTCCGTACCTTATCAGTGTGGCTTCAGACCTGGTAGATCTACTACAAACCAGAAATTCACTCACTCGTATAAGAGACATTCCGATTTCAAAGCAGCTTTCGACACGCCAAATGGATTTTTCGCCACCGTCTAGCGGAATTTGGTATCCCTTCAAAAGTTTCGTCAGAATCGCAGAGAACCACTCAGAACCGTGTGATACCCGGGTCCAAGTATCTCTTTTTTCAAGCATCAAAATAATGGAAAAGTCACTGGGAGCCAGGCCAGGGTGAACACTCCACGCTCTAAATTGCCACGCTTATTTTAAAACTATAATCTTCCAAGCAGACTTTTCCACTTGGCATTTTTTTGGTTGCGAACTCGGGCTCATACTGACATCATCAACTGTTTTTCCTATTCAAATGTTCATGCCAAATCGTTCTTTGTTGATCTGTAATACTCCTGCTATCTGCCACAATTCAATTCTTCGATCAGCTCGTATTAGTTTTTCGACTTTCTGAACATTTGCTTCGATCAAGAGCGTCACAGGGCGCCCTGCGCGGTGATCATCTTCACAGGTCTCTCTTCGTTTTTGAAATAGCCGAGCCCATTTTTGCACCATCCTATATGAGGGGAGCGGCGGCGGTAGCGGAGTGGTAAGCATTGTGTACTAACACTGGGAAGGCCCGGGTTCATATCCCATTGCCAGCGACATTCAAAAGTTATGCAAAATTAATTTAAATAAACAATAAAGTTAAGTTTTCTAATTGCGGTCGCCCCTTGGAGGAGAATGTCCACCCCTCCGAGTGTACTTCTGGCATGAAATAAAGGCTCCTCATAAGAAAAACATCGGTCGTTCGAAGGCGGCTTAGTATAAGCTGTAGGTCCCTACATTTGTTGGAAAAACATCAAGACGCAAAACCACAAATTGCCTAGCGCTTCCTTAACTTTTTGACCATTTGTTTAAGCCAAAAAGTAGATATCGGAATTATTCTTGTACGCATTTGCGTATAATTTAATTTTTTTCCACGACCGTGTAACTTCTCATTCCTTAAAAACTCACACCAATTCTGTTGGCTGTGCTACACATGCACGCAGTGGCTGTAGAAGCTTCACAAAAGACACATTCCACAAGAAAGTTAATTAATTAAAAAATGCTTAAATACTCAGTCTAACAACTAAATAAACTAAATTAGTTAATACCAACAAGACACCAAGTCACCAAGAACGTCGTCATCAGTAGCACCTCCACTTTGAAGACAAGGAATTACTTACTGCCTTAAGTTGGCTATTAGTGACCTTAGCGGGCAAGTGGTATAACAACAACGCAAGCAACAAGTACTACAATATATATATGTGTGTGTGTGTCTTTTTTTCTCTTTTTTTTCGCATTTCTCACTCTTCCTTTTCCTACTTTCATCTCGTCAATCACACATGCGCACATGCACTAGCACTAACATTTTGCCCACTACTCATTTAAATTGCAATATATCGAAAAAAATCTCAAATGACAAGTAAAAGTTTTTGTTTTTTTGCCGCTTTTTTCTACGATACTTCCTTCTTCTTCATATTGCTGCTTCTTCTTTGCTTTATACAAATTACAAAATGTCAATGTCAGCGTAGTTGTTTGGTGGGTGGCCTTCTAAGTTGGTCGCTTGTATGCTCATAGTGTTGTTAGTATATACATACATATATGTATGCATATATGTACATTATTGTAGTAGATGGTTTGGCAGCTGTTGACTGCCTGACACTGACCATGGCAATGACAGCGAGTGCCATTAGATTGCCACAAATAGCGGTAGCCCCAGCATGTGCTTGTGCTTACCGCTGGGAAATAGCTGATGGTAGAGTAGAAAAAAAGCAAACAACAACAAGAAAAAATCAAAGGCGATTAATGAATTCTTCAATAAACTTTACACATGCATGGTAGCGAGGAAATATACATTTATACATATGTATGCATCTTATTACATATAGAACGCACGAAATCCCCGTGGGCGCATTTCAGATAAAAAAAGATTTGTTTAGAAACTCATTCTTGGCTATCAAATAAATATTGTTTTGAGTATTAATTTTGATATTAATTTTAATATGATTGAGTATAGTAATCAAACTGATTTCGTTTTCGAAATATTATTCAGCTAATAATAAGATTTAGTACAGGTTAAACTCCCGACGAACGGAAACCAAACTCTACAAGTCGCTCATCGTTCCCATCCTGCTGTATAGTGTGGAAGCATGGACGAAGACAGCATCTGATGAGAAGGCGTTTGGAGTTATCGAGAGAAAGGTTCTGCATAAGATTCATGGTCCTTCTTTTCCGAATCAAGAAGAAGAAGAAGCAGCGGCTACCCTGGCTAGGTCATGTGATCCATATGGCTGCGAATACTCCTGCTTTGAAAGTTTCCAATGCAGGAGGAAGCAAAGGAAGAGGAAGACCTCCACTCAGTTGGAAAGACCAGGTAGAGAATGACCTGGCTGTACTTGGTATTTCCAATTGGCGCCAAACAGCAAAAAGAAGAAACGAATGGCACTTTGTTGTAAATCGACTATAATCGCGTAAGCGGTGTCTAACCCAATAAAGCAAGCAAACTTTTCGGGTCCCACACAGACGATATTACTTCCACAGTATTGCCAGGCATACCAACCAAGCCGCTACACTCTTTATTGTGTATCTAGTGTGAAGAACATTGCTATTTTATCACACTCATGTTAACAGTTCTACCAGCAGATTGGAATCCGGTCTATTTACCGATAGTGAAAACTTTGTAAGTTTCGCGTGAGCATCGTTTTCACCAGCCTGCAATCATTGGCTAGTTTCTAGAGTCTATTAGACTGCCAGGGAAGATTATTTCTTGCATTTGCTTTACTTCTCTGAATGGAAGTGTTTGGTTCGTTATTATATCCTATTCTAAAAAGACATCCTCCTTAGACGTTTGGCTTCACTGCCTGTGTGCTCTGACATCCAGTAAATGTAAAGTCTTCTCTTTTCAGATAATGTTTTTATCGCCTTTTTATATAGTTCTACCACAGCGGATTTCGTGCTATATAAAAATGAGCCCTTTATGACCGCTTGGCTATCCACATATATATGTAGTCTTTTCCTTTGATAACCAACTTCTTGCAGTAACTCTGCCGACATTTTTATGGCAAATATTTCAGCATGGAAGACACTGCAATTGTTTGTCAACTTAAATGATTTTTTTATTCCCCATTGAGCACAGTAAACTGAAGCACCCACTCGTTCCTTCATTCTAGAACCATCTGTGAAAACATGAAGAGCTTTGTCTGCATATTTCAGACCTCTATTCAAGCTATTTACCGCTATTGTAGCTGAAAACAGCTTGCTGATATTCAGGCGCGGGATTACGTACTCTTTTCTAAACTACCAAGGATATAAGTCCTGACTTGCAATTACCTAGAGCCTCACACAAGTCTGTTGGTGGAATACTCAATTACATTCAAACATTTTTTTTTTAATTTTTAAAGTCGCAACAAAAATTATTTTTGAAATTTCTCATGCAAAATTTTAATTAAAAAATGCATTTGCTTCTCAAGTAAATTTTAAAAATTATCGATCGGACTAGTGCAACTTCGGCAAATAGTATTGTAAAAGTAAAAATATCCCTCCAGACTTTTTGTATATTTTTGCACCAAACTTTTGTTATTGAAAATTAATCTTAATCAAAATCGAATTGACTATTATTATTTATAGTAAAAGGTCGGGTAGTTTCATAACTCCATCTGTATAGACGGTCTCTGGTTTTTTTCTTCTGGTTATATGATGGATGTGGCAAAACTTCCCAACTGAGTTCCCTCAATTTTCGTCTGGTCATCGAAAAACGTATATGGGCTAGCGTTGACATAATGAAACGCAACACTTTTTCTATTAATCAGTTATGGCTACTTTCTATTGAATAGCTCATTATAGCCTGGTTACTCAGAATAGATTGTTTCACCAGGAAAGTAGTGTAGTAAGCTCTTTATATACAATTCCCTTTCAATTCAACTAGACACTCAGCATCGCCTTCTTTACCACCTATTCAGGTTGTGAAGTCGTTTGTGGAGTATCACAATGCCTTTTTTTGGTTTTATATTGACGTTGATAAATCATTTTTTTATCGTCCGTGATGACTCGTTTCAGAAATAGTCCGATTTTGAAATGTCTCACTGATGACAAAATAATTCAATCTAATTCTTTAGCATTAATTCATATGTTGCCCAAATATCAAGCTTCTTTGAGTAGCCTCCCTAATACCGTCGCTGCTGCTTGTTTCCTGGCCTTGCCTTATCAGTTACAGAATTTCAACGAATTTTTGAATAGCTGACAAACCAAAATGAAGTGCATCTTTGATAACAAAATTTTGGCAAGGAAATCATGATTGGACTCTTAGTGTTCGGTCTCAAACTTTTGCTTGTTTCACGCAATCTTTTTTAGTGCTGCCCGAAATAATTATTTTCAACATCTTCTCGATACAAAAATCGTGAAGACTTGGTTACTTATAAAATCATTTGCGTTTTAATATTTTTTTGAACAACTGGAGAGACCTACAGTTATGCTTAGCCTCTTCCAAAATGCCGAGGGATTTTTTATATGGAGCTTTAATTTAATGTCAAAAATACACTGCAAGAGCTTGGCATTGCCTGCCGAGTGATGACCGCAATTAGAAAATTTAACTTAATTATTTTTTAATTAAATTCATTTTAAATAATTTTGAAGGTTGGTTAAGCCCGGATACGAGCCCCGGACCTCAGTATGGCAGTACGCACTTATAAAATATTCAAATATCTACTCAAAGCTAAGTGCGTAATTGCGTTAGAATACTTACCGTACTTTCGTTTTTCCATTTGTGTATTTTTCCCAATATCCCAGAGGTGACGGTCAGTTCATCATCAGAAGGTGGCTGTATTAAAGTTGATATCATTTATTAATTTTATTAAACCTTTTTTTCCAAAAATATCGTGTATTCGGTGGTGCAAATCATTTCGCAAGGTTTGACGTCTAACGTTGCTTTTTGGGCAACTCATTTTATTCTAAAATTTTTTGTATTTTTTCTTTGCTAATATTTTGAGTTAGATTGCTTTAGCTTAGCTTTTTAAATTTAAAATTATTTGTTATGAAAAACAAATTAATATTTCGCTATGTAGAATAATTATTCATTGTTTCAGCGCAGGTTGCTCATACGCAATGGCAAATAGCCATCCTTTGCATTTGTTTTTTCAATTTCTTTAATTTTTTCTGTAATTTTTTTTAATATTACTATTTCAATTTTCAACATATTTCTAGCCAATAAAATTTATTTATTGCCTTTAAGTAATATATTAATGAAATTAAAATTATTACTCGCAAATTTAATATAATAGAAAAATATTGCAAAAATATCTTCTAAATTATCTAAATTCCAATAGTTAGTATGTAATAAATATTTCCTTACATCTAAAACTTCTACTCACCTGATCACCCATGCCGGTGATAATCGGTGAATTCCAATAAGCTGCGAGTCTCGCTACCGGTTCCAAGGCAAATGCACAAGCTGGTCCGATAAAGGCTATAACATCATCTTTAAAGTGCATATCAGCAGCTAATCCAGGTGCTTTTGCGCCGGAACATGAGGGATAACTATATGTAGCGTAAATAAAAATAACAAAAATATATTATAAAAGTATTACATATGCATATGTAATTATTAAGTTAATTAAAAATTAAATTAATTCGCAGGAAAATAAATAAATCAATAAAATTTACGAAAAAAAATATTTTTTACGTTCTACATAAAAAAAAATTTGACTATAATTAAATAAAATTTATATGTACTTCAAAGAATTTTGAAATAAAATTATTAAATTATCTTAAGCGAAAACAACACATATTTTTCATTTGTTTTATTATTAAAAAATCAAAAAAAAATTATATAGAAAAAAGATTTTAATTGCAAATGAATTTATTGCACACACTTTCGTACTAACACCATTTTATTGTTGTATTCCAAGCACACCCTGCGAATTCTATGCTCTTTAAATGTAATTCATTAAATCTACTTGTATACGCCAAATAAATCTATTCATCAATTAACCAATTAATGACGACCCCGCCAAGACCCGAAGGTCACAAGTGAACAGACTACATACACATAAATAACTGGTAATTAACAATTACGAAGAACTAAGCACTTCTGAGAGCGCAGAGAAAGAAGAAGAAGAGTCGAGGAAGCAATTGCAATTAAAATAGTGTTTAATCGCATTCTAATTGTAATTGTGCTTTAAATATTCCGCTAAATGGAAATAGCATAATTTACATCAAATTGCGCCACGGGGCGTATGAGTAACACATTTTACTTTGCTTTAAATATTATATTACAATATATTTGATTTAAGAGTATGCCGGCACAAGAGGGTGTTTGGAAGATGTTATTAAATTAACAAAAAATCTTATCTTACCATAGACAGTTGGCAATACCGCTTTTAAAGTTTATTAATATTTTTATTATATTTTTTAATTTTCTGCGCACAAAATGGAAAATAATAAAATAAAAAACATTTAGAAACGTTTTAAAAAGTTAAAAAGATATTTTTTGAAATGTTTTCGTAATCATTTACTCAAGCAAGTAAATGATTATCATTATTATTAATGGATCAATTTAATTGAATCTCCACGAATTGGGAATCCTTCTCAAAACTGTTTTTATTATGGACAACATTTTTCAAGCCCTTTGTACCAGATGTCAATACTACAATATTTCTTCTATCTTATATTTTTTATGTAATAAATTTAAGCAGGTGGCAACTCTCCGAAAAAATGTTTTAAATATTAATGGTCGTTATTTTCGATGGCCTGTTAATGTGAGAAGCACGAAACAGGCAGTTAATTTTAACGATATGATAAATTCGTTTTCATTTTCTCGACCTCCTGTTAAATGTTTATTTAATATTTATTTATTCGCAGTGCTGTGAAGAAGAATCAACTATTCTAAGCGTAATTAAAGTAAAAAAAATCCTCTCAGCAATATGACGCACAGAAGTTTCTTCTAACCTTTTCTCAAGCCCATGAAAATATTAGGTCAAGTAAAAAGTTCATTCGGTTGTTATCTAAGAGACTACTAGTGTTACGTGTCGCATCATGTCATACTATACGACGCTAAAACTTTGTCTTTGGTTTGCTAAGTTCCGTTCCGGTATTTTCGATGTCAAAGATGCACCACGCGTCTGGAGGGCTGTCGAAAATTGCGATAATATCATGGAAATAGTGAAAACAGACGGTCACGTGAGCACTTATTTGATTGCTTAGGTACTAAAGATAAGCTAGAAAACCGTTTGGAATTGCATAACCTTGGATTCAAAAAGAAGCTTGATGTTTGGGTGACACACGAACTAACGCAAAAAACATGATGGACCGAATTTCCATCTGCGAATCGCTGCTGAAAATCCAACAAAATCGACCCGTTTCTGAAGCGGATTGTGACTGGCGATGAAAAATAGGTCTCCAACCACAACATCTAGCGTAAACGGCCCTGGTCAAAGCTCGGGGAAGCGGCCCAGACGGTGGCCGGATTGACGGCCAGGTAGGTTTGGCTGTATGTTTGGTGGGATTGGCAAGAAATCATGTACTACGAGCTGCTTCCCAATGGCCACACGCTCAATTCGGCCCTCTACTGCCAACAACTGGACCGCTTATAGGCAGAATTCATCCAGAAGGGGCCATCTTTGATCAACAGATGCCGAATTGTGTTCCATCAGGACAACGCTGGGCCACATACGTCTTTGGTGACGCGCCAGAAGCTCCAGGAGCTCGGATGGGAGGTTCTAATGCACTCACTTGATAGTACGGACCTGTCACCAAGTGATTACCATCTTTTCCTGTCCACAGCGAACGCGCTTAATGGTGAGAAGTTTGGTCTCAAGAGAGGACTGTGAAAATTGGCTCTACGAGTTTTTTGCCAATAAAAAGTGGTTTGACCGCCTGTTAAATTTACTAAGCCAGGCAGCTGAGAAAGAGAGGACGTGTTTAAAAAAGAAGTTTAACAAACTGACCGCCGCTCCACCTAGCAAATGAATTATTGGTCATATTATTTGATTCGATACTGATAAATCCGTAAACTCCTCAAATCGGTCTAGCTGCATAGTAGTTTATTGACAGACAATGAAACAACAACAACAAAAAATGTCACAATAAAAAAATCCTTCTAAACTATAATTTTCTACAACGTAAGCTATTATGGGCTGCGCTAGTGCATTTTCTCCACTTCTTATAAACATCAAGCAAATATATTCCGCCTCAGCCCTAATGAATCACCACTCAAGCGTATAGCGTACGCTGCTGAAAGCGTTAACGGTATTTGATTTCTTATACTACTCAAAGCAACAATTAAGATTTAATTGTCTTTGCTACTTAGACGACGATAAAATTACACACTTCCTATGAGGAAAACCAACCAAAGTGTGGGTCTGTATGTAAGCTAAAAATTGAAGTATTTTTTTTTTTTTTGTTTTGTTTTTGCATAAACATCACTCACCTCGCTTGTACTTTGCGCAATTTAATTTTATGTGGCTTCAAAAATTCCTCATTAATTACATCCAAAGCCAGATCTACCGCGGGTCCACAACGTTCCAAATCGAATGGTGAATCTGGAAAGGTGATAAAAGTGCAGAGAAAAGAAATCCTTATTTGTTTCATTTGGTATGTATGTATGTATGCACAAGTGTGTGAGTAATTGCTACATTTACCACTACACCTACCCAAATGTGATGCCATCAACACACCTACATTGTACACGCGCAAACCGGACAAATCGTATTCGATGTTTTCCCGCTTTACCACATGACCTTGCCGGTCTTCGTATACATAACCGCTCTCAGGGTCAAAGTTGACAATGCCATTGGATATCAACGCCGATACAATCGCTGTTGCATTTACTTCTTGCTGCACTTGATCGGCCACAACATCGATCGACATCTCATGCAATGCACCATAATTACGTTGTCTGCTCGCATGCCGTTTTTGTTGTTGTTGTTTGGTGTGTGCATTAATGGCTGTATGATTTGTTATTGGTAATACTGTTATTTTCTCTAATGTCGGCGTCAAAGAGTCTTCTATGTTGTAGGCAAGAAGAAGAGTTTGTAGCGTGAATAGCAGGTAAAGTAAGCTCACAGCGACGAGTGTGGGTGTGTGCGTGCTAAAGTTGTATCTACGCATTGTGATTAAATTGTTTTATGTATGTATGTATGTATGTATGTGTGTGTGTGCAACGTTGAGTTGGTCGACTAAATTAGCGGGGAATGCGTGCGGTATGTCAGCAGGGATTTAAGTTGATTGAGTGAGATTATCTTCATACAGATGTATTATATATGCACATATATCCTTAATTTAGTTGTGCGCCATATTTGTGGCATCCACATTAGTGGTGACAACAAGCGTAGATTTTGCACAACTCTTTGTTTCTGAGCACTGTCTGGTAGTTAATTCACATCTCTTGGCATTATAATCACTTATTTGTTTGATTTAAATTTAACTGTTGCCTCTCAGTTAAGGATTTCTGGGTTTTCCTGCAAATTTTTTAAAGGAAAATATTATATATTTGGTCAAGTAAGAAGTTCGTTCGGATTTTAAATATCTTAGAGATGGCGTTATGGCATTATTGTCCATAGTACTAGTGTTACGTGTCGCATCATGTCCTACTATACGGCGCTGAAAACCTGTTTATACGCGCTAAAAGTTTGTCTTTGACAGTTTTCCGATTGATTGACTCAGTACGTTGTGAACGCTCGGCAAAAATGGACATCAGCAAAGCGAAAATTCGCTATATTTTAAAAAATTTTCTTCGACCAAGGCGAAAAAGCAGCCAACGCGGCTGAAAAATTAACTTAGTTTATAGGCACGATACTTTTAAGGAACGTGTAGCACAAAAGTGGTTTGCTAGGTTCCGTTCCGGTAATTTCGGTGTCAAAGATGTACTAGGTTTTGCTGTGTGTTTGGTGGGATTGGCAAGGAATCATCTACCACGAGCTGCTCCTCTATGGCCAAACGCTCAATACCACCCTCTACTGCCTACAACTGGACCGCTTGCAGGCAGCACTCATCCAGAAGAGGCCATCTTTGATCAACAGAGGCCGAATTGTGTTCCATCAGGACAACGCTGGGACACACACGTCTTTGGTGACGCGTCAGCAGCTCCAGGAGCTCGGATGGAAGGTCCAAATGCACCCGCCGTCCGGACCTGGCAGCAAGTCATTACCATCATTTGCTGTCCATGGCAAACGCGCTTAATGGTGAGAAGTTAACCTGAAGAGAGGCCTGTGAAAAATGGCTCTCCGAGTTTTTTGCTTCTTCGAGAGGGGTATAATGAAATTAGCATTGGTGTTGGCAAAAGATTTACGAACAAAACGGCGCATATCTGACTTAAATCGAACAAAAGTACACAAAGTTTTTATAATTTGAAAAATCAATAAAAAAAAACCGAACGAACTTCTTACTCGACCTAATACAATTATATAAAACACAACTTATTTATAAATAAATAAAAAATATATAATTTATATATATATCACACAAATCAAATTTTGATGAACCGTCTCTTTTTAACTTTCGTGTTGTATTCAATTATCTATTTATTTAATTTTTCATCAATTATTTATTTACTTACTGATTTATGAATTTATCTATTAATTATTTATTGACTTACTTAATTATTTATATATTTATCTATTATTTCATTATTTATTAATTAATTTATTTATTTAATTAATTAATTATTTCTCTATTTATTAATTTACTTTTTTATTAATTATTTGTTTTATATAATACTTAGTTATTTATATGCTTTCCTATTATTTATTTATTTATATTTAATTATTCATTATGTAATTATTTTATAAATTTTTTTTATTATTTTCACATTTATTATTATTATTTTTTACTGAAAGTAAAAAGTGCAGAAAATATAGGACATATGCCTGAACGAGATGTTAATGCATGCTTTTATTCTACTCAGCGGAGTATCAGATGTGTCAAAGTTAGATATCAATGCACTTTACATTGAGCACTTAAAAAAAAAGAATTAAAAAAATGGAGAATTTTATCACCAATCAAAGTAATTTTCCCAATTCGAAAATGCTTGCGCCACCGAAAATCAAAACATATCTCCATTTACATACGCATATACATGCAAACTCTCACATTATTTACACAATATTAAATTTAACACTTCGTAAGCACATTAAGCACTTGACATTGTTTAACATAAGGCATTTTGAATTAAATAGATTTGAAATTAATTCAGTGTAAAAAGTATTTTCTTCGTTTTCTGCTACGACTTTGCCGAGTTGGTTGTAATACTAGAGTAACTGGCTTTTTTATGCTTCGAGTGGAAAATTCTTTTTAAACATTTTTTGAATATTATTTATTATATTGCTTAATTTTTAATAATATTTTAATATTTCAATTCCTTTTATTTATTTTTTCTTAAAATATAGTAATGTGAAATTTTAAAATTTATTCAAAAAATTCAGGTATTTTTTTTCATTTTACTTAAATTGATTTTTAAGTTTCTTTAATTAACTTTTTTTTATTCAATATTTAAATAAAAATGTATATAAAAACATTAATGTTGTGTTTAAATTTTCTGCTAGCAATGAAAATACGAAATTTTCAATGTATAAAATTGAAAATGAAAAAAAAAACAATTAAAAAACAATAAAATATTAAATTTTTTATTACTTAAATAAATCAGAAATCAAAGAAAATTAATATAAACTGTTTTTTGGCAGCAAAAATTATTATAAAAATATCTTTTTCATTGTTATTTCACATTATTATTACAAGTTTTTTCTTTTTTATTTTATTTGGTTTTTAGTATGCTCATTTGAATGCTGATTTTTTGTTTATTTTTTATTTTCTAATCTTAAATTAAAAATTCGCATCATTTTTATATGAATTTTTATCAAATTTTATTATTTTTGATTTGCGTTAATTGTAAATTTTACTACTAACTTTTCTTTAATCTTTTTTTTAAATTTTTTAACTTTCATAAATTTTGTTTTAGTATTTACTTAATTTTTTTCAAATATATTAATATTAATATTATGTAAATATTTTCACACCAATAAAAGATATTAAATATAGTATAAAAATATGATTCTTTTTCACTCTTGTTGTTAATTTATTTAAGTTTTCAATTCTATATTTCCTTCATAACTTTTCTTTTAAATTTTCATTTTTGATTTTTGTCTTTGCATTTCTTTTATTTATGCTTTTATAATTTCGCTATTTATTTTTTTAAGCTTTATCTTTGCAGTTGATATTTTTTTCACTTCATTTCATCTAGTTCTAATTTAATTTGTTTTATTTTATAACATTTTATTTGCGTTTTTTACCATTTCATGAACACTCTTTCCGATTATTTTTGTAATTAATTTCATTATTTTTAATTTTATATGAATTAAAATATTTATATCACTGCATTAAATATTATTATTTTTTTTCCAGTTTATTATGATTTTATTCCATTACTTTTTTCCTGCTAATTTGTTTTATTTCAATTTATTTGATTTAAATCTATATTATTTTTTTTAATTTATTTTATTTTTATTTATTTTATTGTTTTAATTTATTTATTTTAATTTAATTCAATTTTACTTTATTTTAGCTCAGAATTTTTTATTTTACTTTATTTAATTTTGATTTAATATATTTTTTTTAAATTTTTTTAATTTTTTAGTTTTTTTACTTTACTTTGCATTTTTTCATTTTATTTCTTCATATTTTTTTATTTTGATTTATTTTATTTTCTCTTATTTTATTTTATTTTTTCATATTTTTTTCAGCTGTTTATTTTACTTTATTTTATTTTGATTAAATTTACAAATTTTTGTTTTACTTTTTACTTTGCATTTTTTTATTTTAATTTTCTGATTTTTTTTTTTAATTTTTTTATTTTATTTTATTTTGATTAATTTTATTTTCTCTTATGTTATTTTATTTATTCATATTTTTTTTCATTTCTTTATTTTACTTTACTTTGTTTTGATTAATTTTATACTTTTTTTGTTTTACTTTTTACTTTGCATTTTTTTATTTTAATTTTCTGATATTTTTTATTTTCCTTTATTTTGATTTAATTTATTTTCTCTTTTTTATTTTATTTAATTTCATTTTATTTCACTTTATTTTATTTTGATTAATTTTGTATATTCTTTGTTTTACTTTTTACTTTGTATTTTTTTTTATTTCATTTTTTTATTTAATTATTATTTAAAATTTTCATTTAATTTAATTTACTTTATTTCATTTTGATAGATTTTGATATATTTTATTTATTTTATTTTAATTTATATTACTTTCTTTGATTTAATTTCCTTTTTTTTTATTTCATAATAGTTTATTTTATTTTAGCTCAATTTATATTTCAACTTTTTTGAATTTATTTTATTTAATTCTAGCTTATTATTTTTTATTTTACTTTATTTTATTATGTTTTAATTTATTTTTAAAAATATATTTTATTTTATATTATTTAATTTTTTTATTTAATTTATTTTATTTGTTCTTTTTTAATTTATATTGTTTTTTTGTTTTACTTTATTTTACTTTACTTCGCATTTTCTTACTTAATTTTTTTTTTTATTTATTTTATTTTATTTTACTTTATTTTATTTTATATTTTTTGTCTTACTTTATTAAACTTTATTTTGTAATTTTTTTCATTTTTTATATATTTTTCTTATTTTATTAATTATTTCGTTTTATTTTACTTCATTTTAATTAATTTTTTAATGAGTATTATACATTTTTTTTATGAATTTTATTTAATTTCTTTTTACATAATTTTAATTTATTTTAGTTTACTTTATTTTATTTTTTATTTTGATAGATTTTGATGTATTTTTATTACTTTCCTTAATTTAATTTAATTTTATTTAGTTCTGTAATACTTTATTTATATTATATAAGTTCAATTTATGTTTCAATTCACTTTATTTCGTTGTATTTAATTTATTTATGTTTTATTAATTTATTTAAGGTATTTTATTTTATTTTCCAACATCTTATTTTTGTAATATATATATTTTTTAATTGATACTTCACTTTATTATTTTTTTTTTCTTGATGGAAAAATATGTTGTTGTCTTCAATAATTTTTCTATGTATTTTTTTTACTACTTTTATACATTTTTTATTATTTTTTTTTCCTTGCTTCACCATTTCAATTCAATTTTTTGTATTTTTTTTACTTATTTACGATTGAAAACACAAATGAATTGATTCACATCTAATCACTTCCGCATTTTACAAAACCAAAATCTTAACGGTATATGCACGCTTTCTGCTACCATCACATTTGGCATTTACTGTTTCTTCAGGGAAAAAAGTAAAGACTTTTTGCTTCACTGATTACCACAACGTCTAAATACGTTTTAAGAGAGAAATCACATGCCTACACACACTCACACACACAAACAAACACATACACCATACAATTTTCACATTCCGTCACTCATACGCCGTGGCAAGCTATTTATTTATTTATTTTTATTTTTCTCTTGTTCTTATTTAAACACTTGTTGCCACAACACTTCACTTAGCAGATTTACATACATACGAGTATGTATGTTTATACTCAAGCGTGTGTGCGTGCATGTTTGCGCGTTTATATGATTATCATTCTTTGTACAACTCCTTGTAGATTTATTCACACCCCAAAGATCACTTAACATAAATATATTTGTACTAACACATACTTTCACACACTTATTTTTTATATATCCGCTATTGTCCTTTGCCGTCGAGAGTATTGTAAATATCCAAGTTGGTATGCTCTTATCACTGCTGTGCTGCCGTCTTAAGAGTCAAGATACAAATGAGCCGCATACGCGTCCTGTCGTCGCTTTTATATATGCCAGCGGCCGAATTCCGAGGATGAAAAAGAAAACAAAAGCACAAGCGCTGGCGTATAATAAAGCTAGTGCATTTTTTTTTTTACAATGTTACCCACACACACACAAACACACAAGCGCATCCTTTCGCTTTCTTTGCGCTTTGCGCGCTGGCGATTCGTTTCTTCACTCACACACAAACGCTCATCTAATATAATTTATATACATACGTACGAGTATGTACATAAATACGTGTATGTATAAACATCCTTACGATTGTTTGTCAACACGCTCGTGCTCATATGTATATATCAGTGGATTTACATAAATACACATTGTTGAAGAGCAATAACAATTATGCAAAGGAGCAAGTGTAGCAGCAGCAACAGCAACGGCAGCAGCAGCAGCAGCAGTAGCAATAACAACAAATATTCTTGCTCTTTATTACTCAGTTTTCCATTGTTTAGCCTGCAACACTTGACTCGTTTACTTGGAGAGGGATAATTTAAACACTAATGATTGGATAAATGTCTTTTAAAGAGACATGCAAACATGAGCACATGTATGTGCGTGTGTATATAAAGTAAAGGAATTGGTTTTTTTCTTTGCTTTAATTGTGTAATTAAAAAAACGTTCGGGGAAGTTCAAGTCCAAGTTTGAAGTAAAGTTGGAACCTCAGTTGAGGTTGGCTCTGATTTATATGGTTTTTAGTGTAAAAAGTCATATTTATCTTTTATATGAAGAGACTATAGTCCGAAGGTATCCTAAAAAAGTCTTGTATACAGGGTGTTATTTTGATATTCAAAGAAAAATGGCGTTTTTGGAGAAAAATGATCGGTTGTTTATCTCAATGCAAAGAGGAAGGTAGGACAATATCAGCTAAATGGCCGCCACAAGAAAATCGTAAGATGACTGCTGTATGTCCTCAATTGCGTCACCAAATCCATCTTTGAGGTCTTGAATCGAGGTTGGCCTGTGGATGATAAATCACAAGATCTCGGTGGCCAATTGCGATCACATCTTCGAGAGCTAACACAGTCCGGGAACTTTTCCCTTAAAAGATCGTCGGTTTTGTCGGATTTTTGACCGTCTTGTAGAAAGTGAATATTGCCAGGGCATACCAGTCAATTCCGGCCATAAAACAACATTAATCATCTCTCGTAGAACTAATGTCTCAACGGACCATAAGCCGCAACAAACAGTTACAGGCTGAGAATGGAAAGGCCTTTCAATAATAAATCTTGGATTTTCCGAGCCTCAGATGCGAGAGTTTTGCTTATTGACATAGCCATCGAGGTGGAAATGGATCTCATCAGTCAAGGTGGCTTTTCGATGAAATTCCAGATAATTTTCATGCATTTCAAGGACCCAATCAGCAAAGACACGATATTGTCAATGATCGGCCGGCTTGAGTACTTGTGTTGACTGAACTTTTTAAGTCTTAAGACCTAAGTCTTTATGCAAATTGCGGTGTAATGACGTTAATGGAATGTCCAATTTGAAAGAACGAAAAAGGAATGGGCAGGCATGGGTTTCCTTCAAAACTCTGAACGACTATACCAGCGCTTAAGCGTCCCAAACCTTTAAGGGCATTGATGACATTCTAGGACGTGCAATACCCACGCTTCATTCCCTCACACTACGTATTACGAACGCGGCAACTAGACCAGAGTTTTACAGTCTAACTGTTACTGACTCCGGAAAGATCAACGAGGCAGTGGACTTTATGAGTCTGGTGTATTTGTCAATAGGTGCGATCCAAGAAACAAAACTGTGCTACCACTCGAATCTTCTGAGGCGGCTAGGCTTGCGGTTCAACTTGCAAGGCACCGTATGGTGTGGTCTTATCGACGGCAACATCGCATCGCAGAGAAACTACAGTATAATTTTAGGTAATAAAATGACATTTCGACATTCTTTTCCAGAATTGTGGGCAATTACTGTGGGGCCCCGCCTCAGACCAGAATTATCTTGATAGACAAGTTTCTCAACTTCGTTTCAGCGGGCCACCGCATGTTTTTAACTTAAAAAACGCAAACTGGCACAGCTTCCCGGAATTTACTGAGAACGTATGCAATACCCTCTCCACTCCAACCGACTCAATACCGGAAACCGATTCCGAAGATACTCTTATCAGGGAACTCAATACTCTCGTATTCGTCGACAGGTGAACCAACACAAGCTGAACAAGTGACAGGAGAACTTTAGGTCCTGCAGATTTCCCTCGGGCTACCTTGAGAGACCCGAATTATACTGGCAAGATCTAGATATTGTAATCGACTTAACTGCTACTTAACTAGACTTGACTCTGTCATACCCAAGGTATGCAATGTGACCCCGCACGACACTATCCAAATAATAATAATGTGTAAAAGAGAAAAAAAACTTAATACAAAGAAATAGAAATATGCAAACATCTGAGTTTAAAACTTTTTTTAATTTTTAAAACTTAAATCTATAAGAAATAATATTATATTATATGTTTTTAACAGTAAAAAATAATTTAAATTAACTCCACTGCACTCATTTGCGTTTAATGCCGCTCAATGATTTCATACCAACTATAGTTGGCACTTTCGAAGCAGCTTTCTTCGTTTCCTCAATCGCCATTATCATACGACGTGGTTCGGTTAAAAACCATATCCACAGCAGTTGATTGTAACGCCAAAGCTTGTCTTTTTCCTGAAAAATAAAGAGAAAAACAAAGTTAAATTAAGTATGTGCCATACAAAAAGTGCATGTCAAACTTACTATTCGTTCGGTAATATTTTCCTGAAATTGTGTACGCAAATATCGCAGAGCTTTATCGATACGCTCCTGATTGGTTTTTGCATTATATATTGGCATTAAGAATCGGACATGCTCAAACATTGGTGCCTCAACGGGACTATCAAACACCATTGGACGTAGAAGACATTCTATGTTTTTTCTAAAAATTAAATTATAAATTAATATGTATTAATAAAAAGTTTTACTTTGACTAATTATTATTAATTAATTTTAATTACAATTCATTATTTTGTGCATTCGCATATGCATACGCTTTACAACCGATCATTCCTTGCAGTGCATATGATAATAATCGTGAAAATTTCTCATATTCATAAAGGCAGGATTTTGCTTCGCTGCGCACCTTCTGTCCCAGATGACGCGACAACTGCTCGGCTATAGCATCTAATAGTGACGCAGCATTTGTGCTGGTGAAGAGGCCACCTTGTATCGGTTGTGGCATTTGGCTTTGTTGTATATTACGCATAATTTTAATGCGTTTTAGGCAAGCTTCTGCTTCTGAGTTCAACTGCTCCGTATTGACAAAGCGATTACGTTTACGTTCCAAATCCAATTGTATTGCAATCCATACAAGTTCAGCATTGGATAAGGCATCCGAAATTATTTTCGTTAAACGCTTATCCGTTTCTTGACGTTTTAGTGCACGATCCAATTTTAACTTTGTATTTTCATAAAGAATCAATTCCATGCGTTGCTGTGTATGCTGTCGTACATGCAATGTAAGATCGTTCATTAGGGTTTCATAGGCAATTTTCAAATGATGTTCGTTCATTAATTCCAACTCTCGAGTTTCATGCTCTACATCAGCAATGCTTATGACATGTATTTGTGAGAGATCTAAGAGATCAATTAATGACTGTGTGGCTCTTGACTTTGCCTTTTCCTTAATGTATTCGAGTGTGTAGTATTCCATACTTTAAAATATATTTAAAAAAAAATAAATAAAAATAAAAATAAAGCATTTATAGTAAAAGAAAATTTGGAGTTCTTACGATTTAGCCAAAGATTGTAGTTTGTCGGAAAATTCTGTATGATCCACAGCGGTGTTATCTAGATCTGTATAATCCTGGACAGAAAAAAGCAAGCTGAGAATTAAAAAGAAACTACAGCATTTGTATTTAAATTTGGTGTCTACCTGTATTTTAAAATTCTCCTTCATATATAAAGTAAAATATTTCATGAAAGTCTCACATTTGAGCAAGTATTGATCAATAGGTAGCTGATGTATGAATAGGGGCGGTGATTGCTAATAAAATCAAATAAGCATAATACTTTAAACATAACTATCGAATATATTTATTTATTTATTTATTTAATAATAATAACAAAGCATTAGTACAATAAGATTTCCATATCTTTTTTAGTACAACAGAGATAGTGTGAAGAATAAGTAAATATTACTTTACAGATACCTTAACAAAAATAATAATAAAAATAAAAATAATTATAATATATAATGAGTTGAGTATGACAAAAACTTAAACAATTATTGAATGGTCAGTCTATGTTTGAAATTTGGCCTTTAAAATGCATATATATGTGGTTCTTGAAATTGCTTCTGTTTAATTTCCTCCTTAAATTAGCAGGAAGAGAGTTCCATAATCGACTAGCATTGACAAAGAACAGCCTTGATGATTGCTGTGATCTATGAAAAGGTATTATTATATTACCTACTCTGGCTGACCGAGTAAACGATAACTTGGAAAAAAGATAACTAGGTGATTGAGTCATGATGAGCTTGCAAAGAAAAATACAATTTCTGGCTTTATGATAGTCCGCAATCGTACATCCTAATATCTGATCTTTCCAAGACGAAATGTGCTCATATTTGGAAAGACCAAACACGTACCGTGTGACATTATTAAACATAACGTCAATTTTACGAGCAGAAAAACTGTCATGTTTGCTGTATACGACTTCAGAGTACATGATGACCGGAAGAATAATTTGTATAGCAAGTCGGCGTCTGGTAGCAGTGGGTGTATAGATAGCTGACTGCCTAAGATTCCTCAGAATGAGATAGACCTTACTAACTATGGAGTTTACATGATCCGTGCATGTAAGATTAGAGTTAATAATGTATCCTAAGTTTTTAATCTTGCTGACTAATTTTAAGGGATAATTGTCTATGAATATTGGGGGCAAAAAATCCAGATTTGTCAGTTTTCTAGCACTGATTGGCAGCACAAAGCACTTGTTTTTATTTAAAATTAGACCGCTGGCAGCCGCCCAGCAAGAGATATCAGCCAAGTCAGTATTAATGCTTTTACATAACTCTTTAGCTTGATCAAAAGGTGCAGATAAATATAACTGAATGTCATCAGCATAACCATGCAGGTTTGAAAATTTGCACACACTGAAGATGTCATTAATAAATATGCTGAAAAGCAGAGGACCAAGGATGGAGCCTTGAGGCACCCCTGAAGTAACTGGCTTGAGTTGCGATGAGTCCTCCCCAATTTTTACAAATTGAAACCTGTCAACAAGGTAGCTTTTCACAAGTTTTAAAGCACTACAACTAAAACCAAAGTACGCTTTCAACTTACAGCTTAATAACTCATGGTTGACCATATCAAATGCTTTTGAAAAGTCAAGTAGGCAAAGCAAGGTGAATTTATTTTCATCCATGTTGGATCGAATATCATCACTGATCTTTAGTACCGCAGTACTACAGCTGTGATTTTTCCTGAAGCCTGATTGAAACGGAGATATTAAGTTATGCTTGCTTACAAATTCGTTTATTTGCTTAGCTAAAAGCATCTCAAAAACTTTAGACAATACAGGGAGGACGCTTATTGGTCGAAAATCAGACGGACTACAAGGACGGTTCTTTTTAGCGACAGGTAGTACAGTGCCAATTTTCCATTGCTCTGGGAAACAAGACGTGGTAATACAATGATTAATAATGTGCGTTAGTGTCCCAAGAATGCAAGGTAGTATAATTTTAATAAATTTAATTGGTAAACCATCATGCCCTATTGCATTGGATGAGATTTTAAATATACTCATTGCAACATCATATTCACTAACAGCTGAAAATAGAAAACAGTCATCCCTAAACAAGAGATCATCCCTGGACATAAAGTTAATAGTGTCACTGTGTGGTACACAGTTTAGAAGAAAAGCATCATTAACCACATTTGCTTCTAAGGAACATTCGACATTCTCCTTACAATGAACACCAAGTCGTTTAATGTTACGCCATAGAACCTTTGTTGAGAGGCCAGAATTTAGTTTCTTGTTAAAATAAGCTCGTTTTTCATTTCTGATAACAAGCGTCGCTCTGTTTCGAGCCGATTTAAAGGCATTCCAATTTTCCAACGTGGGTTTCTTTTTCCATATGGAATGAAGTTTATTTCGTAACTTAATTGATTTCAGAGATTTTGAGGTAAACCATGGACAGGACATAGACTTATTAGTGATTGTACGAATGGGGACATGTCTCTCGAAGGCTGACTTTAAAATTCCCATTAAGAAATCAAGTTTTTCATCGGTAGATGGATATATCCAGCATTCACTCCAGTCTACACAATACAATTCCGAAAGAAGTAAATTTGTGTTGACAAAGCGGTAATCTCTAAAAGAGATAGTCTTATTTATGCAACAACGATCGATATTTATGTCCAAACAGCAGAAAATGAGATCATGGTCAGATATAAAAGTTAATTGGTCAAATTTTAATACAGTAGTTAAGTCAAGAATTATGAAGTAGTCAAGAAGACTAGGAGTGCAATTCACTGCAAACCGCGTAGGAAGAGATCGGTTGACCACAGAGAGAGAGCAACTGGATAGATTGTCAAGTAAATTATTTGTATAAGAGTCGTTGACAAGAAGATTAACATTAAAATCACCACATACTATAACTGAATTGTACTTAACAACATATAAAGAAATTACATCAAAAAAAGGTTTGACAACATTAGTTCGGTGAGGATTATAAACACAAGAAACAACAGTCTGGAATTTTTTGTGGCTTACTTCTACAATTAAATATTCAATATCGCTATCAGCAGATTTTGAAAGTAATTTCATAGAAAATATGTCCTTGCAAAATATTGCAACCCCACCTCCTCTTCTTCCTGGCCTGTCATGACGTATTAATTTGTAGTTTTTTATGTTAGTAGACGAGTAACATAAATCCTCATCAAACCATGTTTCAGAAACACAGATGACATCAATTGATGAAAGCTCAAATGTGTTGCGAACATAATCCATTTTATCTGAACTTAGACTCCGCGCATTGAAATGGACTATGTTGAATCCACTGTTTTGTTTACATAGCACATCAATCATGAGACTGTTCATGCCAATACTAGGACAGCTGTTTTGCATGCTCAACAAGAACAAAAACATAAGCAACCTCAAGAATAACAATATAAAGCAAGGAAAAGAGAATGACCATTTTTACAAAAACATTCAAATAAAACATATATGAAATATATATAAAGCTACAATACAAATAAAAATATAAATATAAATATAACAAGTTAATGTTAACGAAATCGCTGAAGATCATCAACATTTCCTATTTTGCATGCAGTGGAGTCTGTACTGAGTCTAACATAAACATCTCCTCTCATAGAGAACACCGACTGCAGCTTCCCCAAACGTTTTAGCTTTAAACCTTCTTGTAAAATTTTTCTTTTCTCGGTAGACAGGCTCTCGAAGATGCTAAACTTGCCATCAATTCCTATAGATGTTAGGGGAATAGCCGATTTTATTCTCTTTCGACATTCAGAAAATGCGCGAAGAGTACGCGCGCGATCAGCAGGAGAATAAAATTTTATAATTATCATATTCGACTGTTTTATTCTGAACGCATCACGTATCTGTGGTACCATAAAGTCGATGGAGAGACATACTTGGTTGAAGATACTCCTAATGTTCTCTCCCTCCGTAAATGGTACACCAAAAGCAATTGCATCTGCCTGAGAACTCTCACCTCTGCTTGACAGCAAGTTTATTGTTGCTTTAAGTTTCTGCATTTCACCTTCTTGTTTTTTCATATCAGCCTCAAGTCGCAAAACGCGCTCAGCAGACTCATTACACTTAAGATTTAATGCGCTGACTTCATCACTCAGCTTCTTCATGAGCATCTCTTGCATATCATTGATTTTGCCAGAGAGCGTGTTAAAAAGTGAGTGCATCTCTTCAGTTTGCATTTTCACTCTCTCCTCCAAATCTCGTACTGCAGTCAGTAAAGTGGGGAGAGCATTATTATTGTGATCGTCAAGCTTAAGAGACTTGGCGAACGGTGATTCTCTGCTAGCACGGCGTTTTAGGCTGGATTGGCTGGCTGAGGGGCTCATATTTATTTAAAAAGTAAACTGATGAATATAAGCACAAATACAAAAAGATATACAAGAAAATCAGCTTCAACGGGTAGACAAACAAACAAACTGTCTCACTGAAACAATACCAAGAATTTTTATTTAAAATGCCACCGAAACAGTATTAAACTCTCGAGCGTAGACAAAACACGTCCGGCCGCAATGACTTCACAATATTCAATAAATATTAAAACTACACTTACAATTTTTGTAAAACAACGTGTTGCCTCATTAGATAATTTCAAATTTTCACGCTGCATTTCTTCTAGTTGCCGTGCTTTGGCTTGACATTCGCTTAGAAGATCACTCTCTCTATTCGTTAATATGCTGATTTCGTTTTCCAAATCACCGAGTTGGGAATTGATTTTATTTTTGGTACATCTAGCAAAAAAAAAAAAAAAAGATCAAGGTATTAAATCTGGATTTAGTATTTTGCACCATAAGAAAAAAATTGAGATCGAAAAAAAGATTTATAAAATAAAATACCTCATATCATCGACTAAGTTTACATAACACTCTTCAGTATGTTCCAACAAGTGAAGCTCTTCAATCATACTGGCAACTTGCTCTTCGGTATATTGCAATAAACCGGGATTTGCGATCTCCAGCTCTTTCAATTTGGCTGCACGCTCATCAGTTTCCAACAAATCATTTCTATGTTTTAATTCCTCGTATTCCAAAACTTCATGTTCGGTTAGTATATTTACATCGGTGATATTTTCAGTGAAAAAATTGAAAAATTTTTGGAAACGATCATCATATAGTATCCATTGATTAGCACAGTCAAACCCCAATTTCTTAAATCCATCAAAATGCTATTAAATAAAAAGTATATAGTGTGCATATAAATTTCATAAATTTGAGTTATACTTATATATTATACTTACATTAATTAAATCGCCCATCGTTACGAATTATGAACTAATAAATAGCAATGAAGTTGATCTTTTCTTTGCGGCTATATTTTTGTAAACAGTATTTAAAATTTCAGCAGTAATGCCAAACTTGTATAATCCCAAGTTTTAACTACACTTTTCTTATCACAGGGTGCACCACATTTCATATTTTCCCCTGAATTTAAGGAAGTCCTTCAATAATTGCGGTCATGAACGGTTTAGAAAAATATTACAGGTACTTTGAAAGTACCTCAAATAAGAAAATGCCCAGGCTATTATAAATTACCAAATGTTCGTTGACTTGTGGTATTCTACAAACATTTTGTTCAAAGAAATAAATTTATTTCAAAGAATTTCTTTCTGTAACAACAAACAGGGTTGTATTAAAATATTACTTAAATTTAAGAACCACTTTTCGAGACCATTTTTAATTTGCTTGTAAGCACTGTGCCGTACAACAGGGTTGCAGAAATGGTATTACTATTTATGTTGGTTTGGCAGCACTTTTTACCGCTGGAATGACAATACAATTTCATGTCATTACAACTGTTTGCAGAAATAATTGATTGTAAAAACTTTTAATTTAAACAGAAAAATGGTAAATATATCTTTTACATTTTATTCTCTTATTACACATATACAGTAATTGAATGACTTTGATAACAAAAAAGTCTAGACTTCCGCAGTAAAAGTCCTAATTATGTATGTTTTGTAGGCACGTCGTTATGATTCGCGTACAACTATCTTTTCGCCGGAAGGTCGATTGTACCAGGTGGAGTATGCAATGGAAGCTATTTCTAGAGCTGGCGCCGCATTAGGTATTCGTGCAGAAGACGGTATAGTTATAGCGGCAGAGTGTCATACTACAAGTCCATTGCTAGACAATGATATCTTCCAGGATAAAATTTATAAGATCAATGAGTAAGTACAAAAAAAATGTAATATTTGTTTTGCTTTACTTCATTAAATGCACTTGCAGTCATATTTGTGTGGCTGTCGCTGGCATAACTTCGGATGCTAATGTTTTAGTAAATGAGATGCGTTTAATAGCACAACGTTACCAATATAACTATGGTTCGCCAATACCGTTGGAGCAATTGGTATCACATTTGTGTGACATTAAGCAGGCATATACTCAATATGGTGGCAAACGTCCGTTTGGTGTGTCGATTTTGTATATGGGCTACGATAGACGTCATCAGTTTCAACTATACCAATCGGATCCTAGTGGCAATTATAGCGGTTGGAATGGCACCTGCATTGGCAAAAGCTTTGGTGTTGCTATGTCTATGCTAAAGACAGAGCTGGCAAATCGGTAAGAATATGGATATAAAAAAATAAAAACTGCTCTAACTACTAATTTTATAATTCGCAGTTATGACAATCCCGAGAAACCTCTTACAACTGAAGAAGCCAAGAAAATTGCAATTAAAGTGTTAGCTAAAAGCATGGAAGGCATAAATGCGGAAAAGGTAGAAATGGCAGTTACCACATTAGGTAGTAATTCACGTCCAGTAATAAAAATGGTTCAAAAAGAAGAAATCGAACGATTGATAACCAAACATAATGAGGAGGAAGAAGAAAAGAAAGCGTCAACGTCAACAACAACTTAAACTTAAAGATATCCGATTTTTATATCTAATATTTTATGTTTCGAAATTAAACGGAAATATCAAGTGTTAAAAGTAATCGTCTGACTTTAATTAAATGGGATATATACGTAGCAGTGCTTCGTTTATCTAATAAAATTACATTTTGAAACATAAACAACGGTGTATTTTAACTGCTGCAACAGACAAATCGGGTTTTAAAAAATATTTCACATTTTCTGGTATTGTTTGATTAGAGGAAATACATAAGTTTCTTGCGTAAAGAACACTATTGGAGCTAGTTTGGACACTCAAGTGTGCTTGTGGAGCATACAGTAATTTTAGACAAAAATTTATTGAAAACGATCCCGTCTATTGGCTTTTTTCGCCCAAGAACCTACGTCACAACTTCAAAAACTAAGTGTTGATAGTAAGATGCACCCAATTTTTTTAACTAATACTTGGCGCAATCTCTGCATGATACACTTCTTGATTTCCGCTGAAACTGTTGATTACCACTTGTCAAAGTCGATATTGCCGTGGTTATTATCGATAACTGTTGGCCGTATAGTAGGGATCTTTCGCGTTGGAAAATTAGATTATCAAATAAAAGTTTCAAAATTGTAATTGTAAACATTTACTATCTTTATTTAACACCAGTGTTTTCACCAATCCGCTCTTATAAACCTGCCGAGTGCTCGCCGTAATTATGTCAGAATGTTCTCGATAACGAATATTTGATATATGATAAAAAAAATTGCTAAAATTGCTAATTTAGTTGTATAAATCGGCTAATGGGTTTATGTAACGGAATAAACAGATTAAGATTGATATAGACATACTTACATCTATGTATATGTACACACAACAACAAGCTTCATGGAACAACGAGACGAATCGATTCAACTATATCTGTCGGTCCGGCCATCTACACATCTTCCCACCCTTCCGCCTGCGAACATGATAACTTAATTGAAAATTGAGATATTTTAAATTAATTTGTTTTACATATGCTCACAATCATAACCATTCAATATGGTTGAAATCAGACCAGGTTCACATTTTTTTTCCGCATATAACGGTAATTTTGAAAACATGCGAAAATCTCGTACTTGATCTTCCTTACTTATTTTTTCTAAATATATATATGTATGTATGTATATTTAAAAATTTTGCTTTTGCGAAATATTTTTTTTTTTATTAATTTAAAATTATAACCCAATCTTCTTATAACAACATATTTTCAATAACAGTACTTTTAACATTTTCAACCGGGGAATGCATGTATGTGTGTATTGTATGTAACTGTGATATTTATCCAACTCGTACAACTGGACTACCTCTGTTTGCTCGATTACCACTGCGTCTCCTGCCGTTTGCACGATTCCTGTTGCGATTAGCTCTGCGTCCTCTATTACGATTCCTGTTGCCTCTCCTGTTACGACTATTTCCAGTTCCACTTCCGCTGTTACTGCCACCGTTTAGACGTAAACGCCTAACTGCTGTGTAACGGATACTGCCAACGAATCTCTTGGAACCGGTATTAGAACTATATGATGACGGAGAGGTGTTACTTGACGTACTTGGACTGGAATATGTGGAATTTTGGGACACACATAGCTTCACTGCGAAAATCCCAAGGAGCAGAAGTGGTCCAAAAATTTGTAGAAGTTTCATTTTTCGTTACAAAAGTGAATTGAATTAGATGAATGAAACGTTTGATGGCTGTTTCAAAAAAATTACTGGCTTATATACAACCGCCGTGTCATTGAGGCAGGTGAGTTAGACGTCTGGTAGTGAAGTTTTCGCAAAAAATGGAAACGTCTGTTCAAATAAAGTTGACATTGACTAAAAAAAAATACATGGATCGTAGTAAACTAACTTTTACTCGTAAAAATCATCGAATTTGAATGGCGCCGCTTGAACATGTGCGACCCAAATAACGCCCATGTACGGTTTGCGGTTGTTTATTTCACTACGCATACATCTGCACACAGTCATACATAGCATGTACTGTAGTGAGTTGAAAAATATATGTATATTAGAATTCCCCTTAAAAATTCCTACCTTGAGCGTGGTTGTACACCGATAACCCAGGAAATATTTACATTCTTATGCAAACAAAGCGCAAAACCGTTCAACGTACTCTTTCTCTGCAACTCATACATTGCACTGCTAAATTCGCGATGTCAGCTCGTACCGTTTATCGTTCCATCGTCTGCGGTATTCGCCGTTCGAAATGCGTAATGGATCAAAATGTTTCCGCTAAACCTTTCTTTCGAAAACTCCTACTGCCGACTCATGGAAGTTCGACATCGGTCACGCCTTTGCAAAATAAAGCAGGATGGGAATGAAAACTTGTAGAATATAGGTTTAGTTCCATGAGAGAGGACTTCACCTTTAAATGTATGCTTAGGCCAAAGTACCATCTGTGGGCAAGTGTGATTTTGCCTTGGTTTTTGATGCTGATATTTTTGCTGGTTCCTAGATAGTTGAAATTTTCTACGGCTTCAGAGTTACAGCTGCCAATTGTGGCATGGGAATTGAATAGTCAACGCATTTGCTTCTTCGATGATAACAGATATTTTGTGTCGCACTCGTCACTACCAGATCCACTTGCTTCGCTTCTTTATAATCTGGTGAAAGCAAAAATAACAGTGCGATTGTTTAGGCAGTAAGCGAAGATTTCATCCTCTCTGTTCAGCTTTGCGACTTGTATTATTTTTTCGAGCGGGACACCTTGTCTGAAATCTCATTTAGTATCGAACAGCACGGAGAGGTCATTCATATGAATCGGATAAAGAGTCAGCTCCTTTGCATGCTTATTGAATCAAGGAATAGGTAGAACGTGACGATCCTTTTCGAATTGATCTTTACGGAGATTTGATGCAGGTGGATGAAGTAGCTGGCGCATCCACTTTCCAGGCCTTGGTCACTGTTCGTGATGCGGTTCAACTCAAATCTCTCCGCTACTGCGTGGCGTTCCTCAGCGACCCACCTCTTTTGTAAATAGTGCAAGTCGAGTAGGAAGCTGGGGTCGAAGTTAGGGCTTAGTAAATCTTTAGTTCAGGTAAGATCTTGTAAAATCTTACTAAAGCCTTGAAATCGGAGGAGGCGCCCTGGGTTTTATTTGGAATGGGGCGAAACATTCAAACACCACCGAACACCAAATTTGCGGACCTTTATATGGTACTAAATATCACAAGGACCTAAATTGTTTTGCCATTTTCCCTTCTATCACATCCCTTGGACGGTGCTAAGTCATAGAATTTTTGAAAGAGCGCCAAAGACAATCCCATACCTAATTTGAAGTAAACGACTACCTCTTACGTTATGCAACAATACTTAAGAGAACTGCAGAACGCGTCATGTCACCGACAAACTTAAAAACCCAACGAAGATCTCAAAAAGCCCACTACGCCTGAGTAATCTCGACCCAATCTAAATATGGATATTGTAGATTCACAATATGTAACAATACAAAGGAAATGTTGCTTTCCCCTTTTCCCATACCTAAATGATAATGGTATTATAGAGCTATATTCATAAAAATAAGATTTTCAAAGAGAGGGAATGACTTCCAGAATGGCTATACTTAACACTACTTGCGTTAATCACCACTGGGTTGAATATGTCTGATACTATTTATAACATTTCCTACATGACTCTTACATTTTGTTCTTAGTCATTCTCCTTAAGGTACTCCCACATAGAAATAAAATTTGAAATGTGTTTAAATAGTGCGAGGGTATGAAATGCAGCACTGCTTTCGGCTCTGGATTTGACATTTCTACGAAAAAGAGCAGGTTAGAAAACGAAATAAACATATAAAGGAAATGAAAAAAAGTGGACGAAACGGAATCACTTCTGGAAATTTACAAAAGTTTGTGAAATTTTTACAAAAAATTAAGCAGTAAACCATAAGAGGAACGTTTAAGAATTTACAATAAAATAAACCGATAAATTAAACAATATTGGTCTGTAAATTCGGCAATAGGCGACAGGTGAAAAATTTACAACAGAAATGACTGCTCCACGAAGACTTCGCAAGGAGTTGACCGATCTGCAAGCTTGCGGTCTGAAATCATTTCGGGATATTAATGCAGATGAAGAGAATTTACTGCGTTGGACGGGTTTGATAGTACCAGATAATGCTCCCTATAATAAAGGCGCTTTTCGTATTGAAATCAACTTTCCAGCAGAATATCCTTTTAAACCGCCAAAGATAATTTTTAAGACTAAAATCTATCATCCGAATATCGATGAGAAGGGACAGGTATGCTTACCTATTATATCTACGGAGAACTGGAAGCCAGCAACACGTACAGATCAAGTAGTTCAAGCATTGATTGCATTAATTAATGACCCGGAACCTGAACATCCTTTACGTGCCGATTTGGCTGAAGAATATTTACGGGATCGAAAGCGTTTTATAAAAAATGCTGAAGAACATACACGTAAGAATAGCGAAAAGCGACCGACGGATTAGGAGAGGTGCTGCCAAAAATAAAAAATTATATGTGAAAGTAGAAAATTATAAACCTAATAATATATACGGAAATAAATAATCATTGACATTGAATTGTACTTCCGCTTACTTGACACGTTTGTGGAAAAATATTGCAAATGGTATCAGAAAAGGAAACAATTTAAAATACATGGTATGAATGTGGGTAAAAAGTATTGCAAGCGTTTACGTATTTACTATATTTTAATGGACAGTTTTTAAATAAATATACTCCTCTTGAGCATTTTAATAGAAAGCATAATGAAAATGGGAGAGGAATTTACTTTAAAGAAAACATTTTAATTATGTTTATAAAGTTCATTTTTATTTTTCATTAAAAACTCTTATATTTATTTTAAATCTAAATTGCTTAGAAATATTGAGAGTATCTAGCTTAGTTGTTTAAAGCTAGTTTAAAGTTTTTCAACAACAGCTGGTTGTTGTGATTGGTCAATGCATTAGCGAATTCATTCCGATGCAATTTATCAATAGGCAAAATGCATAAAATATTCAAATCATCCACAAGAAGTGAATGCAATTTTTTCAAGGTAGATATTTGTTCTTTTGTAAATTTATCACGTTTGGATTGTAACTCAATCTTAAATTCCGGCTCTGTTGAGATATTTAAGTGTTCATACATATACAAAGCCAAAAAACGTAATACCGAAACCGACAAATGTGTTAGTAAAATTATATTTGAAAAAACGATTTTTCGAGGTTGCTTTTCATAAATGGTGCCGAGCAATTGTATCAGAAATTGGCGAGGAAGAAGCGAAAAACTTCGCGTCTTATCATTATTAATAGGAATTTTCATATCGCCCGCAGTACAACTAGGCGCCGTTATGAATATGGGATCACGGCCTAGAATTTGTTTAAGTTTCTGGTGAAACTGCATTACAAACGGATGTACAAATAGGCTACTAAGCAATTCCGTAAATAAAGCACCACGATAAATACGAAACTCTGGATTTGATTTACTTGAAATTTCGCTTTCTTCATGAAAATTCATTCCATAATTCAAATCCAACATTTTTTCCAGATTGTTCATTGTGCGATGCAATGCAAATATCCGCTCTTCCATGGTTGTGTCCTTTGCCATTTCGCGTTCGGAGTATGAACCTTTGCAAAAAGGTTTTGATTTGCAATTTTCATTCGTATTTGGACAGCTAAATAAAATTTTATCTTCCTCGGCAATGCAGCTCACCTTGTAGCGAGTGTAAAACTCATTTGCCGTGTGTGTTCGCAAATGTTGCTTATAAATTACTTGCCGTCGTGTTGGTTTTATTTCATAGGCTTGTATATTAGACTCAATGGCTTCAATTTGCAAATTCATAAAAAGGCGTGCGCATATTTCGTGCTGGAGCAAAAAATCGGTTGGTAAATGCGATTTTGGAAATAGTGGTAATATGTTGATACATTCAACGTTTTCTTTCATTTTTTGCAACAGTTCTGGTAAATATTGTGTTTCCTTTTTGTAACCAATACAAACAAGATAGACTTCTGAATTCCCACGCTTCGAGGTGGCCGGTTTAAAAACATGTACTTCTTCAAAAACGCAATTAAGTAAAAAAAGTTGGCAGACGCTCGAAGATTCAAAAAGCGTAAACATTTTTACCACAAAGCATCCACCATCCGCTAATATACTTAAAGCAGTGGTGATTTCAGCAAAATGAAGAGATGCGACTACTTCTTCTTGGCAATCTGGTGCGTCAACGCAGTCTATTGAGCCATCAGCTGTAATGAGCTGGACATTATTTCCCAAACGTTGTTTGCACTGTTCCTGCATTTGCTCGATATTATTACGACTGATAATATTACCGGTGAAGTCATCATGCATTAGCCAATTGTCAAACGTATGAAACATGAATCGATCATCTGAAATCATTCCGCTACTTGGGTTACCTTCATAATAGGGATTAAGCGTTGTTGAAAGCCAACGCCACCGCACCTAAGGAGAGTGTTAATACATTAAAAATTACATTATGAAATCAAATTAAATAAGATAATATATGAGTTTTGATGAATTACATTAAAATGCTTAAAATTAAAACGACTTTCAATTCCATAACACTCACTTCACTTTTTTGGAATGTCGAATGCAAGTAATGATTCAAAGCAGCAATAAATGCACCCGGCAACTCGCACAGATGCAACGAATTCAAATGTGGCCCTTTCACAAGTGGGTAGGAGTGCAGGCATTCGAAAAATTTACACCAAGCTATCGTGACAAATTCTGCTTTCGTTTCATTTTTCAAACGCCATGGAATTTCATTAGAAGGATCCTGTCGTCTTGTATGCAAACTCCAGTCTTCAATGCTGTAGTCATTCAATTTAGACTTAACTTTGTTTAGTTTTGGTTTCAGTTCTTGCAGTGTGTTTATTTGATAAAATTCTGCAAACATTTCATCTGGTTTTGGCAATTTCCAACCGTCTTCTCCTGATGGTTTCTGATAATGGAATTTCTTTTCAAACATTTGGTTTACTTCGTATTTGTCTATTTGTGGTTTATATGGATTTGATTTGTCGTCAACATGCCCAGGTGCATCTTTGATCGGGCTGCCAAGGTTAGTGGCAGTTTGTAAAAGTCCACTACGTGGTACTAAACGTGCATCGTCTTCCATATTATATACAAAGTACAAATTTTTTCAAATTAAACACTGAAGGAACAAACCAAATTAAATGGCTCGGTTTCACATTACAACTACAAATTTGTAAATAACTTGAATATAGGCGCCCATATATTTAAATTGACGGCGGTGAATTTAATAACCTCTCTCATAAATCATTGTCTACATACATAGATTTACGTAAATAGAGATTAAACCGCTGAAAAATCAATACATATCGGAAATTATTAATTCTCTAAACATTTTCGGTATACATCTTACGAAATATTCTGATAAATAGTTTTTGAGTTTAATTTTCTGATTTCAAATCATATGAATTGTTCTGTAGATGATTCCGTGGTTTTTTTAAGCATTTATAAAAACGATATGTCACCCTGTTCAACAAATCTAAATCTTTGAAATGTGGTATTCGGAATGCGCAGGCAAGAGTGGTTTGGTATCAAATAAAACGCGAAATTTTAAAAGAATTATGTTCTAAAAAGTAATATTGTTTGAAAATAAATTTTAAGTGCTGAAAATATTTATTGGAAAGCACAAGAACATCAAACAACAACATGGGCGTAAAGAGCAACAGGTCAGGATGTAAAATGTATTTCAAATAAATCTTATGTATATATGTAAGTATATGCAATGCATTTCCTGTTTGTATATCGTGCGTTGTCAGCAACTACCATTTCAGCGTAAAAAGAAGAAGAATCATTTCCAGAAGCAAGATGAAATAGTTTTATATGTAATAGGTATTTTTAAATGACAGTTTCTTTTAATGTAACCTGCTAGTAAACGACCAAAGAGATGAAAATCTAAAGATAAGCAGCTATATTTTTAGTATGAAAACACTTTTCCAATCTGCTGATTGGAATGTTAGTGTACTCTGCCTAATCCACAAAGGGAAACCGCACGGTCTGCGCCAATTACCAAAGGTTAAGCATTGTATATATCGCTTATAAGGCTCTTACAAGAGTATTGTGTGGTCTTAGATCTACACTTGCCCGAATATTTACCATGTGACAAATCTGACACACCATCTTGTATCTCTAAGCCGCTTCGTCTGAGCTTGATATCAATTGCCTTAAAAACAGCGCCGTGAGTTCCGATATATAACGTGACGTTGACATAGTTCATAGTTGCCGGTGGTAAGCCCCGGAAATAGCAAAAAGTTCTCAGATATGAGAATTATTATTTAACCTTATGTTTGAATTGCAACAAGATACTTACATATTTACAAGTAGCCAAGTAGTATAGGTTATACTTATGTATATCATCTAGAAAGATTTCATTTTCTACACATGACATTTATTCCGTAGTAAAACCGTTATAATATGAAAGAAAAAATGCAAATTTTATAATAGCAACATAAATCATTTATTTTTTGTTCTTTTTTCTTACAGTTTTATATATGAACATACATACACTAGTCTGAAGGGTTTAGTTTCTGCTTGAGTGATTCACTTCTAAACACATTAACAACACAATACAGTAAATAGCATATGCATTTACAAATATTAGAACCGCTTACATACGTACATATATTTATAACTACTTTCTATATAATAAATAGTATGTATGTGTTTTCTCAGTTTTCATAGTAATGATTCAAGTTTAAAAAGTTATGTTTTTTTACAGAATGTCGAGAAATACATGAAAAATCTTAATAACGGTAAGTACAAAAAAAAAGTGAAGCAATGAATCTCAACCATCCATATACGTTTATCTCGGAACGTATGTGTATATGCATGTACACACATAATATCATATGCATTATCACACACCATTATCCAAATAACATAAAAGTAAAATTATGTTGAAAATTTTAAATATTTTACTAAAAAAAATGCGAAAAACGAATTGATACGAACAAACTAAATATTAGACTAGGTGTTTTTATGTTTGCTTAATTTTTTAATTTTTTTTTTTTAAATTTGATTTTATGCAAATTTTTGAGCTCGATAAATAGTATTACAATGGTTTTTTATTTATTAATGTTTTTAATTTATTTTATGTTTTAGTCACACCAGGATTTGTATAATAGGTTTCATAATTTCCTTTCATGTAAATTGAATTTCTTTAAACATTATACGCTCTTTGTATGTGAGTGTGTGCGTGTGAGTGTTTGTGTGTAAATTGCAAATGCTTGATTGTCTCCATTTATTAAGAGTTTAAATGACATTTCTTATGGCAATAATTACGTCTACGTTTTGTATTTTTTTCTATTCTGTTTATATTTTTATTGCTATTTTTATTTTTTATGACAGTTAACTTTTTAATTACATTATTTGCCTTAGCTTTCAAAAAAAAACATAGATCTTAATATTACCTTATAAATATATGTATTTTTTAAGAATTGTCAAGATATAATTATGTGTTTAAAATGTCTTAACACATCAACAGTATAAAAATTATAATAACATTCCCTGAAACCAGAAATGCTTAACCAACAATACGATACGATTTCATCATGTTAATGTAAAAATTAACTTAATGAATTGATTTTGATGCTTTTCAACGCCACATTATCGAAACGAAGTGAAATTGTTTGGATTAAAACCGGCCAAACTCATAGTAAAAGTTGATTTTAAAATGACTGCCTGCTGTGATTTAACAGCACACTTCAATGTTAACACTTAACATTATCTGTTAACGATTTAACATTAACGACAACATTTCATTTGCGTAAAATGCAAAGCTGCATCGTAACGATAAATTTCACGTTAAGTAAAATATTTCGAATGAATGATTCGAATGAAACATTTGGAAATGTTACTGCTAAAACAGTTATCAAAATATATTTTATTTCGTCTTTACCCGAAATGAATATGCTATCGTTAATCTTAAATCCCTAACAGATCATGTTAAACTTTAACATTGAAATGTGCTGTTAATGTCATAGCAGTCAGCAGTCGGCTGTTGAAGCGAAAAGAGAACGTTACAATATGAAGTCAATAGCAGTCAAGACTTCTCTGCTTTGGGTTTCATTTACAACTTTGCCAGCAAAATGAAAAACGACAATGCCACGACACATTGAATAATTTTCTATTTAGTTTTAAATTTATAATGCTAATTAAAATCAGTAAATTGCCAGCAGAAAAAGATCAGTTTATAAGGGAAATTTAATAGAGTGCATACGTATCTATATATACATATATGTTATCTTTAGACTTTTGGTTTTCAACGAGAGAATAATTTCTTCGGATTAGGTTTTTTTTCACAGCTGTTACTTGATTTATACTCAGTTTCGCTTGCCATTTCATAATGAGCATACTTAATTGAGAACAACATTTGCAAATCGTTCACGCAACACATCGGCATAATCACCCGCAGAGTCGGTAATTCGTGAGAGCATTGAATCAGCTTCCAACCACGTTTATTCTAGTCGATAATGCGCATCCCCACAGACGCCGTATAATGCACATCGAATACGCTTTGCTGCTATGAAGCAGAGTATTGAAAAAAAAACCGAAAGACGCGCAACAATTGGAGCTGCACCTAAGCACTTTATGGAAGATTTTACGCTAGAATACTTGTTTGCAAGATTTGAAGCCAAACGACCATTAAGTGCGTTGCATGTTAGGTGAATGGGCTCAAAACAGGCTGACCATCGATCCCGGCTTCCACAAGAAAATTTTGTTCAGCGATGAAGCTCAACTTTAGTCGAAAGCATGCGTTAATAAACAGAATTGTCTCATTCAAAGTGAAGAAAATCCATCTGTCATTATTGAGACTCCGTTACAATCTCAAAAATACACCTTTTGATGTGCTCTATGTGCTTGGGAAACCACTGAACCATATTTCATAAAAAAATAAGTCGGTCACAATGATACAGTCAATGGGGAAGCAATAGAGCTATGATTAATGAACATTGCTTGCTTGAGTTGGAGTATGTTGAAGCGGGAGATCTTTGGTTTCAACTCGATGGCGCTACATGCCACACAGCTAACGAAACAATCAATTTAATGAAGCAAACTTTTGTTAAGCACATTATTACGCTTGGTGAGCATCCAAGATCGTACAATTTAGCAACGCGTAAGTATTTTTTATGGGGGTTATGCGAAGACACTTGTCGACGCAGATAAACTCGAGACACTTGAGGCCTTAGAAAAGAGTATACGGCGCGGTTATTTTCGATAAATCCTGCAAAAGGTCAAAAGCGAAAATTAGCTCTCTAGAATTTGCTCGAGCCAGCTGCATCATTCGCCTGCCCGCAATCATATGACAAACACTTATTTTTATAAAAGATCTATTTTCTTAGCCATAACATTAAGTTAGATGTGTTTTATTACTTTTTAAAAAACACATGCTTTAAAAGGACATCCTTTACTTAGTTGTCAAAATTAATATTTTACGCGACGCAGTGCAAAAGTCTTATCTGCTAGCGGCTTAATAGAAAATGAGAGATCTTTGTTGTTTAGCAATTATTAAACTCGCCGTAAGTGTTGTTTACAAACTTAGGCTCTATAAGGCCTTGAGTTATTAATGAGTTGAAATGTATGCGCGAATATGACATTAATAATTTCCAAAAATTAATTATTTTTTCTCTCTTTACGGAGACTAATGACTGTGACAGAGGTAGAGTTGATGTAGAAAGTGTTTGTTTATTTCGTCGTCGTTTATTCAGCAATTTTTTTCAAAGAGAAGGAAATTATTGCCGTAAACAAAATTTCCAGAGAATAATGTACTATTTTTAAGCTTCAAAAAATCACATTTTAGTATAAAAATATATTGGAAATTTCTAATGTTGTGATGAGCTTTCTGCAGCGGCTGCAGTTTGAGCTCGTGAAACGGTGCTGATGATGGAGGTCGTGCGATGCATTCGAACCAAATTATTTTTTTTTTTATAATTTGTATGAGTGTCTACTTTAAATGAGCTACATAAAGTGTAAAGTTCCACTTTTTTCGAATTTTGAAAAAAAAATATTCACTTCAAGTGGCAAAACTTTACTTTAAATAATTTTTTTGCTCATTCTGTGCATTCATTTTGTGCATTCGAATCTGCTCGACGCTTGGCTACTAAAACTGCTCAGCTTTTCAAATATGTTGAATTAGCCACTGAAATTTCGAAAACATATTATTGGGTAGTTTTAGCGTAGATTAAAAGAAAAAAATGCATTTTTTGAAGCCTCTAAAGCATTTTTAATTAATTAATTAATTTTAATAAATTTTTTTTCTAAATAAATTCAAAAACTTTTCACTTCTGCTTTCTTCTATGCTTCTATTTGTGTCACATAAAATGTCTTGTTACTTAAGATTAATACCTTATTTTGTTTATTTTCTATATTTTTAATAATTCAGAACGAATATATGTATGTAGTAGTTCTCTATCTGTTTTAAGTTATAAAATCAGCTGTTAATGGTGGGAGTTTTCTTATTTTCTTAAACATACGTATGTATAAGCATACGACTATAAGCACTACGTAATGTTACCATTTAATTAAATACGTATATGTACTTACAATACTTATTGTATATGCATGTGTATACATATGTATTTAACTAATTTATGTATATTTAATTTGTGAGTTTTGTCATTTATTCGCTTTATTTTTCAATTATTGACAGCAAATTTTTTTGCTTTTTTTTAATAATTTTTTTAATTTTTTAATTTTTGTAAGCATAGTTCAGCTTTTAACCCCTTTTTATTTTTCTCTCAGCTACATTTTTACTATTAGTTTTATTTGTGGCATTACAATTTATTTTATTTTATTTAAAATTTTTCTGCTTTTTTGTTTGTGAAATAAATTTTATTTAATATATTCATATACATACATACATATATTAAATATATTTTCATTCTATTTTACACACATTTATTATGAAATAATTTATAAGCATGTGTTGTTCTTGTTGTTATTAATTACAAAGTATATAAGACTATGTATGTAGACAGGTTAATACGAGTGGTTAAAATATGATTTCACTTAAATTGAAAATTGGTTTTTGTAAAATTTCACATTTTTTTTTTGTAATTTTATTACGAAACAGTTTAAAAAAAATGCTTAGTTTTATAAAAATTCAGGTCACAAATATTTTGATATTAAATTGAATGCATAAAATTTAGAGTTTGACATTACTTTGAGTCTGGTGCTCTCAAATTGTACAAAAGTGTGTGTGTGTGTGTATTGTGTAATGTAAGGAATTTAGCGAAATTAGTTAAACAAAATAGACAAGAGTTCTTACAACCTTGTGTCTGGATTTAGATTTAGTTTTTTAGTTTTTTATTTTTTAATTTTTTTATTTTCTTATTTCTGTTTTTCTCTTTTTCTTTTCATCTGCAAAATCGTTCAGCAATCTGATCTGCCTCCTTCTTTAAGATCTGTTGTGGTGCGCCTAAAGCTCCTTGGATTGATATCGTTTCGCTCCAGGTGAATGTGATTCAAAATTGCTAACGGTGTCCTCCTCCTCCTGCAGCGAAATGATCTTTGAATGCAAAGAGAAGAGAAAAATATCTTAGTTCATTGGAAAATTGCAAAGTTTTTGCATAAAAATTATTTTAGAAATATTTTTTTCTTCTAAATTAACAATCCTATAAATAGAAATTTATTTTATTTTTCCGAAAAAAAATGTAAGAATTGCGCTATAATTCGGTTTAAAAAGTCTGGCATGACATATGTTCACCTCGATGTTTAACTAAAGCACTACTCATCTATAAATAATAGTTCCAGTTAAAAGTAATCTATTATCTTTGTAACAGACGGCTTTAGTGATCTGTAACTCGGGTTCTATACGTGCGATTGGAATACGCTAGATGGCGGTAGGAAGATGAAATGTTGTATTTGAAAAAAATCGGTACAAATGTTGATCACTTTACTCAGCATTGTTTGAGCGCACGTCAAAGCTGATCGATGCTGATGCGAGCACTAACTCGATTCCCAGCAGCTAAATATTGCACAGAAAACAATTCGGCACCACTTGAAAAAGGCTGAGTTGACGAGAAAAAACATCATGGACCAGATTTCCATTTGCGCATCGCTGCTAAGTCCTAGGGCAGTGAGCCGGCTTAAACGGTCTCCAAGCCAAGACCGACAGCCAGGGAGGTTTTGTTGTTTGTTTGGTGGGATTAACAAGGAATCATCCGCTATGAGCTAGTTCTGACGGCCAAACTTTTAATTTGGATCTTTACCATCAGCAGAGGAATTGTATTTCATCAGGATAACGCCAGACCACACGCACCTATATTGATTATCCAGTAGCTTCGAGAGCTTGGTTGGGAGGTTTTTATGCATCTATTTTAGAGTTCGGGTCTCACATCAAGTGATTACCAACTGTTCGGGTCTATGGTGAATTAATTGTCTGGTAAAGAATTGAGCTCAAGAGAAGTCTTTTTGCCAATAAGGACCAAAGCTTTTATGATAAAAGCATAAAGACATTACCTTGAAATGGTAGAAAGTTATCGAGAAAAACGGTGCAGATTTGACATAAATCGGATAATTGTAACTATGGTAAACGAAGCTATCAACTTAATGCATTCATAATGGACTCGTTTTTACTTCATATTCTTCTACGCTTTGCTTAGCGTAACATTTCACACTTTGCCACGTCAACGCTTTGATCTCAGTAATATTCAGAAAATAAGTGAACTGAGGCTCTCACGGCCACCGGAGGGATTTTGGATTCGTCATGTTGGCAACGCGGTAGTGTAGCCAGACTTCTCCCATTTACAATGAGATCGGTTCAAGGTCAGTACATTGAAAGCCGCCGTTTCGTGAAGAATATCAATCCAGTCTTTAATCGAACAAGGGCAGTACATCAACTCTGCAGGATACTGTGAGGGTCGGAAAAAATATTCTTCGTGCAATAAAAATTTTTCTTTTTGCAGAAAAAAATTAAACGTCATACACATTGCGCCGACAGAAAATATTTTGTCTTACCCTCGCTTACAACAAGCTCTATTCGCTTCCTTGTCCAATCTTTGGTAAATTGCACCTTCCCTATTTATCCCTATTTAGTTGTCACACGGGACTGCGTTAGCCCAGAGCTATTTCACAGTACTGAGGTCGTTTTAATTCTGACGTAGCTTTTGGTATTGCGCAGTTTACATTTCGCGTTGATACAAGATTCGAAAATAAGTTAGATAACCTGTCCATCCCACCTATGCTCCAACTTGCAGTGATACTGGGGATTTTATTCTATCAAGAGTTAGTGGGTAGTGGGTAGGACTGAATCCATAATGACAAGGTTCAATCGGTTCACTGGAAGTGTGCTTTAATTATTCACGTTCTACACTAAAATAGACCTTATATGCATATATTTAGGTGACTACAAGGTCCTCTTCTTTGTCGGTTTCTCGCCAACAAGTGAGAGTTGCTCAGTCGATAGATTGTCAGCTGAGAGCAATTCTTACGCAGATTGCAACAAAATCAGAGATTAATGGCTGAAGATTAGGCCTCGCCATATTCAGTGCTTCCTCTATACAAAAGAATTTTAGAGAATTTCAGTCACCAGATCACCTCTGTGGGTCAAACATGAGTATGCTATTTTTTTTTGAAAGCTTGTATGAGTCAGCACTTTTTCGCATAAAATATTCGAACTATACGCTAAAGTCTTACTGCATCGTCCATTCTCCTGGAGTGCCGCTGCGACAAGAAATATGCTTACCATAAAAATTTGATTTATGGTCAAGTAATAAGTAATACATTATTATTACGCATTAAATTTAAGGCTTTATATGTCTGAAATGTTAGAATTATCCGATCTGTGTCAAATACGCATTGTTTTGCTTTATAACTGTTTGCAATTTTGAAGGAAATGTCATTAAATATGCCTCTCTCATAGAAATCCTTGTGCTTGTGGTCTGACATTGTCCTAATGAAACACAATTGCCCCACCGTTGATCAAAGCTGGGCGCTTCTGGTCCAATTGCTGATAGTACCAGGGCCAAATTATATGTTAAGCCATAGGGGAGTAGCTCATAGTGAATGATTACTTGTTAATCACACCAAACACACAACAAAACCTTCCTGGCTGTCAATTCTAGCTTGGGAACTTCTTGTGCTCCTTCACTGTCCTTCGACTACGTCCGTTTGTATTGGACGTTGCTTTAAGTGATCCATTCTGTATCACTTCTTCAGAAATGGGTTTCTTTGACAAAGATTCAGCAGCGATCGCAATTAGAAAATTTAACTTATATTTTTTTAAATTAATTTTTCCTATCTTTTGGTTGTTGGTGGCACCGGGATTTGAACCTGAGCCTTCCGAATTTCAGTACGCGATGTTAACCAGTCGGCTATTGCCAAAGAGCGGTCTATTAAAAAAAAAATAATGGATTACTTTTTACTAAGCCAATAAGTTTTGTTTAAGTGAGTTTCATTTGAAACATTCAACATTTGAGGATTCAGTCTTTGTGAGTTTGGTTACCGCAAAAACATTGTATAACAGGAGAGTGTGGGCGTTTGTAAAAAGCCTCTTAATTACCATGATTTTGATAATCAAAGCAAAAACAAAATACACAGTAAATTTTGCATTTCCTCTCCCGCTCTCCGCGTTATGAACTCGCCTTGGTCATAATAGAGAAAAGAGCGTAATGAAACGATTCGAATTTAAATTAAAAAAATTTATAGTAAAAAAAAATTATGAATCATGAACTAATTTATACAAATGCTTTTATTATTAAAAATATATCATATTGCATATATCGCTTTTAAATCTACTTAATTGTGTACGTGTGTGCTTTGTATAATATTACTTTTTTCGTACTACAGCGACTAATTCGCCTACAAAATTTTCCAAATACAAAACAATAAAAGCGTACTCTACAAAAGCGCTACAAAAAAAAAAAACAAAAAAAAATATAAAAAAAAATGTATGTAAAGTATTTTCATTATAAGTTTACTAAGCGTTCATATATAAATATATACATAAAAAGCACCAGTTTGTATGTATGCTATGCTCAGAATTGCATACAACTACATATGTACATACAGGGCGTGAAAATGCATATTAATTTATTGTTATTACTTACATGCTTGGCGGTTCCGTTATAAATCCGTTTTTTCGCTGTTGTTTCTATCTTATTCGTGTATGTGTGGTTTTACTTTATAAAGTAATGTTGTTCTTTTGTTTGTGCAAATTTTATTTAATTAAAGTTTTTAAGCATTTTTATAAACTTTTTCTAAGCAAAATTATTTATTCAGTATTAATATTTTGCTCATTTTCTGTAATAAAATTAATTTTATAAGCGAGTATGTATATGTTTATTTGTTTTTTTTGAGAGGCTTAAGTGTTTCAGAAATTTTCTGCACTTCTTTTATACCGTAAAACTATCAATATTAATATTATTAAGATTATTATTTGTTATTTTTGTTATTATTATTAATATTTTTATTATTATTATTATTATTATTATTATTATTAGTAGTATTGTTGTTGTTATTATTATTATTATTACTATTACTATTATTATTATTATTATTATTATTATTATTATTATTATTATTATTATTATTATTATTATTATTATTATTATTATTATTTTTATTATTATTATTATTATCATTATTATTGTTATTATTTTTATTTTTATTATTTTTATTATTATTATTATTATCATTATTATTGTTATTATTTTTATTTTTATTATTTTTATTACTATTATTTTTACGATTACTGTTATTATTATTATTATTATTGTTATCATTATTATTGTTATTATTATTATTAATATTATTATTGTTGTTATTATTATTATTATTATCATTATTATTGTTATTATTATTATTATTATTTTTATTATTATTAATATTATTATTGTTGTTGTTATTAATATAATTATTATTGTTGTTCTTATTAATACTAAGATTATTATTATTTTTACTATTACTGTTATTATTATTAACGTTTTATTATTATTTTATTCTAAATGTAATTTTTACTATAATAATAATTAATATTATTAGAATTTTTTTAACTGCTTAGCTGCTTAAAAATATAAAGAGTATATATTTTCAGCATATTCTTGAGGTAAATTTCCGAAAAATGTTGTTCCTTGAATTATTAATATATTTTTGTTTTTTTACTACAAATATTTAGAAACTGGGAATTTACTGAAGTGTAGCTCTGATAAGGTCATCAAATTCATCTAAAAAAAATTAATGAACAAAATTTTAAAAGTGTTTAGCTAATAAAAAAAACGTAAATAAGTGTAGTCTCATTGTGGCACTAGTATGTGAGTAACATTTTAGGTATTGGGTACGGCGCGCAGGCTTATTACGACGACACGCGTTGAGGAACTACACAAGTGGGTAGTGTTAAGGTGAGAATTGTATTAATTTTATTTTTATTTTTCAACACAACACTCATTTACAACAAATAACTTTTAGTATGTGTAGGTGGTTGTTGCTTTATTACTAAATTAACTTAAATTTATTTATTTATTTTTTAAATATATGCATATAAGTATATTTCTATTGGTTAAAATGTGTTTCAGTTGGGTTGCTGGCTTTTACATATTTAATATATTGTTGTCGGATTTGGGTGCTCCTTAAATAATGGGTTGTTGCAGGGAATTACGCGAGCTGGTTTTTGAATGCACTGTACGGGGCAGTTGTTGGAGTTATTTTTTTTGTAAATAAATGAAATATACATACAGATATAAGAATAATATATTTCATTAGTTAATTCAAAACGTCTCAATTCGTATATATATACATATGTATATATAGATACATATATGTTACTTAATTAAATTATTTTCTGCATTTACTCGATTAGAAACACTTTCAACGGAACATTTAGAGTTCGAAAATTGTTGATTTGTAACAAGAAAAAATATGTATATAAATATTTTTTGTATTTTTGTTTAATATAAAAAACATTTTGAAAACACTTGATAAGGTTGAGAAAAAAAGCTTACTGAAATGGTTTTATATTGTGGTGTAATAATCAAGTGAGAGAGAATGTAAGTATTTACATTTAGTGAGAAAAAGGAGCGTTTTAAATGTGTAAAGTGCTCTTAAAAAAATAGTATAACACTTTTGGAAAATATTTTTTGAAAAAAAAAAATACTAGATTGTAACTTGATACTTACCTTTGTAGGCTGAAATCTACTAAATATGTTCTCCAAATAAATATAATATTATATCTAGTACTGTGATGAGCGTAGAAACTGAGAGAACGCCAAAGGCACAACACCTCAAGCCAACTCGAAGTATGTGAGGTTAGACGAAAATTCCACTAATTTTGCTGACTTTACCCTAAAAGGGCGCAAGTTTCTCTTTTGGAAATTTTTATAATTTATTTTCAGAAGAAATATTAAATGTAATTTTTTAAATTTATCTTTGAAAGGCAGTTGTAAACATTTTTCTCTTTTAAAATTGTTGATTTCTTTTCTTTATTACTTTCAAATTTCAAAATTCTGTAAGCAACTGCACTTACTTGAATCTAATTAGGGGAAAACACACATTCGAAAAGATCGTTTTGTATTTTTTTCGTGAATATTTAGCTGAAAAAATTCAATTTGCTTGGTTATTGCTACTCTAATTAGTTTTCGAAAAGCAAGAAAAAATATTTAAAGGTTGCCCTTACAAAAAGTTGTTATGCCTCCGTTGCTGAAGAAGTATCTAACCTGATTTAATTGCTGACAGTACGATTTTACTCATTTGGCTTGGAATATGAAGAAATTCGAATCTCAGGCCTTCAATGATTTGCAATAAATAAATAAGTTTTTATTATATTTATTTTTTTACGAGTACTTACTTGCCACCATACAAAAGTCAAGAAATAAAAATCTACTTTTTTTTTTTAAATAATAATAAATCTATTCAAAGAAAATTTTAATTTCTCAAATTTCTAAGTTCCATTCATAATTCAAAATTTAGAAGAGATAGTACAAAAACAATTAAAAATTATTAATCTACCATGATATAACAGAAATTTCATACATTTTTTATGCCCAAAAACATTCGAGATACAATCGGAGAAAATAACATGCTATAGCTATATAATTCATAACTAGAACAAATACTAACGGTACCATATTTTAAAAGTGTGCACTTGGTGATTATGTGTGAAAATGTGGTTGATTAGTCAGGGAAATACGCGATTAATTTACAAGTAAAAAATAAAATAAACCTTGACATATATTTTTCTGGCATTTTGAAATTATATAACACAAAAATTAAATAATATATAAAAAATAAATAAATAAAAACAATATTAAATCAGAAAAATATTAAAAAAAAATTAATTAAAAAAAAATAAAAAAAAATAAAATAAAATAAAATAAAATAAAATAAAAATAAAATAAAATAAAATAAAATAAAATAAAATAAAATAAAATAAAATAAAATAAAATAAAATAAAATAAAATAAAATAAAATAAAATTAAATAACATAAACTAAAATAAAATAAAACAAAAAGAAAAAAAAATAATAAAATAAAGTAAATAATATAAAATAAAATAAAATGGAATGAAATGAAATGCCTGTAGTAGAGGCAAACATATTTTTTCTCCCTTTCTTGTTTCCTCCATCTGTTTGTATTCGATTTGCACAATTTTATTGTGTCACACAAGTAGGGCTCGCGTGATCCTCATCTGTCTCCATCGATCTTGTGCGTTTTTCTTCCTTCAATTTTTCCTGTTTCATTTTATTATGTATTTTCAACGCTGTACCACAGAGTGCGCTGCCGGTACCAGCTACCGGTGTACGTTGAGCACACGCCTGCTCTTTACTTTCCAAAACAGTCTGCGTCGAATTCTCGCCATGTGAGTGCGAACGTTTGAAAATGCGTGACATGCGCAAACTACGTCGCAAATATTCGGACATACGAACGTGTGTAGGTGTCGCTGTATCGCTAAATGGTCGTTGCCCACCAGCCACATGCGCCGACTGCGGCACCACTCTATTCACATTGCGTTTCTTCTTAGCGCAACGCAATTCCGTTGTGGATTCATCAGCTGTGTGACCCCAGGCAGCATATCCTGTATGCGGATGCATAACTCTATTGGTGCGCACTTGCTGAACATTGCGATGATCATAGTTCTCAACAATGATAATAGGTGTGGCTCTCGGTGCTGCACATGATTGGCCACTATTGTGATTATTAAAAGTACGGGTCGCGGTGATGCTCAGTTGACTTTGTGCTGGTATTGCATGACATTTTTGTACCTGTACGCGTCCACGTTGTGATTTCAAGCTGCGCCAGTGAAATAAACGACGCGCACGACTAAGATAATCCTTGCTGATATCATCAGGACTCTCTAAACTTTCGCTCAGAGCGCAGGGCGAGCTGGGCGCTGAGTTTGTATTGACACATTGCAAATCACGAACCAAATCTGGTTGTTGCGATAGGGCGCTGGCATTGCTGTAGCAACGGCGGCGTTGTTGTTGCTCTTGTTGACGCTGCTTGTGAGCTAGCACACAGCCGCAGGTGTGTGTGTGGCCTTCGTGGCGGTCGTGGTCAGTCGTGGTGTGTTGGTTGCTGCCGTTGCTATTGCGTTTGGAGCTATGAGCATCGTTCTGGCAACCGTTGCAGCTACTGTTACTACTGTACGTTTCGAAAATACAGCTTTCGTCTCTGGTTGCAGCTGTCTCTGTTGTTGTTGTTGTAATGGTGCTATTATGTTGAGTGGTAGTGTGATGGTGGTGGTGGTGGTGGTGATGATGGAAATGGTGGTAGTGTTGATGTTGGTGTTGTGCTAAATGTGCGTTTGGTACCTTCAAACTACATGTAACCCAAATGTGCTCTTGCAAGGAAAGTGGACGCATTCGTAGCATGCTCGGTATATGTGCTAATAAGTGTATTTGATCGCACGAGAGTGAAAACATACCTGTACGCTCGTCATGATACTCATCGTCATCGGATGACTCGAGGCGATCCTCAACGAGTGATGTTTGCCGGGAGAGTCCCTGTGCAGTTGTGTTTGCGGTGTGTTTTTTTCGTGCGTAGTTTTGTTATTTTAAAAATATATATATTTTTTTTACGATAGTTTTGTTGTGTTTTTTAATATTTTTGTAAATATTTTTTGTTTTGGAAATAGAACAAAAGAGGAAAGAAGCATAAATTAAAAATTTTCTCAAAGACACAATTTACAACTACAAACAGTTACACATACATACAATACAGAGTTAAATACTTGAATTGCGAAATCAAATTCTACTTAAAGCTTGATACATAGTTGGACAATATACGTATATATTAATGATTTACAGTTTGTCAATAATTCGCTTACAACTATGCTAAAAGGCTAACATTTTTTTAGGATAATTAAAATTTTAAATAAGAGAGAAAAGGAGTTCGAAAATGAGATAATTTGAATCTTCTCTTCATCGATAATTAGGACGGATTCTTGAATGTGGTTACGCAATGTCTTTGCTGTGTTGTCCAACTCAACACCAGTGAGTAAGAAATTACCCATTATCGTGTTACCGAAGCGACACCTATCGCTAAAAACGATCGGCCATTCGTTTGCTCAGCCTTAAAATCCCACACGGAATTTCTTTTACCAACAGGTGCTACTTTGGACTGAGTAGGCAATCGATAAGTAAAAATCTCTCTCGTCGAACCAAATCTAGTAAATAAACTCCGTTTTATTTTATGGTGCAGCACAGTTGATGAGTCAGTCATGGGAGTCTTGCCGCTTCCAACGACGTGGTCTCCAAGATCGCGCTGCTTAACACCACTTGAATATTTTTTGTAGGGGTTATGTGAAGCCGCTTCTCTACTCTCTAAGGGCCCGAGATGATTGACGCTTTGGAAGAGACAAGTCGGCGAGTTATTACTGACATACGGTTTCAATAGCTGTAAGAACTGCTCGAAAGTTGGTCCTCTCAATTGGTATTTATCCGAGTCAGCCAAGACAGTTATTTGCCCGAAAGCATTTCAAAACATAATGGCAAACTCTTTATATAAAACTTAATTTCTAGTCCGATAATTTTTAGTACGATAATATTTTACTATATACCATAAGCTTTGTGCCTCAAATTCCTTATATATTTTAACCTACCGCATTGTGACGCCTTCGCGGCGGCGAACGTTTATTCCATAACGCTTCCAACTGATCGAAATGCTGTGATTGAGCCAAAGCAGCTTGCTCGGGACCCAAATTCGTTTGGGATGTGATTGTTTTCTTATCGCCGATTTTCGAGATTTCCTCCATGCTAGCTGAGACAGAGAAGCGACGCTTCAGACGTTCATCTACCTGTGCCATCATAACCGATGATGTTAGATGACCGTATTTCTTTTGCCACGTGTATGTATCCAAGGATACCTCCTTCTTTAGTAGACGTTTCATCGGACGTTTCGGTGCCTGCGGTCGTAGGTCTGCAAAGAAGAAGTTGGAGGAATATGAAATACATGTGTCAATGTGTCTGCCTTTAAAGAGGACATCAGTCAACCAAACAACCAACCAACCAACCAACTAACCTTCATTATCCGCAGCGGGTGCCGAGTATGTAGGTAGTTTAACATATTGCGCAGGCGTATTGTGCAGACAAATGACAGGCAAGTTGAAGCTCTCCAATAATTGTACCAAAATACGTGAACATTCTAGGCTGATGTCGAAACGTTGGAAGGGCACATGCATTTGTAATGAAGTAAGCGCCAAACCGCGTTTAGTTTCCCACACAATTAGTGTCTTATCGTCACTGCCTGAGATTGCGGTGGAGCCTTAAAAAGTCAGTTTTTGAAGTCAATTGTGCATACAGAATATATTTATGTGCTCTCTGTATCCCTCTCTTGCTTACTTACCATCTGCCGACACTTTCACACCCAAAACTGGTCCTAAATGTCCGGCCAATGTGTGCAACTCTTCGCCGGTATGCAGATCCCATATGATAAGATTGGTATCCTTCGAGCCGGAGATAACTTGTGTTTTATTTGTTACCGACACGGCAACACAATTAACCGCATCCGTATGTCCTACCAACACTTGCGCCAGCTTACCGCCTGTCGCTTGCCAAACCTTTAGTGACATGTCACGCGAACCCGTTATAATGTATAAACTGTCGGCCGTAATGGTGAAGCATGTGATCTCGTCCGAATGGGATACTGTATATTTCTCGTCTTCACGTGTTAGTGACCAGATCTTCAGGGTGTTGTCACCATTTGTGGAGATCTGCGGTGTAAAGTATAGAGGTTTTATAAACACTGAGAATGAGTTACACTTGGCTACAGTTAACGTGGTTGGCTTAAGCGATCTTACAAAGGATTATTGATAAAGCTCCCAGACTATGGGGAGTTTTAAAAGTTTGAATATGACAGCGAATATTCTCTGCTATCATATTCATTCTGCGCTTCATCCTGAGTTGGAAAGATCTCGTCAGTAGCCCTTCGCTTTGTGTTGGTTGAGATCTAGTGCTTGATGGCTGCCTAATCACTCGGGGAAGCTTTGGTACTACAGTAAGCTAGTAGAAGCTTGCTTATTTATTTTTTGACTAGTAGACTTATTTGTTACTTGGAGTTAATAGAAAGCCCGGAATTAATGAAAACTTCGTTACAGAAAAATCAGTCAACTTATACTTCATCAATGGCTCCGTCTTTCATGGAGGAGCGTATTCAACGCTAATATCAAAGGCAAGTTAGCACAGAAAACCTTTTCCATCACTCATTTGGATCAATGGGAACTCGTTGCATATTGAAATAGCTAAACCTGTCAGTAAGAGCCGAAGCCTTCAGAGTTGCCTCCTTTTCCTTGAAAGCCCTCCACTATCGAGGATCAACGGACGCTCTCCCCGAGGTGCTCGGAAGTCCGGAACTATCTTACTTTGAAGTATTGGGCCCACCTTTTATACATCGTCAGAACACTGGTATTTAAAAGCTGATAAAGCTGCCTGGATAAATAGGAATTAATTTACTAATAAAATTACGAAATCCCTCTTGAAGTCTAGTAGCAGTGGAGAATTAGTGACTGTGAACTGCTTCACCACTCTCAGAGGTTGTTGAGCCATCTTATTTTCTATTACTTCTACTTTCCTTTTTATCCATCTGACTTAAACATCTCCCACACACATTTATACTCACCGCGAACTTCATATTATTAGTTGCAGCCAAATATTTGTATGGACCCTGTATTGTTTGTAGTAGATTACCACCTTCAGCTAGCCATACGTACGTCATTGAATCATGATCGCTGGAGATGACACGACGTGAATCCATAAGCACTACAACACAGCAAATCGATGCAGTGTGACCCTGTTGAGGTCGCAAGTCAATTGAGGGATATTAATTATAAAATTCACTTAAACACACACTCACTTACCTTAAATGTATTCACTTAAACACACACTCACTTACCTTAAATGTATTCGAGATCTCACTCAACGACAAATTCCACACATTAACAGTACGATCATCTGAGCCCGTAGCTAAAAACTCGCCATTCGGCGCAAAATTCACACATGTCACCGGTGCAGCGTGCCCGTCCAGTGTTGTCTGATATTCGGGTGTATTGATTTTGACAATGTGTACGCTGCGACTCGAAGCGATCGCCGCCAATTGTGAATCGCGTGATATATCGAAACAAGTTATCGGTGGTAGAGTGGTCGACGGCGAACGTTGCGATTGTTGTGCGCGTTTCAATGATCGTTTTCTACGTTGGTTATGCGAGTACGGATGTACGTAGAGTTCCTCGTTACGGAATGAATAGAAGGTGATTTTATTACCGCCAACTGTGATGAGGAAATCGTCATTATCCATTATATAAAGAGCTGTAATCGAACCGGGATTGGGTGGCATGGAGCGTATCAAGCGACCGGAGTGCATGTCGTAAATGAGCGCACGTGTATCCTCGCCACCGACAACGGCCCGTTGGCTGTCCTTAGCAATGGAGATGGCGTGAAGCTTTTCGTTGGAAGAGAATAAAGTAATTAAATTGAGAATTTTTAATTGAAATGAGAGGCGTTGTTAGCGTAATATAAGCTGTGCATTTTACAGCGACACCTGTTGTTAAACTTATTTATTGGGAATGCCAGGGAAAGTCTTTATTGCACTCAAGAATTCTATATAAGTTAAATTTATTTGTTTATGGTATTCAAGAAAATATCAAATTATTAATGCAACGTATTGCATGAAATTACTCTTTGCAGCCCGTATAACCTGACTTTTTTTTTTTCAAAAACTCGACTTATCTCACCTGTGACTTGTGACCTTTGAGTGCGTGCAGCTCCTTGCCAGTTGCCAATGTGCGTAAGTAAAGCACATTATCTTCACAATGCGCCAGTAGAAAGACCTGTAAAAGGGAATAAGAAGGAAAGAAAAAGCTATAAAAAGTCAGCTATTGACACTTCTTTACTTATAATGCCACTGCTTTGGGTGAAGAGTGCAAGATGACGATAGATAAAAACAGAAAGAGCGTGAAATTGTAAAATCTAGTTAGCGGCGCTAAAAGGTGGCAGAGACATCAAATTTTTTTTATGCTTTTAATGAACACATAATAACTGATTCATGGTCAAAATTTAAGGGTTTATGAAAGCTTGAGCGATTTGAAGCTTTAAAGCTTTATGGAAATTTTCGGTGTTTTCCAAATATATTTTTTTTATTTGACAGTAAGTTTTCTTTGTTGTTTTGATTTTTTGTGCAGGAAATTCAGTATATTTTGGAATCCTGCAAGTAACGATATGGTGAGATTAATTTGCCGGGATGTTAAGGTAGTGAACTCCTTCCAAAGTTTAAATTTCAAAAAATATTAAATGCTAAACAGAAAATTATTTCTGAAGAGTGTGACATTTTTTAACGGGATATCACAAACTGCCCTCTTCTACAGAGTCTCATGTTTCTCAGATTTCTGACTACTTTTTACTTACTTTTACTTTCATATGAATCAGGCTGCCGGCTAACAGCAAAACCGTTAGGAATCAACAACTTGTTCAAATCAAAAGACCACTTTCCTTATGAATTATTCAGTTGAGGTATACCATTTTATATAAAATAGTCTCAAAAGGCCACGGGAAATAGTAAGCAACAAAATTTGTGGTAATTTGAAGAATATTTTGATGGTCTCAGAGAAGCTCTAGACTGCCTCACAGACTGTGATCTATTTTACTATGACGTTCCCAAAGTCAGAGCGCGCACAATATTGAAAGCAACTCATGATATTACATCAACATATCACACCCTATTATCATATCACATCACATCTTATTATCACATCACATCGACAAATCACCACATTCATATCACAGCACAGTACATTCAAGGAACGAACTTCCGCCTTACCAACAATATACATCCCAGACCAGGTATTTAGCTGCGGGGAAGAACTACAGAACTATCCTCTGGAAGGACGTGGTTAGGTACTATTTAAGCTCTGATGAGCTTTGAGAGTCGTTACGGGCGTGTAAAAATCATACAAACGAACTCCTAATCTAAATTCGATGTTTCAAAAGTGGTTATTTTAGCGTCGAAGGCAAAGAGCATTCTGGCCAGAATGGTATAGCACACTGAATCAAGATCCGCGCCAAGCGCAAACAGAACTAGTGGCATCGTTAGGAGTAAATCGGCAAGAAATTTCTGTTCGCTTAAAATAATATGGATTTATTTAAAGACAAAGAAACTGAGTGCCGAACGAGTTGAAGCCGCGTGATGTTGCAAGGAGATTTTTCACCTCGGAACTGCTACCTGAAAGACATCAAAGCAAGGGTTTTTTTTTTGCCACGGATCGTGATTGGAGATGAAAAGTGGATATACTACTTGAAGTTCAAGAGGAAAAAAGTACTGGTGAAAGCCGAGTGAACCCATTCTGTCATCGTCTACAACGACGTCCATGAAAAAAAAATATTAGCTGCTAAAATAATTGATGCTAAATTTGATCGACGAATCGACGATCGGATGTCTAAGCTTTATTTTGCCATTTGCTGTCTGATCGATTTTCGAGCTCGTTTCGATGACCGCTACTTGAACTGACTAAAGGGTTAGTTCGGTCCCAATTGCTTTCTACTCGGAATGATGAGTTGGAATTCCAGAATGATTTTCTTAACATTCTTTTCATTTAAAATGCTTCTCTCTAAGCTTTAAGAAAGATGATAACCAGATCAGCTTCCGCAGTAAAGATAAAGTCGTCACTCCAAACTTATATTTGCAAATAGAAAATCGTATCTTCTCCAGACTCAAAACCTCCTTGCTAAAGCAGAGCTCAACTGATTTGTTTCGCTCTCTACAAAACCATTAGAATAGTAAAACTTCAAATCAATCAGGTTGTTGAGCTTGATCGGTTTCTCCGATACCTTTCCGTAGCTAATTCACTATACTTATCGCCTTCAGGAGGCATAACCTTTTAAAGACTCTTTAGCACATACATAATTTTGAAATTCTCTGCATAAATGCTTCAAACCTCACTTATTTTTAAATATCTTCTCTTTACATCACACTAAGCTCCGAGAGCTTTCAGCTCGTTAAAAACTCAGCTGCTGCAAAGGTGTTGATATGTAATGACATTTTCACTTTTACTGTCAAAGTTTCATTGTTAGGCTTATTTTAAATCCAATTTCAGTTATATGCGGGCACAACAACAACTTCATTCCGTTAATAACCCTGTCTGATCACATAATTTCCGGGCTACATAGTGTGCGGTACATGTCGATATGTATGTATTACTGAAAGAATTTCGTAGTTATGCTGGTTGCCGTCAAGTGAAAATGTAGGAAATGCCAAGTGTCAAAAACAAACACGTTATATATATGTATTGTATATATAACGCATACATATATATAAATAAGCATGAAAGACTATAAATGAAAACAGGAAATACCAATAAAACTCATTCCCCAGTTGAGATGTGCACTGTGTGAAATTCCGCAAGCTGCAAATGATGAATGTGGCTAACAAATACTAGAATACAACAATGTTATACCACTACAGGCACAAAGTTGTGTAAGAGGAAAATCTTTGCGTGTGTGGATATCGTAAGTTTAATGGCAAATCTATTTCCGGATTTCTTGTGCATTTATCCTGTAGGTAAAAATTCCAGTTGTTAGCTTCAATCCATTTGGTTTTCACTCTTGCACTGAATAGCTCACTTTCAAGAACAGTCAAGTCCTTCTCTACCTGGTATATCTAACGGCACAGGTTGTTGATGGTGGGCTTTAGTCTATCACACAATACTATCCATGGAAAGTAGGAGGCTTATCTCACGGTACTACGCATAGACTGTGTGGTCCTCTTTTTTATGGATTGGCCAAAGCACACTTAAATTCCAATCGTCGGGCATACTTTCATCTGACCATATTCCACAAAGTAGCTGAAGCATGCACTTTGTCAGCTCTTCACCGCCATATTTAAGCAACTCAGCCGGTAAGCTAACAGCTTCAGCCGCTTTACTGCTCTTTAAGCGGGCAATCGCTAATCGAACCTTGTCTTAGTCGGGTGGTAGAACGTCTTTTCAATCATCGTCGATAGAAGTTTAGGATTAGCCATTTCCGGTTGCTGCATTTTCACTGCCATTCAGCAGTCTGAAAAAGTGTTGCCTCCATAAATTCAGTATACTCTGTGCATCAGTCGCTAGATCACTGCTCTGGGTCCTACATCAATTTGCTAAGGTCTTGAAATCTTCTATAAAGTGTCGCATTCTTTCATAGATTATTCGAGTGTAACCCTTATCGGCCATCTCGTCATGCTCTTCATAAGCACATACCTCTCTTTTTCCTCTTGTTGTCTGCATATGCATCTTGTATCTGTCTCACTCCGCAACGTTGCGTCGTGGGAAGCTTGCTTTCTCTCCACTGCGTCATGGCAACCGTCGTCGTTCCAACTGGTTTCTGACTTTTCCGAAAACCAACATCTTTGTTTGCTGCTGTACATACGGAGCTTTAAATTCCGTCACACAGTTTTCTTATAACTAGTAGCCGATGAGTGCTCTCAGAGAGAGCAGGAGTGCAGATCGAGAAGGAAACCGTTCGGCTGTCTGTTGGGATTGCAATTTTCCGACGTCGAACCTTCCTTGTGTTTGTTAATGGGCGTTCTTTGCGCCCAAAGAGGCTGGTGCGTATACTTGCTGCTGCTGCAAGATATTGGTCAGAGTCGAATTTGGGTCTTTCTGGACAGGTGCTTGTATGCATGTTTCTTGTTTATCACAACATGGTCGATCTGGTTTTGAGTTTTTCAGTCAGGTGGCAGTGAAGTGGCTCGACTACAGATTTACTTTCCTTCCATGAAAGCTACATAAAATTTGCTCTCCTTTATAGGTCGCAGTGATCTTATTTTAAATACCAGTATTTATCCTTTGGGTACTAGTCTCCCTTCTGCCTGCAGGGTACGTACAGTCACGTATGTACATATATGCGAGTATAGAGAGCATATTGCAACACTGTTGCAATGAGATGACAAGAGATAAAACATGATTTTCACAACTTAAGCGACTTGGTCAGTAAGCTATGTACTATATATGTATGTATTCAAGCTAACTGGCCGTTTGATAAATGTTCAGCACTACTGTTTGTTATTTCTTTCTCTAAAGAGACATGTTGATTTGTAACACGAGCAAGAGGCAGGAGAGAAAGCAAAAGACAAAAAAAAAAAATATACAAAACACTTGTACAAGAACAGAATATTACAAAAGTACAAGTGCTTGTGTACATACATATATTAAGTGCCATACTCTCTCTGTATTTGGCATCTCCTGACATATGTACGTACGTACGTACGTACGTATATAAATACACAACTTTGGTGTTCTTTAACTAATTTGCAGTTGAGTTTATGTGACTTAAGTAGTCTGCTGAGTAGTTCGTTCGTTCAGTCATTTCGGCTCTTCTGCTCTTAATCAATCTTGTTGAGATACAGATAATATCATTTGTAATTCTAGCTAACATGTAGTTGTGGTTGTTATGGCGACAATTCAGTTGCACTGCAGTGTCATTAAATGATGTGAACACTTCGTAACTAACTTCTCTTTAATTGCGGCAGTGGCGTACATCCGTACATCGATCCGCTCTAAACATTTCTCCTATGAAAAATTCTCTCTTTGTTACTTAGTCTATCGGCAGTCTTTATGTGGAAATTTTCAAGTACGTAGTCCGCTTTGAGGTGCTTCCAAGAAATAGTAATATTGATTCGAATGCCTAATTTTTTTAACAGAAGCAAAATGCAGAAATCAAGAAAAACACCTCAAACTGACCGTATTTGTTATCGGCCTTATATTGTATTAACTGCCGAGTGATCAAGTTATTTTTCCGCCAAGTTCTCGAGGACGACAACTTCTGCAAGTCAAAAATTTTCACTGAATTTTTGTTAACCCAAATTTTTTTAAGCATTTACTTTTAAATGTTTCATACTTAGATGTCCCGTGCGACATACATAAGCAACTGCTCTAATTACTGTTTCAAAAGTGTAAATATTTTTAATAAATTTTTTAAAATAAAATAAATTGAGTTCGAGTCAAAGAGAAGATAAAACTATTTTGGGCTTATGAAAATTTTATTTAGTTAGTCCCGTGCGACATGGTGAGCGCGAGATTTCACAATTTGAAAAAACACTTTTTTTTATAAATTTTGCAATTTCGATAGTACAGGTCTAAATTTTGACAAATGTAAAACTGAACTGATAAACCAAACATGTTTTGTTTTTGTGAACAATCATACATTTATGGAAATGGATCGCCCAAAAATCACAGAATATGTTAAAATTGTTAATGCCTGCTTCAAAAGTGGTGTCTTAAACGTGGCCCCGTTTCGTGCTCCTTAAGAGGAGATTGTGGTGCACAAAATCGTCCAATTACTCAAGCGATTGGTAAAATTTTAAAGAAGTTTGAAGAAACTGGATGGGCAACAGTTATTGTAATCTTTAAGCTCATTTTATCTCAAATATCAGCACTGTAAGTGATAGTGTAGCCAAAGAGCCAAATGTGTCTATTTCTCGACGTTCTCCCGCTTGAACTTTCTTACTTCACATCATGGCTTATTTTGTACTGGGACTTATACCCACATCTATTAAGGTTCCAGCTCATTGGTGGCTTGAAAAATAAGCAATGGACGGCGATTTTCCTAACAAAATTTTGTTTGACTTTCACTCCGCGGATACTTAATAAGCAAAAGCTGTCACATTTGAAGCTCAGAGAATTCTCAAATACTTAAGGAGAGGCCATTACACCCAAACAAACTAATTGTGGTTGTGCCATGTGCCACATAACACCAGCGCATCTGGCTTAATTGTGAAAGAAATTTTCCGGCGGCATAATCTCTCATCTTGGTGACGTCATTCGGTTACCGAGATGGTACAATTTGATACCTCTGGATTTTTGTTTGTGGGACCACACGAAAGATCGTATTTATGCGAATAGACCACTAACTCTTGAGCACTTGAAAACTAATATTTCTAAGCCATTGCTGAAATACCCCACAATATGTGCCAAAATGTGGTCGAAAATGAGCTCAGCGGGATTGAAATTTGTGAAAATTCGCGAGGCGGTCATTTGAATGGTGTAGTGTTCAGTGATTTACATAATAATGTTAAGGTTTAAAATTTTTATGAAGAGGACGTTTATGAGAAAAATGGTAATTAACTTGCAATATTGAATTCTTTTTCTATTATTATTTTTAATTTTTACGACTCCAAAAAAATTAATAATAAATCATATAGATTTAGGCGAAAAAAAGAAATGACTAAAAATTGTAATTAATTAAGAAAATAATTTTTGAAATAAAAACCCAAGTATGCTAGGCCTTTTTTTCTGAATTTTTTTTGTAAATTGTAAATTGTGATTATGTGAATGAGTGATAAAGATGTGGTTTTTTTTGTAAATAAATTACCAGTTATTACATATGTACATTTGTCAAAAAAAAAAATTAATTGTAAAGTAATTTTTGTCGTGAATTAAAAGTGAACATATACATACATACATATTTATTTCGGAGAAGAAAAAATATTCACACTTCTGTGATGTTTTCTCTGTTTGCTGTGTGGGATAAAATTTTTGATTTTTACATCAAGTGTGAATTTGATTGACGGCAAAAAAAAAGTTTTCTACTTAATCTACCGGAAATGATTTGAGTGAAAGTGAATGTGACAATTTACGCTTGTGAAAATTAAGTGTGAGCATTTGCGTTTATTTGAAGACTGTCTATACTTAGAAAAAAATCAAAAAAGGAATTATGGTAATTTAGACATTTATATATGGCTGAATAAATTAATAAAATTAAAATAAATAAATAAAATTAATAATAAATTATTCATTGTTTTATTATAGATGTACATGATATATAAATATTTAATTATTAAAAATTATATATAAAAAAATTCAATAAAATAAAGATGCTTGTATATAATGCTTAAAACAATTTGAAAAAAAAAAAACAAAATAAGTATAAAATGTTTCAACAAAAAAAAACTTGCTGTACTCTAAGAAGGAATATCATTAAAGTAAATAATTATTTAAATCAACAAAGAAGAGCTACGCCAGTCTTAATAGCTTTAATTTCTGGTTTTTCATTTCAGGCTGAAATATTAATTTCTATATCTGAACGAATCGGTGGTACGGAGACTGTGTGATTTCGATGGTTTCCAGCACCAAATTCCATGCGCTTAAATATTTTTTTGACGGATTTTTGACTCGGAATCTCCCAACTGAACAAATTGGTTGTATGAGTGCTATGTGTTATAGTGCTTTGATGCGGCTCATTTTTTAGCACTAATATGTAATTCCATTATCCGTGTATGTGTGCAAAATACCAAATTTCATGTTCTTAGCTACTTTTGAACAGATTTTTGAACAAAAATTGTAAATCTGAACAAATCTGTTTAGGAAACTAGATGTGTTATACTAATCGTCCCATTTTATAGATTTTCAGTGCCAATATTTAACATCATTATATATGTAAAGAGTATCATACGCTTAGATGATTTTTTATGGCTTGTCTCGAAACCTCTCATAAGAACATATCAGTTGTGCAGGGGTTTATGATATAGCCCACTGATTTTAAAGATTTTTCGGTGGCAACGTTCACATGAATGTATAATGCCAAATTTGCGCGTTTTAGATTATTTTTTCTTGAGGAATGGGTGACCCAAAATCTCAAATCTGAACGTACATATGAACATGTGATAGTAGTCCTATATGACCGGTTCCAGCTAATGAAATTTCTTTTAAATTGAGGTACTAGTTTGTGTACAAACGGAAGAATAGACGGACCGACAAACATGGCTAAATCCAATCAACTCCTCTTTCTGCCACCATTGATTTAAATTAGGGTGGGTCCATCTTTTCTCTTTCTGGCATTGACATACTTCAGACCAAAGTTTAAATACCATTTCATGCACATGAAATGTATAAAATGTTGAATTTATAATACAAAAAGGTTGTAATAAAAATAAATTAATTGAAATGCACTTACATGCATTGCATATATATTTTTTTTTTTTATTAAATTCAGTGAAATAAAAATTGTCAGCTACTCACCGAATCACATGAAATGTCAATTCGACGTACAGGACTACACATTTGCATGCTATTCAACAAGCTGTAATCGTCCAAGGACCACAAACAAATTGTCTTATCACGACTCGATGAGATAAGTACGTCACAAGCGTTGCTCACCTTAACGCTTGTCACCGCAGCGCGATGATGTGTGATTTTATGAAGCTGTGAAATGGAGAAATGAAAAAAGAGGAAAAAAAATTATTTTAATTGTTATATATAAATAAAATATGTATATATAAAAATATGCTCTTTTATATATAGATATACACATATATATATAACTTATAATATATAGCACAAATAAAAAAAAAGAAAAAAAAACTTTTCATTCACTATTACCAAACTATCTGCATTTATTTCTTCTCTTTATACTACACACGTGTAATAAAGTTGAAGTGAATGTTTTACAACAACCAAAGTGATGATGGCACCTGACATATGCAGACAGAGCTGCACGTTTAGCAAACATCATAAAAACTGGAATAAACTGGTGAATACGTCACGGTTAAGTTACGGAAAGTGGGATCAGACGAAGTGAACGGTAGCTGGTAGGGGAGTAGTATTTTGCATATATTTTTAAATAAAGCAGTTCTGAAGAGAATCTGGACTTATGTAAAAATTCACAGTTTAAAGTTTTTAGCTATAATTTACGAGACATAGACGGAAGGAAATGAGTCCATGGGAAATCTGCTACGGTGGCCAATTAAAAGAGCTCGCTTTTAGTTTCGGATTTGGGGTGGTCAAAGGCTCAACGAATGGGAACTGGCATTCACCAGGTGGACGAATGTCTAGCGACAATTCCAATAAAAGCAAAAATATTTAACCTATCGCTAATTTGCGTCCACGTTTCGTCGGAAGATCAGGACAATATGACCAAGGATTTTTTCTATATATAGACTACTGCGAACACTGTAAGCTATGGAGCTATGAGCTGTGTGAGATATATATTGTGAATTACGAGATGGATGTACGAAAAAATTGCAGCCCCGAAAGTATTCGATACAGTACCCTTCGTTGGAAGCAAAGGAAGAGGAAGACTTAAACTCTATTGGAAAAATCAAGTAGAGAAGGGCTTGGTTTCATTTCGTTGCCGGCCAAATGATGGAACGATAGCTTTTGTTATTTTGCTTGAAATCGCGTTAACTGTTGTAACAAAGGGTGATTTTTTAGCTATTATCTTACTTGCAGCGTTAGTTTAAACAGCTGACGCGCGTTTCATGTTTTGTATCACTGTCAAACATCTTCAGTTGGGTCCATAATTTAACTATGAACCGTCTTACAAACGAACAACGCTTGCAAATTATTGAATTTTATTATCAAAATGCGTGCTCTGTTAAGAGAGTTAACAAAAAAGAAAAAATTGTGTTCAGCGACGAAGCATGATTTTGGCTTAATGGGTGCATAAATAAGCAGAATTGTCGATTTTGGAGTAAAGATCAGCCAGAAGCATTGCAAGAGCTACCAATGTATCCAAAACAAAAAACACAGTTTGGTGATTATGATGAAAAGATATCCGATGATTGAGTTTTAATACATTCATGGGGTGCGTGCCAAAAAGAAGCGTTCCAGAGTATAGTTAGTAATCTTAAATAAAATCATTAGTTAAAGTCTTTCATTTCTTTTAAGCACTTACCAATCGCCCACTATTTATATCTGAAATAGCGATTGTCGAATCCTCACTGCCACTAATGGCCAGCGTATTATTGACGCCAGATGCGACACACGTAACAATGCCCGCATGCGACCTAAAGATAGGGAGAAAAATTATACAAATAAAGTAATAATCAGTAATGAGCAGAGAAAAAGAATTGTAATTCAATAAAATCCAATATCAACCACATACACACACACACACACACACAAACACACACGTATACTTCTACATAAATATAAAAATGCACTGGAGGATTACCTGTTACCGATTTACGTAACTTCAAGAAATTAAATCTCAACGTAATTGTGGGAAGATATCACACACACTCCCACACACTCCCACACGCACACACATACGAAGTAGCAGCACAATTATCCTGCTCATGCGAATTGAGTGGTTGACTCGTTACTCGTTACCCGTATGCACTTACTTGATGTGAGCCTTCAACACACGCGTTGTCACGTTCCACACCAGCGCCGTGTTATCCTCGGAGCCAGTCAGCAGGATATCAGATTGCGGAGCGACCAAGAGGCACGTGACTGCTGCGGTGTGACCTATAAGAATGGAGCAGGGAAACAATATCAAAAGAAATACACTTTTGAGTCGCAAAAAAAAGTAAATGAAAAATAAAATATAAAAAAAAAAAAATTGATTGAAAATCAATTTCATTGGTAATTAAATGGCAATTGGATCGAAACGAGATGCAGCTTGATAATTTGAAGTAAAGAGAAAAATTGCATGTGTACTAAAGTGCAAACGTTTAAGTAGCCCGTCATCAAAAGGTCAAGCTGGTGTAAATGAAAAGTGGCTACGCACATAACGCACATCAAGAGAAAAATCCCTTGGGTTTTGGGAGAAAGGATTTTTTTAATCACTGTAAACTTCGTCACACTTTCTTACTCACCCTTGAATATATGCTCTAGCGAGTTGCTCATTATGTGCCATAACTGTACATCACCCGATTTGGTGGCCAATATGAGATGCTGTTTCGACGACGAGACACAAACATCACGCACCTGTCCAGTGCCGGTCACGGTCATGACGCGTATCTGCGAGGGTAAGGTCGCCGGTAGCCAGCCGGTAAGTGGCACAAGTAATGGCACTGTATAGCCGTCACACCAGGCGGTCGCTGAGCGCACCGTTATGCTCAGCAAGGAATTATCATTTTCGTCATGTTCACTGATTGGCCGTAGCCAAGAGATGAGCTGCAAAGGAAGCGTAGGTGGGAGAGTAAAAGAATTTTTTAAAATAAAAAACATTTTTCGCTTGCACTTCGTTTGGAAGTTAAGCCGCTTGTGCGCATTTCGTTCTAGGTATATTCATGTATTATTTACTATTCTTCTTTTTTGGTTTTACCTGTGAGCCAAGTTGCATGGGATCGCGTGTGAGTACATCGCTCGATTTGCGTATTGTATAATAGATCAGTTCAATATCGCGATCCAACAAATAACAGCGCACATGCTCGATGAGGCAACGTAAATAGCTAATAGAGACGGTTTGAACCTGGAAGAAAGAAGAAAAAAGTAAAATAGATAATTATTGGACTGAATTGTTAATATCTTCTATAAGGTCTGTGGGGGTGGGTTTTTCATTATATGCTCCTAACACTTGGTATAACAAGAAGCAGAATTTCCTAAGCAGTTCAGCTGGCGGCGAACGCAATTAAGCCATTGAGTAGGCTCATTGCGCTATCAGGTCGGGCACATGCGGTGGGGTAATGTTCCAGAGCTTCGTCATCTTCTTATTCGACTATATCTCAGAAACTCAGTGGGAGGTTTACTCTGAATACATCTATAAAGATACTAAGTGCGCATTGAGCCGCCTGTTGATTATCCACCTGACATTCAGAGTTTTATCGTGGTTGCCATACCAATGCAGTGCTTCTTCAACATCATGCATAACACTGGCGATACACCAAATTTTGGAATGCAACATTTCGAATGAAAAAAATTAGAGGAGCTATAATTTTAGGCTATATTTCTTATTCGGATCCTGCTCCTTCATTGTTATTTGATAAGTTACTAGTTGTGGTTATCACACTGATAATGTCTCTGTGTGCTGACGATCGAAACCCAAGCTCTACAAGTTCCTCCTCATCTCTGTGCTATTATATGGTGTAGAAGCAGGGACGATCTCGACACCTTCGAGAGATAATTTTACGAACGATTTATGATCCTCTTGATATGGTACTGCAGGTGATGGAACGATAAGCTGGCTAGGTTATGTTGCCCGTATTGGAATCACTCCAACTTTAAAAGTAATCGATGCAGCATCCGTTAGTGGAAGCAGATGAGGAGGAAGACCCGCACTCTGTTGGAAGGATTAGGTGGAGATGGACCTAACTTCACTGAATTTACTTAAAATAATTTTCTATAACTTTTGGATGTTGGTCATACCAATGGCAGGTGGGAGATTTTACAGCTGACCTTTTATATTAACATTGGTCCGAAGTATGCAAGTACCAGAAGAAGAAGAGATAGGTTCATTAAAATTTACATCGATCGGGTCAGAAGTATGAGTTGGTGTTGCAAATTATCGAAATCGGAAAACTTTAATATTATGCTTCTTGTACACCAATCTTTTTGTTTTTTTTGATATGAGGTTTTGGTGGAAACTCCTTCAAGAAAGCATTTAAGAGTACGAAATTCGGTATTATACATTGCAATGTGGAAACAAATAATGTGACCAAAAATAAGCGAAATCGAAAGGCCGCATCATATAGCCCCTATTCAACCGATTTGTTCAGATTTGTAATTTTAGTTCAAAAATCTGTCAAAAAGAGCACCTACAAGCATGAGATTGGGTACTCCCTACACGTATATATAAATATATCTTGATATCAACAAAATCGGACGACTTTGTCATATTACTCTCGTGCAACTGGTTTGTTCAGAGGTTTTGGGTCAACAATCCGCCAAGAACGCATCTAAAAGCATGAAATTAGGTATTCTATACACAAATAGTGAATTGGGTAATTTTATCAAAAATTATCGAAATCGGAAGACTATATTATTTGGCCGGGTCCAACCAATTTTTCAGATATGAGAATTAATATTCAATTTCAAAATGAAATACCATAATTTGACATGGTCGTGAAAGGTATAAAGACTTCGATATGAACGAATATAAATCTTCTAAATTTTTCCTTCTTTTTGTTTTTATTTTGTGCAATGTAAAAAAGAGAAAATAAATCCAAAAAATATTCGCTAATGCAAGCACTTCAAAATAATCATAGCAATTAACTGGCAACATTGTTCAGCCGGCAATGCTGGCAACTCAAATATTCAAATAGCAGCAACAACAAGAATATTTAAAACAAACTAAGCGCAAAATTCAAGAATATAATTTAAATTGCGAACGACAAGAGATTGAATGAGCCAAATAAACTTTCCGTCAACAGCAGCGATGCTCCTAGCAATACACAAACACACACACACAAAACCAGTAAAAACTATACTTTCTTTTGAGTAATCTTTAGAGAAAGAGTTAAGAATTTCTATAGACAATAGCAATGCCAACTTGAGTAATTGCAAGAGCAGCAAATCCAAAATGTGCGCTTAGCACAAGCACCAAGGAATAAAAGTGCACGAGTTTATTTTCCCAAGTAAAGGAAGCGAGACGAAGTTGGTAAAAAGCATAATAATAAAAAAAAATCACAAAAAAATTAACATAGAAAGCATTACAACTCAAATGACACTCTTTTATAGAAGGATAAACTTTTGTTAGCTTAATTTCCGTGCTTGCAATTTAGGTTGAACAAACAGCGCGCGATGGAGTCTGGACGAGAAAGGCAGAAGAGAAATGTAGCTAGATGCAACATTAAGGCAGTTTTGCGTTCAGGCATTGCAGCGCTTTAACAAAATGCAATGTCAGCGTCAAGTGTGTTGAGAAAGAAAGAAGAAAAAAAAAAAAAAATAAAAAACCAAGTTAAAGAGAAAAAAGTAAACAAAAAAAAATTGGAAAAATAAAAATAAACAAAAAGCTAAAAGCAGGAAGCAGACAGTGTGCTGCATGAAAGGCAAAGCTGTATAGAGAGCGTTGCAGTTGTTGAAAGAATACCGCGCATGCTGGAACACCAGGTCGTATGATGAATGTACTTGCAATGCACAAGTAGTATTCGGGCGCTAGAGAAATTCTTACTCAACGCAGCAGCAGTAGCAGCAAGCAGTACGGCAAAAATGCCCGCCAGATACTTCCAGCAGAGGAATCCTTAGGAAAAGCTTTATGCTTTGAATGCATTTCGCTAAATGAAATCCAAAGCGGACGAGCACGAGTGCCAAGGCTATGCTATGCCTAGCAGCTCTATGAAATATAAATGTTTACAGCGGTGGGTTAGTCGACTTGGTAGCAATAGTTTTAATTAAAAATGCAAAGTTTGTATACGTAATTGAAAAACAAAAAAGGTTTCGTGCATTTGTTTGAAGCAAATGGGAAATGTAAATTTGATAAAAAGAAAATTTTAAATTTTCTCAAATGTGTTTGGATGTTGTTATATATAAAATTTAGCTTATTTATCGAATTTTTTATCAAAGGCCTATAAATGATTTATTTTTATAGCCTGCAATCAAATTAAGAATAATTATTTAAAGTGGTCATTTGACTTCCATAAAATTTAAATTTATTTTGAGTTAGAGGGCGTCTCCTACCACGTTTCTGCCCTTTGACACGCGCAAATGTTGCTCTTCTGAGATCGAAAAAATTTCTAAATTACGATTAAAGGTCATTGATTAAGAAGTGGTTAGATGTTAAAGTTATGGCTAAAAATTTCAAATAGAAACCAGAAAATGGTGACTAACTTAATATGGATTTTTTGTAAAAAAACGGTAGGCCGATCTTTTTTAATACCAAAGAATTGCGGAAACTGCAGTTTGAAAAAATTTTCGCTGTAATATTTCTCCCAATAATTCTTTTTCTTACTCTGTTCAATATTAAAAACTAATTTTTTCCTAAATATTAATATTAAAATTTATTTGTAATTATGATAAATCCATTTTGTATTGATTTCCTATTTTTTTTTTGTCAACTTACCGCCGCCAGTAGAAAGTCGAAATTGCAAACAGCAATCTGTTTGAATTTCGCAATGTCATCGGAACGCATCAAATGATGCCAACTCTCTTCCACATGACGCATACTATACGAGACGTCAGCGGCGATGGGATTATAAAAGGTAGATGTGTCATCATTGTGATGTGATGAGGATTTACGTTCCGCTGCCAAAATGCTTTCTCTCTCCCTTTGACTGATTACTGTGACGAGAAGAGGGAGAAAATGGTTGTAATAACAAAAACATTGAGTTTTTTTTTATATATTTCTACAATGTAAATGAGAATAAATTGTTGATAGAACTGTATAAAAAATACATAAAATATTTTAAATATAATTTAAAAAATTAAATAAAATAAAAGAAATAAAAAGGAAAAATAAAAAAAAATTAAATAAATAATTAAAATAAAATAAAGTGAACAAAAATAAAACAAAAAAATAAATAAAGTAAAATAAAAAAATTAAATAAAATTAATTAACATTAAATAAAATTAAATTAAAAAATTAATTAAAATAAAAAAATTAATTAAAAAAATAAATAAATAAAAAAATTAAAATTAAAATAAATAAAGAAAAAGTTTAAAAAGAAATAAATAAAAGAAATAATTTAAGAGAAATTGAAATAAATATTTTTATGTTTATATATTTATTTAAAAATAATTGTGGAACACAATTTGTGATGTTAAAATATGTTTTTGAAATTAAATATTATAAATGACTGGCGCTTAAACTACTCTGATTAAAATCTAATAAACACTTGTACCACATGGCGTATGAGTAACCTTTTCGCGAATAAAATCACTATACCATGAATAAGTTCTTTAAATAAATCTATTCAAATCACCTGACTGCTTGTCACATTCCCCTGACGCATTCTCACTTGTGCTAACGTCGTTATCTTCATTTTCATGTTGGAAAAATATATTTGCAATAGCTATGTGCATGGCACGTGTACTCTGCGCATCCATATAACGTTTCCTTGAGAGTTCAGCACAATAACTATGACGCCACTGAAGCAGTACTTTGCCGGACATGATTTTATCACGAAGTAGAAAATCTGTAAAGGAAATTAAAAAAATAAATATATTATAAAAATGTTAAATATATAGTAATAAGTTGATTGTTGTGGTGAATGTGAAGAGAGGAAATTGAAAATAATAAATCAAATAATAAAATAACTTTTTTTTTGGCATTACTCAGCAGAATCAGGGCGTTTATATTTTTCTTAATTGCGTTTAAGCATAGAGTTGAGTTAAGTAGAATGAAAGAATCAGAATCAAAAAGAATTGAGCTCGTCATAGATCAAGCTCCGGGATTTACCTTTGATTTATAAAATTAATATCAAAGAACAGTCTCCCCAAGGTTCCATCATTCGATGAATTAGTGTGCTTGGTAAAATAACATTTTTCGATGTCTTGCCTGGAATTTCCTTTTTTTTTGGATTTTGTCATTTAGACTTAGAATATATTTGAAGGCATGAAAATTGGTTTTTTCATATATCCGGTATTTTGGTCACCTGGTGAACAGAGCGATATCCTGAAAGGTGCTTGGTTAATTCTCTCACATACTCAAACACTGACTCCGGAGAAGAGGTTGTTAATATTGTGATAGTTATGTTATCAGTATGAAGATGATGATGATGATGATGATAGTGGGACGATTTCATGCAAAAGCGGGTCGGGTTTTCCTAAACTCAAAACCTTGATTTTAAATAATTATTTATCTATTTAGTTTCTCACTGAGAAGTATGATCATGGGAGGGCAAATCGAAATGGGTTCATTCTCATTTACTCTAGCTTTTTATAATATTTCATAGCACTCTTTTGGTGATCCATCTCCACATAAATCAATCGCAGTTAAAATGTATATATATATATATATATTTGTACTTACTCATATCATTGTGTATTTGTTTGAATGTGGAAAAATTGAAATTTCCATGCTCCGTATCGACAAATGCCTCCGGATCATCGGTAAGCATGACCAACTCCAGCAGCTCCGTTTCGGACAAACCAAACTCCGAACAAGTAATGTAACCAGCCAAACGCGACACACATCTCTTGCCATAACGCTCCTCCAAGCGATCAAACTCATGCGCTACAAAGTCGGTAAACGAAATATTCGGCAAACCCGCAGCCATAGCCAACGGCTTATGCAACACTGTACGATTCTCCTCCATTGACAAATCGAAAAGAAATTCCGCCGACTTAAAACGATCCCGTTGCATAGGTGTAAAACGTAATTGATCAATCGGTGTGGTGGTGGAACAAATAAGCTGCACATTCCATGGTAATGAGGTGGGCAACCACGATAAAGCCGCCACCACATCACAATCGAGAGGATTCAGTAATTGTAGATCATCGATGAATATGAAAAATATATCATTATTCATATCCTCAATGCGACGCAGCAAGTTCTGGAACCAACTATTTATATAGACCGGATCGAATGAGGCATCTTTGGGCAAATAACCCTCGGGTATATCATAAATGATGGATATTTGTTGGCAAATTACACGCAACAATTCCAAATTATAAGCGGACCGCGGCGAGGCAGCGGCAAAACGCATAACCCGATAGACACGCGTTGAACTGAACCAATCCTTACACTGTTGATACAAATCAACAATGAGCGCACTCTTGCCACTGCCATGTGGACCGTAAATGAAGTAGGGCGCATGACGACTGCCATTGCGGAAATTCGCCAATAAATTCTGGCGCAGGCGATCAGGCACGCTGCTCGAGGCGAGTGCAGCGGAGTTGTGATGTTCGCGGAGAATGCGTAAATGTGTGGCATGTTCGTGGAAAATTTCCTGAAAAGAGGAGTAAATATGGAAAATTAGTAAAAATCATAAAATTTTTGTAGATTTTTCAATATTTTTTTTCGATGCTGTAATTTTTTGATTTAAAAAAAAAAAAATATTTTTTGAAAAAATTTGTTTTTGGTGGAAAAATCTTTAATTTCTCGCAACGCCGCCTCCGCTTACGTGTGTCAACTGAGTACGAGCATTTTTAATAAATAACGAGAAGCGGAAAGATGCATGAATTTTGCACATCTGAATACCCCCGAGGCTATTGGCACACTTTACATTCGCTTACTTCCGCAAATTGCACAATCAGGCAACGAGTTGGAAACGAACCACCTACATACATATGTATGTCCATATACGACTTAAAACTACGCCACCAACTCTCAACTATTCGTACCCCCAAACCACTTCCACGCCTCGCCATCACACAAGCGATTGATGAATGCAAAGAAATGAAAGAGAGCAGAAAATTAAAAATAAAGAAGTTGAAAATATTGTAAGTATGGCATTATGCGGGCAAGTGAACTTTGGCAACGTTGCACGAATAATTTGCAGAAAAGTGGAAAGGGCGAATGCTTAAAAATCTGCGAAAGAAGTAAGTGGTAATTAAAAAGAAATTGAACGCAAGGCAGGCATGCAGGCAACGGTAAGTGATGTTGGGTTAATTAAAGGCGAAAATGTGTTGAAAGCAAATGAATTGCAAAGGCGAAAGGTGGTGGTGCCAAATTGTTTGCAAATAAATGATATCGCTTCAGTTGTTTCAGATGGAAATTTTTTCGGAAGAAATGTTGGAGCTTAAAAATACTCTATCAAGTGCTTTTCTTAACGTAAAATGTAAGTTTGCATAGATTCAATGATGCATGAGCATATAATGAGTAACGTGGATCTCGTCTCATTTATCAAAAGGTATAAAATCTCGGTACCGTTGCTTCCTTCAAATGGAGGTTTAAACCTGCATTTGTTCGAAAAATCGAAATACTTGCGAATCTCTTTCTACTTGAAACTGTTTTGGAAGAAAAACAATATGGAGAGAGGAAATTCAGTGTTTGCTGATTTATCTTTTCTTCCTCAGCCTCCTCTCCTTTTGATTAGCGTAGCCACTGCTAACATGAGTATTGCAGAGTTGAGTCGCCAGTTGTTTCTTCTTTTTGCAAATTGAGCCAACTGGAAATACCATACCTGGTATCACTGGTCGCTCTCCACTGAATCTTTTCAATGCAGTGTAGATCATGCTCATGTTTAGCTACTACCAGCAAATAATGCGTCCAATACCAATAAAGCTAAAGGAAGCCGTCTCATCCATTCAACATTACGTGTATGGCTTGTAGGGCCTTTTTTTCTGAGAGAGGTTTTTACTTTCCATTCGTCTACTCATTCTAAACCGTCAGCTGTTAGTATCGCTGTTTCTTGTTGGATTTCCACGCTGACATTGTTGTTGATGCTGATTCCAAGATAGCGGAGTTTATCAACGATTTTGAATTTATGATCATCAGCAATGAGATGGCAATCTAGACCCGAATGTGCTGACTGTTCGTTTGATGGCAGCATATATTTTTCGTTTGGTTCATTCGCATTATTTTCATATACAGTCCGGAGACTGCATAACTAACGGGGTGCTTGTTACACGGCAGTTGAAGTTAGAATCGTATTGTTTTTTGTTTTAGAATCAACGTAAAAAAGTCAACTGACAAGTAGTCACTTTGGGTAAACCTGATTTAATATCCAAGGGTTGGAAAAGGTTAAAAGATTCAGACAGCGGCGTAACGTTGGCTTTTTTTGAGCCCTCGAAGGTATCACCGCCAAAAGACGGAACCTCACTCATACAACCATAGCTAAGCCTAACTTGTTTCATAAAACTTTCGCATTGTGGAGATCGCTGGAGTTACATCAGCCAAGTGAGTGGAGATCGTCGAACATGCAGCTTTCATTAGAACCTGTTACGAACGACGCCGTGTATGGCGGTTATTCAGCTTATACGAGGGGTTTAAAAAAAGTTAAGTAAGGTGACCAGAAAAAAAGTAATTTTTGTATTTTTTTATCTGCTCAGATTATCCCCATTGATTTCAATGCATTTCTTAAGCCTATAGATCCACTTCTGGTAACAGTCTGCAAAATCTTTCCTTTTAAATATTCAAATTCAGCATTAACCACATTGATTATCTCCTCGTTGCTATTAAAGACCTTTCCTTTCGTTTTTTTTTTTAATTATGGAAACAATCAGAAATTACAAGGAGGAATATGATGATGGACGTCGATCCCAGAAATCGCAACAAAATTCTCTTAATTTTAGCAGTGTGAGATGGCGCGTTGTTATGATGTAAAAAGTATTGCGGCAAATCTTGGTTTTCAACAAATTTTTGAAAACTTTTGGTAACCACTCTTCGGTGTACTCTTTTTGTAGTTACCGTCTGACACTTTTCCACTGAAATTGCAGCTACGATTTTATGTCGCGTGAAGTAAACTGACATCATCACTTTTGCTGTTGATTTTTGTTGCTAAGAATTAACGAGTGGGTCTGCTCCTATTGGGCTCCATACCAAAGGTTCGTCACCAGTAACGACTTTACTAAAGTTGCCAGATTGACCATTTTCGAATTTGTTTAGGAAAAATTGAGCAAAATTGTGAGGCCTCTTTTTGGGCCTGATTTAAAATTCGTAGTACCCATTGAACAGATTTTTGCGAGCATCCCAGATTATTACTTAATATTCGTGATACAGTCATGGCATTCAAGCCCAAATATTGGATGAGTGCATAAGTGCGTGCCCGCTTCCGTTTGAGAGTGGCGCTTGTGAAATAAATATATACATATTATATATCGTTGGAAAGGTGACAGTCCGAACTATAACTCAAGCATAAAATTACTTCATTTTGATTTGAGTTGCTTAGTGAAAATACGCATGGAAGAGGACAACGAAAAAGATCATAAGCGTCATATTATATTATACGAATTTCGCAAAGGAAAAGCAGTAGGCGCTGCAAATTAAGATATTCGCGAAGTTTATTTGGATCATGCTCCACCACTCCGCACAGTAAAGAAATGGTTCGCGAAATTTCGTTCTGGAGATTTTAAGAAGATCAACCTCGCAGTGGACGGCCTTTTGAGCTTGATGACGAGGTTCTAAGGACTTTAGTTGCGAATAACTCACGTATTTCGACGAAAGAGGTTGCCAGTGAATTGAGTGAAAAAAACAAAGTGGACCGTATGTCAACAGCAATTTCTTTGCTTCGACGGATCAAAAACGAACCTTTTTTGGATCGGCTCGTGACTGGTGATAAAAAAATGGATCCTGTACAACAATGTTCAACGCAAAAGAACATGGAAACAGGCACTCGATTGGTGGGATATCCGAGGCGTGATCTATTTTGAGCTCTTGTCAGCTGGAGAAACGATCACTGCCAACAAGTATTGTCAGCAATTGGTCGAATTAAAGAAATAAATTGATGAAAAACGTCAGATTTTAACGACCGAACCGACCCTGGCCAAACTGAAGGAGATGAATTGGGAAATCATGTCGCATCCCCATATTCACCTGACATTGCACCTTCTGATTATCATTTGTTTCGATCGCTGCAGAACAATTTGAATGGAAAAAAATTTAAAAATGTGGAAGACGTCAAAGACCACCTTGACACCTTTTTCAACGAGAAACCGCGCGATTGGTTGAACGTTGGGAGTGGATTGCCGAGCATGATGGCGAATACATAATTGATTAATAAAAGCGCTTTCTTCGAAAAATTTCAATTTTAGTTTGCACTTAAAATCGGGCACGAACTTATGCACTCATCCAATAGATTACATTTAGTCACTTGGTGTAAGTTCCCGACTATAAGATGGATGCATAAGAGCCTCCCAACCAAGCTCTCGAATACTCTCGCGAGTCACTGTCAATATTTGTGCTGTTGTTTGTTTGTTCTCATGAAACACAATTACTTGTACTGTTAGCTAAAACTGGGCGCTTCTTTTAGACGAATGAACAACAAACAAACAACAAAATCTTACAAGTCGTCTATCCTGGCTTGGAGACCGTTTGTGTGACCACGACCGCTGTAAGTGATCCAGTTTTAGTCACCAGGGTTCTTTCGTTAACTCACGTCGAAGCTTTTTTATGTGTTCAGTGACTTCAAGTTGTTTTTTTGTGTAATGTTTGGCATTTGGACATTCGAAACAATGCTTGCATGATGGCCAGACTCAACGACTTCCATTATTTTCTCAACATTTTAGATAATTGATCTTTTATACCGTGAAACATTCTTTACATCAAAATTACTGGAAAGAAATAGACGAAGCCAGGCTCTATTACCTGCTCTTATATTTCAAATTAATTACTATTTGTACCCATTTAATGTGTTCTATGAAGATAGTTACTTATTTATGTTACACCATAAACCGATTGAGAAGTATTTAATGCGCCTAGAAGTATGTATGTCCTCACGCCAACAACAACTCTTATCCCAAACGTTGCATAACTTTAGGCTTTAACTTTACTGCATTTATCTAGAACTAATTTTTGAAGCGAATTTTTTGTGTGATTAACGATAATTAATTATGAGAAATGCATGCATTTATTAAACTGTTCGAAATAATTTCTCCTTCCTAACTAATTTTCGATTTAGCGAATAAGCGGTTTTATGTGCTTTACTTAACAACCATGAGTAAGTGTCTATTCAGTTATGAATTTGAGACACCCGCCAAAACGCGGGATGACATTTTTTGGTATATAGACGCCGGACGCTCAACAAAAACAGTACCCTAAAATTTGCGTTGGGCAACAATAGTAACAAAACGCATTATGCGCTACAGAAAAGAGGGAGAGCGAGAGAGAATTTGCATTTACTTGACAAGTCATTTTAGCATAAAACGAGCATTAAAAAGTTAACTGCCACGCCACAGCAGTTAAGGTGATAGCGACACTAAAACTACTTAAACGATGTTTGTGGTTACAGCTGGAATGAGTATGCAAAAGTGAGCGAGGTTAGTTGGATGTTTCTTAGACTAAACGGGT